GGCAAGAGAGACCTTGAGTTCTTTAACAAGTGCTGCTTCAACCTTGTGTGCAAAGGACAGAACGAGGTCTATACATGACCGTTTAGGTAGCGCGCCCCCGTGTTAGGCACTAAGGATGCCTTAAGAAAGCGCCGTCCAAGCCATTTGCTTTGTTAATAGCCGTTTTAGTTCTTTGCTGATGCAAGAGAGTAATGCAATCGGCCACCAAGATCAGACCAAAGAGCGGTCCTTTTTCCCTACCTTAGGGATCATTGATACCTCTGTATCCCGCCAGGCTGTATGGAAGTGCCATAATTACAAGCAGAGCTCAAAAATATTGCGCACAGCGTCCTTGATGTGTTTTCAGCAGGCCTTAAGCAGCCTCATTGTGATCCCGTCTGCACCAAGAGAGGTGCTGGTGACCCCGGCGGTGTACTGCTCGACCTCTTCTCAAAAGACACCGTGGTGTCCCAGTAGAGCTTGGCTTCAGAGGGCTCCCACCCTTCCAGTGGATCATAGTCCAAGTCGTCATTATCTGAGAAGCGTATTAGCACCTCTTCCGCCAGCACTTCAGCCTTCTCTTGGGTGGACTCAATTACCCTGTCGCACACTTTGATTAGTGGGGACTTGACTTAGGCACCTAGCTTATGCCAGCCGATGATCTTATACAGGTCTTTGTCAGTATATACAGAGTCAATGATTTTCTGCCAGTATTCTTATTTGGCTTTGCGGACCACAGAAAGAAAGGTGCGATGCTCCTCTGTAAACTCCATCTGGTCACTGGGCCTGGTAGCTTCCGAGGCTCTGTAGATGCGGTAGGCCTCCTTGCAGTCTTTGGTCCACCAGTGGGCTCCCTTACCGTTACCTATGGCGGGTATGCCGACAGCGATGAGGGCTGATTGCAGCACTTCTGTGAGCTTGTTTGTGTAGTTGTTTAAGTGCTGCTTAGACTTGATGTCCATCTGGTCAGGCATAGAAGCCATTTTTGTCTGTATAAGGGCAGAGAAACGTGACAGGTTTTCCTTCTTAATCTTGTAGTGGTATTATTTTAGCAGTTCGGTCCCCCGGCTGGGGATAATAGTTAACAGGGTGTTGTGGTCCAATCCACTAGCCAGTTCCTGGCATACTTCTGTCTCAACAAAGGGAATATTAGTAAGCGCTATGTCAACGACGTGACCGGCACGATGGGTAGCTTGTCCTAGTATGCCTATAAAATACAGGGCACTGTTAGTCATCCATTTTATTATATTAATTTCTCTGTTTTAGCCTTCTATTTTAGGCTCAAATGTGGGATGGTGAATATTCAGGTCTCCTCTAACCAAGAAATTAGTCAGTGCTTCGATGTTAATGAGATAATCAATCATCTCGTCAGAGCGCGGTGACCAGTAGATATTGAGCATAGTATACCTATTGACATCCAGCCAAAGCGTGTCTTGGGTGTTAATAGGTCTCTTTTATTGGGTCTTGACCCTTCGCCATTTCCGCATATATGTTATGACCCGTGGGCGATCCCGAGTAGTATTCCATGCGTCTACTGGGGCATATGATTCGAATCCCGGGTGGTTCTGTGTCCTTGTTCCCGGGCCTGTCCAAGGCTCGTTGATATGGATGACATCAGCGGCCCGCGCCCATGCGAGCTCGAGGATAGTGTTGTGCTGTGGCATCCCCTTGCCTGTATTGCACCAGATCACACATAGGTCAGGTGATTTGTGTTGCTGCCGTTGTCCCCTGTGACAGTGCCGCCCTCTATCAAGACGTCAGCGTCCTGGCATTATTCTTCAGGGAGCTCGGTGTCAGATACCAGCGTGCCGCTCTGGCCACGTCTAGTACTGGCCATGTCACGTGGATGAGCTGGTCCTAGCATGGGACTAGCCCACACAGCCAAATTAGTGCTAGAACCAGATAGACGAGCAGAGCTTGCTCATCACAACAACATAATACACAACACATCTGACCGCTGTATTCAACACTCGGGTTGTTTGCGGGTCCAGCCTGCAGGTGCTATAAGGCAGCTTTGCGTTGGGAACCTTGTCGTAGCCTTGGCAGGTCTGATTGAGAGGCCTGAGAGGACGGCTCCGGGGCCTGTAACGGTCCCGGGGCGCTCATCTCAGTATCTCTGTCCCCGTCAACTGAGTGTCTCTCTAGGGTGGTCCCGCCGGGGGAGCGGGAGATCGCGCTGGCCGCTGATGACGGCGTGTGGTTGGGCCGTGAGCCGGTGCTCAGTGCCCTCTTCTTCCCCTTGGCAGTGGCGCTAGGGTTGTTCTGGGTTGCAAACGGGTCGCTGGAGGGTGCGTCCCGGATTGAGGAAGGTGCGTCCCGGCCCTGGGAGAAAGGCGCACTGGAGGAAGGTGCGTGCCTGCTCTGGCCAAGTCCTTCAGGTGCCGACGACGTGACATCGTGGACCTCTCTGTAGCATTTGGCTCCAGCCCGTCTGACAGTCTGGAGCTGCTTCTTATTGCGGCGCACAAGCTCCCTATGCTCGCGTTTAGGGGCTGTTGCGCAGTTATTATGTCCTGTTGGGAAGGGGCCATGGCAGTTCGCACAGTAGGAAGGTCAGTCACAGGGCTTGCCTGCCTCGTGGTCGTCTATTTGGTCACCGCAGTTATTGTAGCGGTGAACCTGGTTGTATTTCTTAGCGAAATAATAGCCCTGATATCCCGGGTTATGGATGCTAATGGTGGGTTTTTTTTTAACCAGCCTTGGCCGACCGCTGTCGTTAAAGAGGCTAAATGGCCTTACAGGTATTAGGAAAGAAATCATCCAGTTGCTTCTGCCTGTGGCGGGGTCTGGGCCTTGTCTAGACGGCTTGCATTTGACAGTGTGTACTTTTGTCTGGGCATATACCTTGTCCTTGATCACGTCTTGTGTCTGGATGTGGTTGCCCAAGTTCACGTAGTCAGGGAAGTTCCAGGGGATGTCTGGCACCACATATGTGAACCAGCGCTCTGGAACATCAACTGCTGCAGCATTTGTAATTTTTCCTAGACGCAGTTTCGCTTCCGGACCCAGCAGCTGTTCCCTAATCTGCCTGGTTGCCACCCTGATAGACCAGCCAGTGTTGGTCGGGCTGATGTCCGGCACGTCAGCCAGGCCTAGCCCAAGATCTTTAAACTCCTTACAGATTACAGAGCAAAGAGTAAAGGGCTGCTCTTTCTGCATGCGCTGATCTTTATCTAGGCGTATCAAAATTCGTCTTATCCCTGGCTAGGGCAGACGCCGAGGCCCCGCGGCGTGCGGGCGGAGTGTCCGGCACTGGCATGGGCGATAATAGTGTTGCTCCCTAAATTCATTGCGTGGCCTGCTTTGGCCACTCTTGCCCAAGAGACCTGTTTGGACGACTTCCCTCCAGGGCCTTGCCTGTACGCATTCGTAGCATTGGTGGTAATGGTGGTGATGTCAATAGGCCCAGAGTTTTTGACACGGATAGGCGCATAAAAAGTGCCATTAGTGTTAAAAAAATAGTAGTATTTAAATAACTATAAATTATCTTAATCATTAAGCAGGTCTCTCTCTTATATTCGGACCGTTGTGGTCTGTTGTAGGTGCTTATATAGTCGTCTAGATAACCAGCCAGCTGTCCTAAGACCGTTTGTTTGATGCAGGCCTGGCGCTCAAGATCCTCTAAGTGAGGTGCAAAAATGCTGGTAGCAATGTCATAATATCCAGTAGCGGGCTTTCCAGTGAGGTCAATTATTGGGGGAGCCTGGACATTGGCAGGCTTCCTTTTCTTATTCTACTGGTCAAGGTTGAAAGGGGTAATAGGCTCAGGTTCTCGGGTGAACTGAGCAGCGTCCGCTGTGACTATAATAGATCGCTGGGGGGTTGTAAGGGCTGCCATCATCGAGTGCTGATTTCGTCCCCTTTGCAGGGAACGAGGCGGATCTCGAGATTTTGCCCTTGGTGTTTAGATTCAAAATAATGGCGTAATGCCAAGTGTTAAGAATTTTGTTGTGATGTGCGCAGATGTATTAACAAGTGCAAGCGCACGGATGATTTTTACCAGGAAAGGTGCATTGTAAGGCTATTGACTTGGCGTCTTGTTGGTAATGCTTACAATGCCCGTCGTCCGAACCCGGCTGGCCAAGTTCCTCCAGGCCCGAAGTCGGGGTTCGAGATCAATAACCCCATCCATTCTTCCTGCTGACATTCCTAAGGGATTAGTAATGTAATCCTCCATCCTCTAGAGCCTACCTCCGTCTATCCGATATAGGCGAATTGTCCGCGATGGTCTGACATGAGCTTCCAGTGCAGGGTGATCAGGCCGTCAATGTCGTCTTGACACAGGCAAATTGTCCGCCCTGATCTGAAATGAGCTCTCCGTGCAGGGAGATTAGAGCTGAGCTGATTGGCCACGACAACGAGCACCGCAGATCTTGGACCATTGTCTGGATGTTTATGAAGAATCTCATGGGCCAACTCGGTTGTCCAACGCCACCGTGTGATATCGCGTTGTACTAGCACGATATTGGTGATAGGCTACTAATGAGAGAAATCGCTCAGAACATCTGTCTCGTCCCAGGGGCCAGGTTTTGTCGAGTTACACGGCCTGCGGAGCGCCTCACAGCGTGCCTTCTGATGACGAATACCACCTGACACAGCACGAATCTCCCCGACAAGAGAGATAGGCGACGGGGAGATATCTCTTGGGCGTACCACTATGCCGGTACTCCAGGCAAGGGGCAGGGCCGCTTGGCATCACACGAGGTGGTTTCGGAACATGCATTCGCGACAACATCTGTAAGGTTGTACCATGTGTAGAACGTCGTATACATCAGCCAACAAAAGCCCTACCGTCGGGGTAAGTGGGAGTCCAGCCCTAGTGATGAGGCACAGGAAGATAAAGCACGGCAGTTTTCTGACCCGTATTTGTGTGGCGTAGGTCATCAAATCTAACATATTAGGGCAGGGTGTCGGCATGTGGGAGACGGCGCCGTGTTCCCCCCTTCTTGCTCCTCGGACATCCTGTGGGTGACTTGCTACAGTCCGAGTTCACTCCCCAGAAACCAAGTCAGACAAACACTATGGGTAGTTTAGGAGCTTCAAATGGTGCCAACGGCGTGTCTGAAGAGCCATTCCTTTGGGACAGATCGAACCTCCCTAAGCAGCTATTCATCAACAATGAAGTGAGAAGCCCGCGACTTGAAAATCTCGACTGTCCTGCTAACCATACATCAGCATGTAGACTCGAAGAACACGAAGAAGCTCAAAGTTCACAACCCCAAGGACGGCTCTCTCGTAGCTGACGACATTGCTGTGGCCGGCGAGGATGACGTCGACGCTGCTGTTGACGCGGCCGAAGCAGCTTTTCCAGCCTGGAGAAAAACATCAGCAAGCCAGCGCCGGCGACTCATGTTGAAGCTAGCCGATCTCCTCGAGGAACATGGTGACGCTCTAGCCGAGCTCACTCGTATCACTCTAGGTAACCCCGCAGCATCCATGAGCATCTTTGAGATAAAATACACAGCCGAGGCCTTCAGATACTTCGCCGGGTGGACAGACAAGTTCCCTGGCGAGACTTATCCGCAAGACGACGGATTCTTGAAGATTGTTCGCAACGAGCCGCTCGGAGTCACAGCCGGCATCACCCCCTGGAACTGTCCACTGATCTTCATGGGTCTGAAGGCTGGCCCAGCCCTTGCTACCGCCAACTGCTTCATCCTGAAACCCACGGAGAAGACGCCGTTTGCCTCAATAGCAATTGGTACACTGGTCAGGATGGCTGGGTTCCCCCCCGGCGTCTTTCAGGTGCTCCCTGGCGATGGCTCGACCGGAGCTTTATTGGCCAGCCACATGAGGATACGAAAGGTCAGCTTGACGGGTAGCCTGACGACCGGTCGTAAAATCCAGGAGTTGGCCGCCAGAAGCAACCTGAAGCGAGTTACCCTCGAGCTCGGCGGGAAGAGTCCTGCCGTCATCTTCGACGACTGCAACCTCGAAAATGCAATCACGTGGTGTGTAAACGGTATCTGCGGCATGACCGGCCAGATGTGCTACGCCGCTTCGAGGGTTTACGTCCAAGAAGGTATATACGACAAGTTCGTGGAGGGGTACAAGAAGGCTATTGAGGAACGGTCCAAGAGCATTGGTGATCCGGAAGAGAAGGGGACTATGATGGGTCCTCTGGTCGACAAGATACAGCACGAGAGGGTGATGGGGTTCATGGATAGGGGCCTCAGTCAGGGGACGTTGCTAACCGGCGGCTCAAGAGTCGGTGACAAGGTCAGCTATGAAGCTAAGACGGCGAACCTGACATTCATGCTGATATATGCAACCAGGGCTTCTTTGTCCAACCGACAATATTCACCAACGTCGCCGAAGATGCAGAAATATGCAAGGAGGAGATATTCGGCCCTGTCGCGGTATTGAACAGCTTCAAGACCGAGGAAGAGATCATCGCGAAGGCGAACGACTCCAACTTCGGCCTCATGGTTGGCGTATTCACGCAGGACATCACCAGGGCGATCCGTGTTTCGACGGAAATCGACAGCGGTATGGTGGGCATCAACTGCGTCAGCATCACGTTTTTAGTGGCCCCGTTTGGGGGAAGCAAGGAGAGCGGCATGGGTCGCGAGAACGCGATCAATGCTCTGCGGATGTATACGGAGCCCAAGACGGTGATGGTTAATTTGACATACTAGTTTTGACATACTAGTTTTGACATTCATGAAAGCCTATGATGCTGTCCCCCGGAGACCAGTCCCAGGTTAAGTATTGGTTGGGGAAAAGCGTATGTATGTACGGATCTGTACCAAGCAAGGATATGGCTCATTGAACTACCATAGCAGCGTCATGAGGAACCGAAATCGGTTCCCAGCCGCTCTGGCATCCACATTGGCCGCTTGCCGAAAGGACCAACAGTGGTCCTTTTAAGGATGCGAATGGACCAACTGGTACAGGCAAATAACTCTTGAAACCATTACCCGTGCACCCGTCGATAAACCCCTATCAGGACCGCTTCGGCTTGTGTGCCGGGCATAGATAGTCATCATCCATTTTGGTGACCATCTTGAGCTTACACGCGCTCAATTTCATCCTGCCTTCCTTGACACCGTCGCACGTTCCCGTTCGCTCGTACCAGTATCTGTCGCACTCAGCCGTGTCCCGGTGGAAATAGGCGCACTCGTGCTCAATGAAGTGACACATGGTAGTTGACTAGATTGATGTCAGTCATCTGAGTCAAGCCAGTTACATAGACGCATATCACTCACTGTATTCCTGACAAAGCAGGTTGCCTAGACTAGATGGGATTTCGTAATGAATGGCGAGGGTCGTTACCTAGATTAATGTCAGTCATCTAAGGCAGGTGGGTTATATAGACACATGCTCCTTACTAGAGTCCTGATAAAGCAGGTTGCCTAGACTAGATTGGGTTTCGTAGAGAAAGGCGAGAGTGTGCTTTCGTAACAGCCTGGCCGCTGAAGATATGTCGTATGTCGTAAGTTTCTTGGTGTCTTTTTTGGGTGGCAGAAGATGTCAATATCGGAATGAGCCTCATATTTGTAAGTTCCTCAACGGGACAACACACCCTCTCGACCCTCGATGAATGGTTAAACACGCCCTCGAACCTGGAATGATGATTACAGCTCCCATGCAGATTGTAATAATCAGTGACGATGATGAAAGGAACATTCCCCGTACCAACGAGGACCTCAAGAAAGGGAACACTCAAGTCACGAGTCGTGACAGCTCGACGGCAGTGAATGAAGCTTCTGACTGTTCGTGAATCAGTGGTGTCACGTTGAATCCAATGCCTCTGCTTTGTCATGAACCCAACAAGCAACATACACTCTCCAAAACCCTGAACATCGACATTACACAAAAAGTCAGTACAATTCTTTGTCAGAATTGGCCCAGAACGTTGAACAATGCTCCTTATCAATTCTTGATATGCCCATTTCTTTCAAGCATGTACTAGAAATGCACAATGCCAACCAAACAATGTCTTTGTAACTCCGCAACTCTTTCTCATATATCGCCGCCACCAGGAGCACGACTCCCGATCCAAAAGAGCAGCGTTATCCCCCAAGAAACCTACATAAGCTCGCAATCATCCACCTTCGGCATCAGATCTCGTAGTCTAAGCATCCACCTCCAGCACAACCACTCCGACTCGCATCAGCATCTCAAAAAAAAAACCTTCGCATAAATCAGGAAACATGGACTCCATCATGCTCCTCGTGATCTCCCTCTTCGCCAACATGGCGTTCGGCGCACCTATCATGGAGTCGCAGGCCGATGCAGATGACTCCACGGATAGTGCCTCCGAGGGGGCAAATGCCGAGCCTGTTGGAGGGCCAGTACCAGGGGCTGGAACTATTCTTGACACCGGTGCTATCATCGGCATTATCGCTGGAGTCATTGCTACTCTACTCCTCGTTGGACTCCTGTACTGGTGTGGTGCTCGAGGTAGATATCCCGGCGTTCAAAGGAGAAGATGAAAGAGGGCGATACTTGATATGCCCCAGGTTGAGATCTCAGTGGTAGACGGGTCCAGCTTGACGTATATACGAAACATAAGATAGATCAATAGTAAATCACTTCGCATATGCTAGCTGACAACAAGACCTGGCTTCCATGCATGCCTTTTAACGTGACAGTAATCCATAGACCATATAGTGTCAGCGTCTCCCGATAGCACTCTTCCCTTTTCAGAGACCGCTCTGTGCCGAACCCCTAGCCACGGGGTCCTATGCCAAAGAGGTCCTACAGATACAGTATTTCCACCTAGTGAGTAACTCCAAGTGTAGCTAAACTTAGCGCGCAAATGATGCCAGAATGATTTCAAACCTGTCTAGCAACGGCTAGTGGGAATATTGGGTGGGCGCTTCGAGGAAAAGCTTGTGGACATCTGGAATGAATGTGTCAGTATACGTCCATGTTGAATGGCATATCGAAGAAAGCTCACCCAGTCCAGTCTCTTCCCGAAGTGGCAGTACGGGCAGTACCTGGGGAATACTTGGTACCCTACTAGAACCCCAACACCGTGACTTGTAGCGTCGTTCCAGTCGGGACAGCATCCTCCAAGCCCCCCTAGCAGGAGTAGACATTATTCGTTTCGAGACACGGCGAGGCCGTGGTGCTCTTCCCAAATGGCGCCCCTGTCGCAGATGCCAACGCAGCACCGAGCGGAAACCAAGCGTCGGCACCGAAGTTATGGGGGTCTATACTCTATCGAGGCTTCCCACCCAACAGCATTCCTTTACGAACTGGCAGTCCCACATATGGCATCAATCGGTATACCCTGTTGCCATTCGCTCCCGGCTCACCTCCACCGACGAGGCTTTTGCCTCCGGCGCCCCCGCCAACGTCTTGGCCTGGTTGCCCCGGAACAGGCGGTCGAAGAGGACGTAGGATGTGACAAGTAGGATGGGCATGGCGATCATCAGGCGGACGTACTTCCGGGCGGCCTGCTTATAGGCGGGACTGGACTGGTCGACTCGCTTGGGGGTCGGGGCTCGGAGGCTCTGCGGGAGCTGGGCGGCGCGCTGGGCGAAGGGCATGGGGCCATTGGCCCGATGTTTGGGGGCTGTCCGCATGTTTATGTCGTACTTTGAGCGGCCGTTGGGCACTTTTGTGTGGTGTTGGGGACAAATGCTGGTTGGAAAGAAGAGGCGCGTGTAGAAGCGCGTGCAGGTCCACTTCTAGGCTACGGCCTGAGCCACAGCAGCCACAAGTCACCTTACGCCACAGCAGCCGCTTCAATGTCCAAAATAGAGCTTCATGTCAAGTCACACTTTGCCTCATGTTATGCGTCACCTGTTTCCTGAAAGCCATGAGTGTCCATAGGAACGACGTGTGGACCCTGGCTAGAGGACATAAAGAGGCTTACAACACAGGGACACTTTGGAAGAAGATCCTGTACGTAAGGATTCGCTCAATCAATCACGGGCCTCAACATCAAAGTACCATAACTCGTCCCGCAACACCTATGATATACCGATTTCGTCCGCAAAGGAATGGAATAGGTGGCGATTTCCCGAGGAGTAAAACCATCGCCGCACAGGGTTTGGTTACCGAGTCCCACGTTGTCGGGTCCGAGGTTTATTGCCAAGCTGCAGCTTACCAAATTCTAGGCCTCGTGGGATCCTGATCCTCTACCCTGAACCATAGATATTTCGGTAGGGCACGCTGGACCGAATCGCCACATTTAGATCCTTCTAATCAAGCGGGTCATCCAAGCGAGGTGGCGACGAGGTCAAAGGAACACGCTTGAGCTGTGAGCTACGTAGGTCTGTTGGCCTACCTAAGGCCCATCATCTACCTCTGTAGTTTGTGCAAGTTACTTCGAAGTTCGCCTCGAAGTGATAATGGAGTATTACATCACTGACGGGGCTTATCTCAATGGGTCCCTCGACGGTGCAAATAGCTCGTGTTACCAGGTACAGATTCCAGAAGATGTCTATAAGTGTCCAGCATGGTATGTTTGTTTGTTTTGTATTTAACGAGGGGGTAGCTCCTCAGTAGTGCAGACCACGCCTCCCAGAGCCTCTGCATCGCAGGGTTGTGGAGGTCTCAAGATAATAAGTACAGTCAGTCCCGCTCACGGGCCCATCCCCGTTGTTGCGGCGGTATGACCTTGGGGTCATCCATCTGGTCCTTCAAGGAAGGCTATCTATTGGGGGCAGATTGTTGAAAAGAACTTGCTCTTCTCCACGAATTTTGCCCATTCTGTGCTCCTCTCCCCTAAGTATTGTAAACAAGCTGTCCTAGGCGAGTACCTAGGCAGTAGCCAATTTTTTCCCAGTCTCTTACAAAAGAAAATATATTGTAATGTTTTTTTTTTTTACCATAGTTGCAGTGATCATTCGAGTCTGTATGCCCAAAGCATTCGTGGTATCTGGCAAAGTCGTCATATCCAGATCTGGCCGCTAGAAGTCTGTATAAAGTACTCCTCTTAAAAGATATAAGGTCTCTTTTAGTTACTATATGTGAGTATACTTCTTGATATCTAGATTCTGATTGGTCTTTTTACTATTAGTTGAACTCCTTTCTGCCCTTTTTTTTGAGATCTCTCTTAACCCAAAAGATTATAGGAAGGCTTATTATGTTTATTTCTAGCATGGCACCCTCTTTTGTTAATGTGTTGGCAGCTTCATTGCCATTAATATCTCTGTGTCCAGGAATCCACTTGACGGTCACTCCAGGAGTGTGTGCTGTGGCAAGTTTTTGAAATTATAGAAAAATATTCTGTGATGTCTCGGGTGGAGTCCCATTGAGCCCATCTATCACTGACGTGTTGTCCAGGCAGACATATAGCTGTTTTCTGTATCCAATTGCCCTGGCTGCTGCAAGACCTTGGAGAGCACCATAGACTTCAGCATCTACTACTTCTGCTTACAGAAGTCTACCCTTTCCCCGGTATACTTCTTGAGTAGTGTTGCCTTTCCTGATGGTGTAACCCCATCCAGTGCGGGTTGTACCTTGGTCAACCAATTGTGATCCATCTGAGTAGATGACAAGGTCAGTGTTCACGTTTCTCTCTTGTAACTATTGCTTGAAGAGCTCTGTTTCTTTGTCTTTGTCTTTGCGGATTGGGCGCTTCCTCCATGATGGCCTGGTAAGTATTGGTCTCTGGAAGTCAGGGACTAGCTGGAAGCTTCTTTGTAGCCTTGTTGGATCCTTGCGAGCTTGTATTTGGAGCCTGCCAACCAGAGGGTGTCTCTGATCTATTCGTCCTAGTCGGAGGCCGTGACGTCGTCTTATTGACTCTGCAAGAACTCCTGCTGGGGGAATCTGCGATTCAAAGTGTAAGATATGTCCAGGGTGTGTTTTCCAGACTGGCAAGATAGCCCTGATCGCCGTTCGTAGTACGGCATCTATTGTTCCAAGAAGCCCCTTAATGCGACATGCTGATGTCTCACCTAAGCTCCCAGTTTTCTCGATTCCTGGGTACCAGGCCTCCAGGCCATGTGTGAGAATAGGAATAACACAAGCTTTCACAGCCCTCTTGGTTGACTTTACTGGAAGTCCTTTGACTGTGTTGCATAGTCCTCGAAGGTGATTTGCTACCCTACTAGCTTTCTTGGCCCAGTGAGAAACATGGTCTTTGAAGTTTAGTTTCCTATCCAGAAGGACACCTAGCCATCGCATGGAATGCTTAGCTGTTTTGTTCATTGTTCCGTGGCAAACTGGGGGATTGTCTGAGTTCTTTTTCCGTGAGAAGTGCATGATCTCGGTTTTGTCGGGATCAAATTCAATAGCATTGTTATGTCCCCATTGGTTGAGCAAATGAAGGTTTTCAGAAGCCTCTGCAGCTGTTTCTTTAAGGTTCTTTCCAATGCAGAGTGTTGCTAGATCATCTGCATATCCAAAGCGTCTTCTTTTCATGCCAAGTCGGGCACAGATTGGCTCTGTATACAGCATGTAGAGGATTGGAGAGACTGGTGAGCCTTGTGGGAGCCCACAAGTGAGAGCTTTTATATCGGTCACAGTACCTTCAAACCGAACTCTTGCGGACCGCTCGGACATGAACGACTGGACCCATCTTATGAGAAAGCCTGGCCAGCCCTGTTCTCTCATGCGAACCACCAGCCGTCCCATTAGGGCAGCATCAAAGGCCCCTTTCACATCTGATGTGACTACCGTTGCAACGAGGCCTTGGTCAAGGGCCTGCTCAATATCGTGTATGAGTGCAGCTACCAGGTCAGTGGCAGAGCGCTTTGGTAGAGCTCCAAAATGTTGTGGAGCTAGAATTCCAAGTTTGACAACAAACCAGGTAATCCTTTTTGCGATGAGTCGTTCTAGGCCTTTGCCAAGACACGACAATAGCGATATTGGTCTGTAGGCCCTGGGATTGGAGTAGTCTTTCTTTCCTGATTTGGGATCATCACCACCTCAGCTACTTTGAATGGTTTAGGGTGGTGTCCAATCTATAGACAGGTCTGGAAGAGGGCTCTGATATATTCTCTAATGACTGGCCAGCAAGCTTTCAGAATCCGTACTGTGAGGGTGTTTATTCCCAGAGAGTTGCTCTTGGTCCCTAAAGTGCACCCTTCAGCCTCTTCCAGTCCGATATGGTATTCAAGGGGGATGTATGGCTTGGATTGTGTCATCTGAGCGGACCAGGGGTTGATGATATCATTGTCTGAGGTACTTCGTTCAAGCGTGGCTGAGCATAATGTATTTGCCTTGTTCTCTTCTGACTCAAATATTTGGTCTCTTATGATAATTAGAGGGGAACGCAATCCTGCTGATAGCTTGTGCCAAGAGACGATTCTATATAGGTCCTTTGGCTTAGTTATTGAATCAATTAGAGTCTGTCAGTACTCTCTCCTAGCTTTCCGAACCACGCGGCGAAATTCCCGTTGGGCTGAATTCCGCCTTTCTTGGCTTGTAGTCTGTTTAGAAAGGGCCCTGTATGTCTGAACAGCTGCTTTGTAGTCATCATTCTACCAAGCAGTGGGCCTAAATTAGCGGGGCTTCTTGCCCACTGTCCTAATACAACCTTGGATCATGTTGATCAAGCTTTGTGTAAAGGCATCTACCTGGCCAGGGGATACACCCAGCCGGGGGAGTTCATGAATCCTGGTTTGAACATTGTCTGTTAGCTCTTGTAGTTTATCGTCCAATACTATCCAATGATTGGCCTTAGGGACTCGGTCTAGATCACCCTGAATTGGGACAACTATTCGTAATGTCTCATGATCTGAAGTGCACTGGAGTGCATCATTCACTGAGACTTCGGCCATGGGGACATCTGAGAACACCAGATCTAGTACATTTCCGTCATCATGTGTTGGGACATCTGGTTCAGAAATCAGATCCAGTCCGTGGTCTGCCATAGTCTGTGCAAGTATAACACCACCATGATATCCTGGATTGCTCGAGTCCCAGGATGTGTCGCCAGCATTGAAATCTCCAGCTATAACGCAGCCAAAAGGTGGAGTCCATACTTCCAGAATATCATCCACTTCCTTTGGGTTGTCACATGGCCGGTAGACACTGGCAAATGTAATGCCTTGTACCTTGACCCAGGTGATGTCTTGTGTAGTATAAGGCCGAAGTTGATCTGTTTAAAGGTGTTTTTTTACATAGATGAGAGATCTGGGCCATGTACTGTCGCTGTCCCAGGAATCCACTGGGGAGTATATATCGTAATTAGGGTATATCTTTACTCCCATTCTCTTGCCTGGTGGTATGCCAACCCAGGGCTCTTGCATCAGAATGATGTCTGCTTGTTCTCCTTTGTAGTCAGCCAGGTTGATGGCTAATTCTGTAGGGCCTGCACTCTTTTGTCCTTCTGCTGTATTTATAGAATGGATGACTAGATGCCCGTGTCGATGTGTTTCGTTTGATGTACCTAATATTGACTGACAACAATGGTATCGGTATCTCTGGGATGAATTGTATCTGTTGTGTTGATTTGTATTGTGATGTCTTCGCTATTGTTGCTGGGTGTTGACCTAGCTTGGTTTCTGCCTGTTTCATTGAAGGCCTTGGATCTGGCTCTTTCTCCGGCCAGCCTTATTTCCTGGATTTGCTCCCATGTGTGCTTATGGATGATACCTTTCACGACCTTGGGGCGTGCAGGGCATTTGTCGAAGTCGGCAGCATAAGGTCCTTTGTAATTGACACACTTTGGGATTGGTTTTTCGCAATCCTCCTGGTGTACTGCGCTGGCGCAATGTGCACATACTTGCTTTTCACATTGGTAGTTCCTATCATGGTATCTGAAGCAGCTCGCACACTGGTGAACCTTGGGGGAGTATTGAATATCCCTTGAGGTCATTAAGTGAGCAAAAAGCATGAATGGTTTCTTTGCTGCACGGGGCAGAGAGATCACCTATATGGTCTCCGGATCAGAATTAACTATATTCCTTGAGAATATACACCTTAAAGGTCTGTCATTTGTTTGGGCTTTAATTTCATTAGCAACAGCAATGTCAGTAATGTCAAATATTAACCCTTCTGCACTGATGACCTTTCTTGGGCACCTATTGACCTTATAGTGATGCCAGACCGTGTAGGTCTTGATCTTTTTTGTCTTAAGAATGTTAGTAATTTCTTCTTAAAAGGCCAGGAGCTTAGCCTGAGTTGGCTTATCCCTTAGGTGTAAGGTAAATCCGGAGGGGTACGGGGTCACTTTTCTAAGCTCTTGAGGGTAGAGCTTAAGTCTTCTGTTTAGTGTAGACTTTATTTTATAAGGTTTTAGGTGGCTATTATCTATGCAGACAAAGACCCGGAAATTATCCTGCTTCTTTTCCAGTTGGTTGGCAGTGATGAGGGTGCCAGGCTGTGTTTTCTTCATGGTAATGTTGATTATCCGTAGATGCTGTCGCTGGCTAGAGGAGACAGCTTGGGCGGAGGTCATGGTGGGCTTTACTATCCCTATCCCCCCAGGAATGGTCTTCCTTTTGGGCAGATCTCGGGTTTCCAGCCACTTGCTCAGACATTTAGAGAAGAAAGTGCTGAACTCCTTGGCATGAGAGTATAGTTCGGTTCCAGCTTTCTCAAGTGTCTTATCAACTGTTGCAGCACACTCCTGAAACATTGTCATCCTGGTTTTATAGAGGTACTTATCTTTAGCCAGTATTTTAGCAATTTGGTTCTGGCACTCTAAAGAGGAGGCTTTATTCCTTATATCGCGTGTAATGGTTTAGAGGTCATTTCATTCCAGTGGTGCTGCTCTCATTAATATTTTAGGTTTTTTTTTTAGAGGGGAAATAACAGTGAAGTCAGCCTCAAAGACCTGTGACGGGCTGCTGCTGATGTTGTCAAGCAGCGCCTGGCAGAGCCTGCTCGGAGTTGCCAGGCAGTATGTCTTTCTAGGGGCCGGGGATTTAAGCACACCGCCAGTGGTCGTCTTTGGGACGGCCACGGGCGTGTTTGGGGGCCCGTCGTGAAAGGGTGCCATCCGGCTTATGAAAAAAGTTCTCTTGTGCCTTGGCAGAGATAGTCAGTTACTAAGAGAAGTGCCTGTTTTAGTGCAGATATCGAGGTTGCGCTCTAACAGCGGGGCGCCAAGAAAAATAGTTGTTTTTGTGTCCAGCATGGTAAATAGTAGTGCGCCGCATACCCCTGGTTATATGTATTGTTGGATCCATGTGATTCCACAGTCAAACCATCCATACAGAACCCACATGTATGATTAGATAAGAGATTAGATACCGGATTGTGAGGTCACTTAGCCAGACCTGCAGGTCCAGCTAGACTTCCCAATCCAACCATCAGCAACATCATGACCTTGACCCAATACTCGAGTATTATGATTGATCGTTCAAGCCTGTTCCTACATGTATACTATTATCGTGGCTACTGATTACCATCCTGGATACCTGTAAAGTCGACAGCAAGCCCCATACTAGTGCTTTATCTCGATGGAGAGAAGTTGTATTCCTGCTTCGTTGGTTCGCAGCAGATATAGAAGGGATCCTTCAAGGTGTTTGGTCTGCATTGCTATAAAGCTCCTGACCTCCTCGTCTTGTTTGGCCCAAATATATAAATAAAATCATCCCTAAACACGGCTTCTATCTTGTTAGCCTCAACTTCCAAAGGCTTCCCCGACGCCCAAGCTCTCGACACAGAAGCCCACGAAACGCAACCATCCCCGCCAACTCTATCGCACACCGTTCAAGGTAAGCAATTGTTATGCTAGGTTTCTTAAGATGGCTTTGGGGCGACTAACGTGCGTAATGACGTAGATGCACGCATCCACCACCAAGCTCGCACTGCTATGCCTAGCCGTAGGCCATGTGCTTGCTTATGAGCTCACCTGGGAGAATAAGGACCACAAGCAGATCGGCGACGTCATCAAGACAGGTAGCAAGTATCAAGAGCTCAAAGTTCCTCATAAGGCACAATACATAGAGCTCCTCAGCTTTAGCGGCATGAGGGCGCAGTTTTATGATGACGACTACGTTGACGAGGAAGGAGAGGTTTATAAACAGCGTCTAGGTGTAGCGATCGATGAGAACGTCGATATGGCTGGCAGTCATGATGTCCCTTCTGGCGCCAAGACTGTTGTTATACTCAAACCACCGATTCGTGCGAATATGTAGGCGTCTATGGTCAGACTCTGGGGCAGAGATGACCGAATCAGCCCCTGCCTAGTTATCTATAGCGGGCTTGTTCAAGGAGGCATTCGATGACTTCGGGCAGGAACAAACCCCACTGGTTGTATTTGTAAGTAACACACTCTTTTGGCCCCAAAGTATTTGTCTCATTGTGAACTTGCAGTGATTGCTTAGCAGCGTGCTCTCTGAGCTGCGGACTGCTTCAGAATCAACATGGTCGCCGTGTATGTCACCCAGGTTTTCTGGCCAAACACGAGATTTTGGCCACGACGTCTGCTGTGACCTTCATTAGGGTTAAGGCTGAAACAACAATTCTCATAACATAAGTTATCCTCTACGACCATTAAGAAGACGTTTCAATTGTGAAGCATCTACACTACTTCATAGCGTATAGCTGACGATCACCCAAAGACCACTGAACCCGCTAGCACAATCTTCGCTGAATCATTTCACGTGAAATAGAAGCAAAATGAAGAGAAGACACCACTGACCAGCTCACGACTCAAGGCATGGTCGGGCAAGGCGGAAAGACTTCTCCTCTCTGCTTGGTGGGGCAGGTGATGATGATCAATGATGATATCTCATGGGGCATTGGGGCTCACGAATGTGTTTCAATATGTTCATACAACGCTTCCCATCAAATGGGTGGCAGTCCACCAATTTCCCCTTACTATTAGGTAGTCCCTTTCAAAGTCCTACTTTCCACGTCCAGGAGGTTAGTTAGTCTTCGAGCAATGTCCTCTGACCATGTTGGATCATTGATATCTGTGTCGACCTCCACCGTCTTGATCCCACTTCCCTCCAGCTCCTTCTTGATAGCAGCGAACAGCGCACGATCAGCATCCTCATCATAAAAAGCCTGCCCCTTCACAGCGATCGCACTGATGCCCTTTAGCGGGAGCCAGACCTCAATCACTTCCGGGTCGGCACAGTTCTCCCAAAGCCGTCTTGCCAGCCTATTCCCCAACTCCTCGCATTCCTGGGGCGTGGTTCGCATCAGCGTCACTGACGGATTGTGCTCAAACAAATTCCTATCCTGGAACTGCGCCGGAACAGTGTCCTTGGGTCCGAAATTCACCATGTCCAAAGCGCCGACGCTGACGATTTGCGGTATTCCGACCCTAGCAGCCGCGGTTAGGCGGTGCTCTCCGGCGCTGAAGACGCCGCCCACCAGTTCATCGGCCAGCTCGGTGGTGGTCAAGTCCAGAACGGCGTCCAACCGCCCCTCGCGAACCAGGCGCTCCATCGCTCGTCCACCCGCTCCCGTCGCATGGAAGACATAAACTTCGAACCCCTGGCCATCCAGCCAGCGGCGGGCAACATCAACTACTTGCGTGGTAACGCCAAACATGGTAATGCCTATTCCCTTCCTCTCCCGTCCCGTCCTGCCTTGCAGTGTCCTAGCAGCGTATACCTGGGCCATGCCCACGATCGCCGCAGCGGCGTTGTCAATCACCGCCTTCAGGACCTCGTTGAGCCCCGCGATGTCCACCACGCTGTACATCATGGTGATGTCCGTCTCGCCAACGTACGAGCTCGTGTCGCTGGAGGCCACGGTGGATACTATCAGCTTTGGGAATGTGAGGGGCAGCTCGCGCATCACTGCGGCGGCGATGCTGGTCCCGCCGCTGCCGCCGAGACCGATAATGCCCTGGATCTTGCCGTTGTCGCGGAGTTCCTTGGTTACGCTTATAGCCCCTTTGATCATGGTTTTGATGACCTCCCCACGAGGTAACGACTGCAGAGAGTCATCCCCGTTCTGATAGCCGCTTGCTTTGAGAACTTCGGCCTGGGGGATGGTGATGGCCTCATGGGCGACCTGGCTTCGGCCTGCGTCGATCAAGATCACATCTATCGAGGGCTCACGCTGCAATATCTGGGACCTGAGGTATAGATACTCTGGCAGCTTGGTGTCGAGTGTGCCAATCACGGCAATGGCAATCTTCTGTGTGGTCATTTCGTCCACGTTGATGTGTTCTGTCGAAGTCACATAACGTACAAACCTTATGCCTCCGCGGAAGAATGCAAGCTGGAGATGGGGAAGCTGCATCCAACGATGCACGGGACGAGCCGATTGGCCCTGTGTGGAGATGGGCTTTGTTTCGGTGGTCAATTACGTCGATTAGGTACTTACTTGGGAAATTTAACTGCACTCCCTTACCATACCCCTCATAGAGGTCGAGGCACCACAGGGAACATACCCCTTTCCAGCCCTCTCTCACTTCCAGTATCCAGCATGGCCCCAATCGCACGCTCCGAGGTCCTCAAGCGCCTCCGCAAAGTCATCGCCTCGGGAAGCCCCATCGTGGGCGCCGGCGCCGGCATAGGCCTCTCGGCCAAGTTCGTCGAGCAGGGCGGGGCCGACCTTATAATCATCTACAACTCAGGCCGGTTCCGTATGGCCGGCCGCGGCTCGCTGGCAGGGCTGATGCCGTACGGCGACGCCAACGCCATCGTCGTCGACATGGCCAAGGAGGTGCTCCCAATCGTGCGCGACACCCCCGTGCTGGCGGGCGTGTGCGGCACCGACCCCTTCCGCGACATGCCGCGGTTCCTGCGCCAGCTGAAGGAGCTCGGCTTCAGCGGCGTGCAGAACTTCCCGACCGTCGGCCTCGTCGACGGCTCGTTCCGCGCCGGCCTCGAGGAGACGGGAATGGGCTACGCGCTGGAGGTCGACATGGTGCGCGCCGCGGCCGAGATGGACCTCGTGACGTCGCCGTACATCTTCAATGTCGAGGAGGCCGTTAGCATGACGGAGGCCGGGGCCGATATCATTGTCGCCCATATGGGGTTGACGGCCAGCAAGGGGATCGGGGCGAAGACGGGCAAGAGTCTGGACGACTGCGTCAAGCTTATCCAGGACATTAGGGAGGCGGCGGTGAAGGTCAGGGACGGCGTGATTGTTCTCTGTCACGGTGGCCCGATCGCAGAGGTGGCGGATGCTGAGTATGTCCTCTCGAGAACGAAGGGAGTGCATGGATTCTTCGGGGCGAGTAGCATGGAGAGGATCCCCGTCGAAATTGCCATCACAGACAACACCAAAAAGTTCAAGGGGATCAAGATACCGAGCTAGGGTCACAGGTGGTAAACTTCGTTGCTTGTGACCTACCGAGCCCCCTTCGTACGGCATCACAGAATCATTACTTTCAAACTGGTCTCGAGGCACCCAGACTTGACATGGGTTGACCCCTAGCACGACTGATCCGTAATCCGGGGCTTCAAGGCTCCCGTCTGAGCGCACATATACAACAGGCAGCCAGGCTGGGCCTGCCAGCTTTCCAATCCTTCATCGTCACCCGACCCTTCTACGACCCGGTCATGGTCCGGACACCGAATCCATGATGCAAGCATGTCTACCAGCCGGGCCGCCCGGGAGGCTCTTCGTGACACGTTTGTATGCTGGTGTCTCCATACTGGAATGGTAAGCCAAGGATAACAATTGAATATTACTGCCAAATTGTGCCAAGACAAGAAAATACGGGAACTTGATCTATTTCGAGGAGTGTACCTACATCCAGAACATGATCGAGGTTCTGTGTCTCCAGACATGGGAACGAAGTGGGCAAGTCATGGACGTCTGACTTGACTTGACCCTGACAAACGGTCGATATACCACCATTGCTTCCTTCGCGTCATAGCTTGTATAGTCCAGCACATGTGGGCTGCGGGTAAAGAACCTTGTCCGTTTGCCACGGGCATGGCAACTGTGTACGGATATAAAGACATCTCCTTACTTGGTTCCACCACCCTTTTGCGATATTCCACTACGCTCAGCATCACCCAGGCTGACACAAGATAGTACTATCCCGAGTGCAACGCAAGCCAGCATCCAAACTCAGACGTACTTTACCTTCTGTACCAGCCCGCCAACCTCACCATGACTATCAAGTCACTCATTCTTCACGGCTTGGGCTTTCTACCCCGGTCATCTCCCACCCAGCCATCGAAGGCGCCCTCGAACCAGCAATCAACAGACGCGATGACGGCTTCAAAGACACATCAAGAAGATTCGATTGCGCCGATGTAGAGATCCATCGGAGGATTTTAAGGAGGTTTTTGGGATGTCGATGTTCTCGACGTAAAGAAATGGGCACTCGATGTGTCCACGAACTCTTTCCATCAAACCTCCAGGAAAACATCGAATCGGATCTCGATGAATTCAGCACAGAGCTCCTAAAGAAGTGGAATAATGCCAAAGATCAACCACGCAAAGCTTCGCCCGGCAAATGGCTGCTTTACGATCCCAAACATTGCCAACAATTATTTTCCCAAGGCAAACAGACTAGTATAGACTGCGAGCTTAGGGTTTTGCCAAACGAAGACTTTGAGTCCTTTGGCGATGCCGAGGAGTGTAAGGGACTTGCCAGGACGCTGGTAGCTTTCATTGCTAAGACTAGGGCTTCCACCTTCAATGGGTATCTCAAGGATCGCGAGGGGAAGTCTATTGCGTCTATCGTACTAGGGCTTGAGGCCTCGGAAGTGCTGAGCTGACTCTGGCGAAAAAGGGCGACGATGTGTACTGGTAGCGCGGAACAGCGTCTTACAACGCCGCGGGAATCATGTCACACACAGGCAGTGGCATCGAGGGCGTTGCAGGTACCTAGGTATCTGAAATTATGCCATTAATAATATTTAGAGTCTCCCGGTAGAGGGAGTCGTCTTTCAACCGGGAAGATGTCTACGTAGGCGGTGTTATAGAGTGGATTTGTGGTGAGGAGGCGGGTGCAAATGCTAGTGACACTACGGCGCTTCAACCTGAGCCATCTCAAGGCTCATCCCCAAGAGCGCCCTTCCCCTGTTTCGTTATAGCGGTCAGGCCCGTATCCATCATCTATAGGCACTATGAGCTCTCGGGAAGGTTCCGCAAGCTTGCAATCGGCCATGTGCTTGGACCCGTTGCCCTCCCAGACCTGTGCGGCAGCAGCCCAAAGGGTAGCCGCCGCACCTTGTTGAACCGAATGCATTTGCCTTGTCGTCTCCGTGTCCCCTTTCCACGCCTCAACTTCCCCTAGGGATGAATACCGCGTGATCCCCGACCAGACACCACCAAGGTTCAGTCACAACGAATGAACACCACGAGTGCCGTTTTTTTTATCAAAAGTATTTGATCCCCAAGTAATGGCTAGCTTGGACTGGCTATAGGCGACCGCCGCATCGTAGTTATCCGTGAACCCGAGAGCGGGTGGCGGTGTGCCGATGAAGCCATCCAGACGACTTTGGAGCTAAACGTATCAGAACCACTGGAAAGCAAGGTGGGTAGAAGCAGCGCAGTGAGGGTGTAGTGTGACAAGTAGTTAACCGCAAATTGTCACTCGAGTCTCTCGACGGTGGTCATCTTTGGGCACCTGCCGCATAGACAGCTCTAGGTGTCTCGATATCTAGAGCCGAAGTTGTCCCAGTGTTCATAACGATTCTAATACACCGACTCCCGATGTGACCATTGTCCTCGAGGATACTCAGAGCCGTGGGTCGCTGGTCACCAGGTCCCTGCACATCGTCGTATCGTTCTAGGTACACTCACCCCTCATAAAGTCTCCGTACGGTCACGTTGATCAGATTCCATATTACCGATGGGAAATTTTCGAATATTGGAATAAGCACATTGAAATAAGCAGCCCCGATTCGAAACCTCATTTTCAGTGCTTATTTCAGTGTGCTTATTCCAATTCGATAAATATACCGTTGTATGCTGGACGGGGGTGTACGGAGACTTATGAGGGTTCAGTGTATGGTCTGAAAGAGTCCAACATTTTCGGGGCTGACAAAGGGGGCGCTGCAGGAGTGAAGAGATGGGTGTTATTTTGCAGGAGTCCGAGAACCGTCTGAGGGTGTGTAGACTGATGCTGGTGTACCGGCGCTCAGCCCCTCTCTATATGCATTATTTGATCAGTGGAGCGCGGGTTGGGAGAGTACACGAGCATGGAACTCCTCAAGCGGTGTCACCTCGGATGTCAACCGCGAGTCCGCTCTTCAAGACCGGCCACAGAATCCGCTTGCTGATCGCTGGTATATCATGTGTGGCCGCTGCTGTCAGCCTTATCTTCCTGTACGGAATACACCTTTGGCCAGGTCAAGAGGCCCGCCGAACCGCCAGTTCCGCTTCAGGAAAAAGCCAGCCGCACCAACCAGCAAAGGGCTGTATAGCAGCGCCATGAGCCCGCGCATGAGGACCTTGCCTTGGTGGTCACTCTTTGACACTACCTCCGAGTACCTCTCATTCCCGAAGCTGACTCTAGAGTACTTTGTATGCCAACCCAAGCTTGGCACGTGGACTGACAAGAGCTCTTCCAAGTATTTTCGAAACCGGTATGTGGGTGACAAGACCGAAGCGCGCATCTCCACGTAGTTCTGCAGAGCTAGGTCGTTGATCGCATGAGCGTCAGCAGCACGCAATGCCGAGTATTCTGCAAGACTCATGCTTCTTTGGTAGACGGCATCACCAGGTGAACTGCTCTCAGTAGTTTCATATTTGTCCAGAAGGTCAAATAAAACGCGTACATCCTCAAGGCCGGCGTTCATCCCCTGTCCATAGAAGGGTACCATTGCGTGCGCCGCATCGCCCAAGATAACCACAGAACTAGAAAAGTGATAAGGCCGGCATTTGATGCTGATCAGAGGAAGATGAGGGTTAGCTTCAAAAGAGGACATAAGTTCGTTGGGATTAATAAGGGTAGTGACACCGGGGAAATGAAGGTCGAAAAACGCTGGCAATGTAGAAGAGTCCGCCTCCAATGTCGCAAACTCGGTACTCGGTAAGAAGAGGGTACAGGTGAAGGAGCAGTCCTATGCCTCGTTAGTAGGATCACTTAATGGGAAAAGAGCTGAGCCTCACCTCGCTTGGAATCGCGATGAACATGAACTGCTTTCCTGGCCATATATGGAGATGATTTGGTGAGATATGGAATCTGGAGTTTGGGCCCTTATCACCAGAGTCCGTTCTCGGCGGAATTTGGAACTCGCACCATAAAGTGTCAATATATTCTTGCGAGTAGTCCATCCTTGCGAACTTCATGAGATGATACCGGACAGCAGAATGGGCCCCGTCCGCTCCGATCATGAAGTCGAAATCGATCTCGACTTCCTCTGGGCGTCCCGAAGAAGATGTCTGGCCTCGAACCTCAAACCAGGCCTTGCGCTGTTTGAAGTCGGCTCCCGTGAGTTTGTGGTTGAAGAAGAATTTGACGTTAGGCATTGCCTCGAGAATATCCAAAAGACGTTTATTCAGACCAGCTCTGTCAATAGCGAATATTGTCTGTCGCGGCCAATCGATCAGCGAGGTTCGGATTTACCATAATATGTGAGTGACAGCGATGCGTACCCGTCCGTGGACATCGTAATCCTGCGGCTCTTCATAGAGATCGCCGGATGGGCGCTTCCCGTGTATCATTCTTCCTCGCATTGGGATGGTAGCTGAGAAGACGTGCTCAAGCAAGTTTCCTTCGTCAACGTGACGCATGGCGTTGATGCCCCTTTCGGACAGGGCCAGGTTGATGGACTTGGTGAAGTTTAGTGGTGTGGTCGAAGGGTCACGTAGATCTAGAAACCATTAGGTATATGCTCAAAAAGCTAAAGGGCTCGCAGAGAAAGGGATGAGAGCTGGAAAATGTGCGAGATCTCAACATACCACTTCTAAGCTCATAGATCTCAACGTCATGACCTCTCTTCGCCGCATAGAGGGCGGCAAGGGAGCCGACAGGCCCACCACCGACCACAACATACTTCTGTTTATGCATAAGTGCAGATTGCGATAGACAGCGGTAGACACTGACTGCCTCTTTGGAGCAACGTGAATCGAACTTGAGAGCGTTTGCTGCGATGGATTCATATAAGTCTAGTGTTACACCAGACACATGCAGTCAGACGTGAGAATTATTAATTAAGCCGCGGAAGGTTCTCTGGCAGCACTGGGCAGCCGCCGGCCCACTACTAAGGAAGGAAGACCGTTTTTGATGCATACTACGTTTACAAGGGTAACTAGTATCGTACGATTCGATGAGTGCTTGACTATTATGGGGGTTATGCGCGCCTTTCGTTGTCTAGATTAGTCGTTCTCCTAACTACTATTTGCGAACACGTCGTGACACCCAGGTGGTTTCGAACTCTCTGGATGCTGGTACTCTGCGATTGATTATACGGACTCTACTCGTCTTCCCCCTCGATTTGCAGACTATTCTGCCCTCGCAGAGTTCGCCACCTCGACCAGCTGTGGCAAAGTCGACCCCGCCGTCCACCATGACCACCGAACCGCCCGCGAAGAAGAAATGCATTGGAGTACAATGCGACAACGACGCCCAATCCTTGCAGTGTCCCAACTGCCAGAAACTCGGCATCAAAGGCAGCTTCTTCTGCTCCCAGGACTGTTTCAAGAAGAGCTGGGTCCGCACATTGCAATAGTCTTTCATGTTGCGCCCCTCGAAGCTGACGCCGGGGGGGTAGAATGATCACAAGGCTCTGCACAAGATTGTATCGGGCAAGACAACGACTGGTATTCTTGACCATATCCGAACTCCGAAGGTCGTGTCTGAACCTGATCCCGCAACAGGTCTCTACAATCCTTTTCCATCATTCAGTTACACTGGACCGGTGCGACCCGTCTACCCGCTGTCCGAGAAGCGTACCGTCCCCAAAGACATACCGTGGCCGGATTATGCTGAGTCGGGGTACCCCAAGAGTGAGAGGTTCGTGAACCGGAATAAGTTCGAAATACTGGATGCCAAGGGCCAGGAAGCTATGCGGAAGGTTTGCAGGTACGGGCGAGAAGTCCTGGATATTGTGGCAGCTGAGGTCAAGCCCGGGGTCACGACCGACTACCTGGATAAGGTTTGCCATGAAGCTTGCTTGGAGCGAAAAGTGCGCCACCCATCTCGTCCAACTGAATGTGCATGGACTTATGCTAACCAGCGCAGTCTTACCCTTCTCCCCTCAACTACAACCACTTCCCCAAATCTTTCTGTACATCGGTCAACGAGGTCATCTGCCACGGCATTCCGGACCAGCGGGTGCTCCTCGACGGCGACATCATAAATCTGGATGTCTCTTTATATCACGGAGGATACCACGCCGATCTGAACGAGACCTACTACGTTGGCGACAGAGCCAAGGCCGACCCGGACACTGTGAGGGTAGTCGAAGCGGCTCGAGAATGTTTGGACGAAGCGGCCAAGAGCATCAAACCCGGAACTTTGATGCGGGAATTCGGCAATATCATCGAGAAGCATGCCAAGTCCCAGAATTGCAGCGTCATCAGGACCTACTGTGGCCACGGTGTCGGCAGCCTGTTTCACTGCCCTCCAAACGTACCACATTACGCCAAGAACAAGGCTGTGGGAGAATGCAAACCCGGTATGACCTTTACGATCGAACCGATGATCGCGCTGGGCAAGTACCGGGACATCACCTGGCCGGACAACTGGACGAGCACCACGATAGACGGCAAGAAGACTGCGCAATTTGGTAAGTTGGCAAAATATGAAGCTCCTTTGCTTATCTAGGCAACTCAAGCCACATGCTAATGGGCGAATAGAGCACACCTATTTGGTTACAGAAGATGGAGTTGAGGTACTGACGGCGCGGACCGAGACGTCCCCAGGAGGGCCTGTGCCTATGCCATCCGTTGAGAACGGCACAAATGGCACAAACGGTAGCTGATGATGGGAGGATGGTGGATGCCCACGTAGACTGGGACCTACAACGCCTACATAGGCAAGTGCAAGAGTGATGCATTAGGTCAGGACCGGCTTTAGTGAGATAAATACAGCCACAGCATGAGGAAGCACTGAAGAGCAGTCAGAACTCGTGATGGCCAAGATGATGTCTGAAGTAACCGTAAATTTGTATGGTCTGATGTCGATTCCACCGAGGATTGTGATGAGCTGCTCTAGTCTTTAGCCTCTGCGTAAATCCTAAGTACTGCAACAATGGTCGACCAGAATGCCTGTGCGGTAGGATACCAATCAGCCAATATGCGAACCCCTTTTCCCCGTATTGCTGATTTTGCGGACCCCCTGCATGCCTCGCCATCATTGCCCCTCCATCCACGCGCGGACCACCCCCAACCCAACCCTGCCAACCCCCAATTCCCAGCGGCACAGCAGCCCAAAGCTCGCCAAAAAGCGGCCGAGCTGCCCCCCTGCAGTGGACAAACTGGGCACTAGACGACCCGACCCCGACCTCCTCCTTCCTTCGGCAAGCCTCGAACTCCCAAAGGCAGCTTTTTCACGCGCGGACCGCTTTCATCATCACCACCAACACCGCCCGCCGCCAACATCCACACATTTATACCAACTCGCGCGACATTCGTCCGTCTGCCTATCTGCCTGCTCCCAAGGATACGTACACACACAAAACCCAGTCGAACTTCGCGCCCCGCATCAGCAGTCGAGTACAGTCACCAGACGTGCTTGTCCAGCCTTATCTACCTCCGGAGCGAAGTGCTCGCGTCCAGCTCTGCCATCCGATCGCCCAACACCCGCGACCTCGATAACTACCCAACATTTCATCATCGGCGGCGCAACAAGATTGCACCTTGTTTCAACTCGTTCCCCTGAGGCCTTCGAATGCTCGATCGCTGCTTCTGACCCTCATCCTCGCGTCAAAACAAGCTATCCCCGGTCTACACAGTCAAACCCGCCAACATGTCGGGCGAAGCGTGGTTATACCTCTTCGCGGTGCTGATCAATGCCGTCAACCTGTTCCTACAAGTCTTCTTCACCATCATGTACAGCGATCTCGAATGGTACGTATGAAAGACGCCATCCCCGCGTGCTCGAGGCTTGATTAGCTCCGCAAGAGGTTTCGGCGATTTACGTCATTTGTTCCTATACACCCATACCTCGTCTCGCATGTGGAAGACCTCTTGCTAACCGGGCCTTGTTCTATTCAGTGACTATATCAACCCCATCGATCTCTGCAACCGCCTGAACACCTACATCATCCCCGAGGCTGCCGTACATGGGTTCCTCACCTTCATGTTCCTCATCAACGGGTACTGGGTAGCGCTCGTCCTCAACCTTCCCCTACTGGCCTGGAATATCAAGAAGTATGTCGCGTGGCAATGCGCTCCGCTCTAAGATGACATCAAGTGGCACTCGCTGACATGCTGAATAGGATTGTTGAGAACACTCATCTACTAGACGCAACCGAGATCTTCAGGAAGCTGAATGTCCACAAGAAGGCAAGCTCTACCTGGTCCATTCCCCAGCTTTTGCCTCGGCTAACACGGCGCAGGAATCCTTCTTCAAGCTCGGGTTCCATCTGGTCATGTTCTTCTTCTACCTTTACAGCATGATCGTCGCTCTAATCAAGGACGAAACGAAATAAGTTGTGGGAGACGTCGACCACGGCACAGCGCCATACGGATGTGGGACACACCCAACGGGACGAACGATAGTTCATGTGCCGTGCAAACGCTTTCGACGTGTCATGTATCATGGAAGCTGGTCCTATTGGGAGCGCATGGCCATGGTCATTGACGCGCTTGGAAAGCACGAACGCTGGAATGAGTGGATGGGAAGAAGCAAGCAGGTGACAGGGTGGCGGGTGTTCACTGGCTTCGCTGAGTGTAGCTTTCGCTTTATACTTGTGGGAAGCCAGGAAAATGGATTGGAATCGAAGAACAGGAGTTGTGCACGGTGTATAGGGAGCAGTATTGGTCTTTGGTGCAAGTTCAACATAATGAAATACGACATAATACCCATGAAATCATCATTCATCCCTTCCATAAGGTACCTATACCTACCTTACTCACACATGTAAATCCTCGGACCCACACTCTCTTACATGCATGTGGTATGCATATAAGAGTACCCGCTTGTTGTGGGGGCGTCGTTGTGCCTTGTGGTAGCGGTATCCAGAATAAGGACCAGGGTCACGATAGGTGGCTATTGGTCTGTATTCTGGAAGTTGCTTGATTGAAAGAAGGGATGGGTGGTGTCCCCATCCCAGAAGTAGCTATCATCCCAGTTGGGTACAAAACAGGTACAGACGGGTACCCGTTGGGCTCCACGGTACCTTGTATCCTGGTCCGTGACCCATCCGTCATTGTGGCTGGAAAATGGATTGAGGAGCCACATCGTTGACTAAGCTAGTTTTCTGAGCGACAGCTCAAGCTTCAACTCAAGCTGCCGCATCTTCCTTTGCCTGTTTCCAACCCATTTTCGATCCGCCATACTTACTCGACCACCTCGCGCAACCCTGTTCGACAGCCGCCAAGATGACCGACTTCGGCGAGTATCCGCCCAACATGGCGCCGCAAGATGCGCTGATTGTACGCGAACAAGCTCAACCAGATCACGCCGTCGTTCCATACACTGGCGAAGACCTCGCCAGACCCAAATACGGACCTCTCAACCCCTACAAGGACGAAGCGAACACCCTGAAGCGCAAGAATGTTCTCACTGGGAGCGCCGAGGAGACTTTCGTCAGCGAACACACCTTTCGAAACAAACATCGTGCCATCGAGCGCAAAGGCGGCCCCGAGAGAGAATACCAGTCTGGGCTTGCGCTCAAGGAGGAAGCGGCGCAGCTAAGAGCTTCACGGCAGAAGAAAGGCGACGCTACGATTGCCGATGGCGATGACGCTTATGTTGGCCCATGGGCGAAGTACCAGAAGGACGAGTACGAAGAGGTTGGCGAGGACGAAGAGCTGGCGAGCGACGAGGAGGTCGAGTACGTCTACGTGGACGAAGATGATGTCGTCGCGAGTGGGACGGTTGTTTCCGCGCCGAAAAATGCCCTGGCGAGGAGGAAAGAAGTCGAAGAGTTGGGAGACGAGACGACCACATTCCACGGCCAGCAAGAATACGACTACCAAGGACGCACGTACATGCACATACCGCAAGACCTCGACATCGACTTACGGAAAGAGCCCGGAAGCGTCACAAATTACATACCCAAGAAGCTGGTGCATACGTGGAAGAATCATGGCGACAAGGCTGTCACCGCCCTACGGTTCTTCCCCGACTCGGGCCACTTATTGTTGTCTGCCGGCGCGGATACGACAGTCAAGATTTTCGATGTCTATCACCAAAAGGAGCTGTTACGAAGCTACTCTGGCCATTCAAAGGCTGTATCGGACATCAGCTTCAACATCTCCGGCACGCAGTTCCTCTCGGCTTCCTATGATCGCATGATGAAGCTGTGGGATACCGAGACGGGCACATGCATTAACAAATTCACGACTGGAAAGACGCCGCATGTCATCAAGTTCAACCCATCTGTGGAACATTCACACGAGTTCCTAGCGGGTATGTCAGACAAGAAGATCGTCCAGTTCGACACACGGACACGAGAACTAGTCCAAGAGTATGACCACCATCTTAACGCCATAAACACCATCACATTCGTGGATGACAATCGGAGGTTCATGACTACGTCTGATGACAAGTCCCTCCGAGCATGGGACTACAACATTCCAGTCCCCATCAAGTACATTGCCGAGCCATATATGTACCCCATGACTCGCGCGACGTTGCATCCGTCAGGCAAATATGTGGCGTACCAGTCATCCGACAACCAGATCGTCGTCTATGGCGCAACGGACAAGTTCCGCCAGAACAGGAAGAAGAGTTACCGTGGGCACAACAATGCAGGCACGGCCACGGATGTCGCCTGCAGTCCAGACGGGCAATTCCTCGCCAGTGGTGACAGCGGCGGCTTCGTCTGCTTCTGGGATTGGAAGACGTGCAAGATGTACCACAAGCTGCAGGCTGGCGACCAGGCCATCACCAGCGTGCAATGGCATCCGCAGGAGACGAGTAAGGTGGTTGCCGGTGGGCTGGATGGTATCATCCGATACTGGGATTAGAGAATGAATCAACTTTCTTGCACCACCCGGCATTCTCCGTTTGACAACAGAGATAGCGATACGCATGGCTGTTATTATTTGAGATATGGCAATGGATGCCGCTCAGCATCTGCGTATGATCATTGATACCCAGCGTCAGTCCGCCTTCCCTCCAATACTTGCCGGCCACGAAGTAGTTGTTACTCTTCGTCCTGCGAAGTTTGGAACCCGAAACGGGGACATAACTTCTCCATAACTCCTCGAGGCGACCACAAGTCATCCCCGCCTTTCTGGAATACGCTCGCCTCCAACTCCGTCTGTTGAGCATACTCATTTTCGGCACTGGGGGCTCGGAGCTGATCATTGAAGATATGTCGATATCATCAATCTGTCGCCACGGTTGTCACGCTGTGCCTCTCGAGTGGAGTGTATAGCCCGATTGAGGTCCAATATTCGGGGTCTAGCGACGAGGTCTGAGAACCGCGATACCGCCCCGGCCATGCGACACTGGGTTTCAATAGTCACGGCAACCAGCGCCAGGCGGATGACATTGACTAGGGTGGGGAGCAGGCAAGCCTCGGTCCTGGATTGAGATTTTGTCTACTATTGATAAACAACGATGCTTACAGCCATTATGTGGTCAAGGCAACGGAGATACCGCCGTTGTAGGACTACATCAGAGTTGCAAACAGCCTTACGGAATCTCGACCCTATAACCATAAATAGAAGCCATCAAGGCACGATACCAATGCACTTGATTCACTACCTAGGTACTTGTGTCATCATGTTTCGTATAGCTCACGGCTGCAATGATCATCCATATCAAACCACCACGAAGATCGATCCATTTACGATCGAGGCAAATTGGGATTGCCTCTTTCAATATAACCACGGTAGCACAGTTAGGACGAATCCATTTTAGTGGCTGGCGGTCATGCTTGACCGAGGCATTTACCAAACAGACATGGGACCGAGTCGACCTCTCCGGGCCGCCTGCTTACCTTGCCCTGCAGGTTACTGGGTGTACGACGGTCCAAATCACGAGCCAAACTTCCCCATGTAGCCAGCATCCCATTCCCTGGTATTTTACACGGATGATGGGGTTGCCGCCTAGTCACTGAGCCACTCGTCTCATCTTCCGCCGGTGGAAACACACAAACAAAACATGGGGCCTCTTTGTCCATGCCCGCGACGGCCTGTACATCGTGAGTCTGATCGGCGACACGCTTCTTTGTCACGATCTGAACGTCATGGGCTTCATTTCTGGTGACTCGCCGTGCGGTGCTGCCTGTTCCAGAGCCATGGCCATTGTTAGGATGCCCTGGACACATGCTTGTTCTGTAAGGGTAGTCCCGTCTGTGCCGCGGCACAAAGGGGTCGGCGACAGAAGTTGGGATCGGCGACTCGGCGACTCAGAGGCTAGGTGGTCTCTTCTTGACAGTAAGGACGTGGCACAGGCGTTACAATGGGCTCGTTCGGTTCTTGTAGTCCATTAAAGGCCTTCCTGATTTCTCTTTCTCTGCATTCCTGTTTTCCAACCACCAGAACCAACCAGAACCAGAACCACCCAACCCAGATAGCAAGGACAGAAACGATACCTATCTACTACACCTCAGCAATACAGAACGGGACCAGACACAGACCCACGAAGACCACCACCGAGACCTTGACTTTGCTCGCCTACCTACCTACCTCTCTACGAGTGATCGCGAACCACCACCAACACCTCCACTGACATCACCAACCAAAACCACAACCACAACAACCATGCCCTACTTCATCCCCGCCACCCCGGTCGTCATGTTGCACCCCGTCGGCTACCTCGTACCGCAGCCCCAGCCCGTATATGTCCAGCCCGCTCCCGTTATGGTGCCCGTCCAGCAGGCCGTACCCGCCTACCCGGCTGTGCGCATTACCCGGATTGCTTAGGCTATTCGAGGGGGGATATGGAGTGAAGTGAAGCAGCTGAGGTGGTACGTCTATCTGTCCTGGAGGTGTTGAGGGGGGAGTACGGGGATTGACCGACTGACTGATGGTAGGGAAGGAGAGGAATGGGACTTGATTCTTGCGATAACACAGCTGGGAACAGAGATGTCTGATGGCGGTGCTAGATCTGAGAAGGCTTGTGGTTGTGGCGGAACACACTTCTATGAGGAGAAGCGTTGCTTGAAAGGTACCCACCCAGACGAAATTGATACGAGGTTGCTGGCTGATGCTGAGAGGGCTATGGCGCGCTCTGGTGCTATTATATTGCTAGAACGCCGCTTACGGAGGCTCGGCCATGCTTGCTCACGGCCGCGGCCACGGCCATTCTTAATCACTAATCGCACTTCTCTTCCCTGATTACAGTACCTACTATACACACTGCCTCACGTTCTATGTGAGAAAGCCCCCCTATCGTGTCCAACTAGGAATCAAGCTCGTAGTCCCCACAAACCCGTCCAGCCTCTCATTTCTGCCATACACAAAAGCCAGCGAGTCGTCGCGCAGCGCAATCACCACCACGACCTCCTGCCCCCTATCCAGCCTGCCCTCCCTCTCCCAGACCGCCGCCTGCTCCCGGAAACGCCACAGTACCTCGTGCAGCTTCGACGCGCCCGGGTCTAGGTCCTCGTTGTCGACGTCTAGCGTCCGAGGGCGCTTCAATTTGTTGTTGTTGCTGCTGCTGCCGCCATCGCCGGCGCCGACGAAGCCGTCCGAGTCGGCATTGACGGCGATGCAGGCGTGGGCCGGCCAGGGTCCATCCTCCTCATCATACTCGTCGTCGTACTCCTCCCCATCCCCGTCGGGCCTCTCAAAGAACACAAGCGTATCGCGCACCCGCACCCGCTCGCGCCCAGCTAGCTCATGTCCCGCCGGGAACCCCAATAGCGGACCCTCCTCAATATCAACTTCCAGATCCCCGTCGCCGCCGCCGCGCTGAGACATCTTGGCGTTGACCAACCGCTGCTGCTCAAACAGCAGCTCGCGCAGCACATCATCACTATCGCCGCGTTCCCGCGCCTCGGCGATCAGCCCCGCGAAGTGGTCGTGCAGCTCCAGCACCTCGCGCACCTCGCGCTCCGCCTCCATGAGCGCGCGCTGGTAGCGACGCAGCTCGTAGTGCTGGAGCGCGAGGTACGCGCTGATGGTGAGAAAGGAGCCGATGGCCATGTCGCAGAGGCGGCTCCATCTGGATCGGTGGGGTGGTGGTGGGATGCGGTAGGTGATGGGTTGCTGGGGCGCGAAGTTGGAGTAGGGGCGGTGGTGGTGGTGGTGGTGTTGCCGTTGCGGGATGTTCAGGGGCTTGTGAGGATGGTGGCGCGCTGGGGAGAGTGGTGATGAGAGTTGCCGGATGGTGCTGGTGGTGGGCTTGGTCGCCCAAGGGCAAAGGTGTCGCATCATGCTGGTCGGGGCCTTAGACGCGCCTTGGGGAAATGTGTGCATTATTTACTGCGTGATTCTGGCACCAAGGAGTGAGATGGTTGTGCTCCTCGACATGTGAGTTTGGTTTCGCTGGTCAAGTCGCGTGAACGCCAGGGCTATCTTGTAGCTACAGCCTTACCAGAATTATATGGGGGGTCGGAACCGTGCTGGAACGGTTCCTCTAGAGGAACCGTTCCTAATTTGGAATCCGGGTGGAACCGTTCTAACGATTCTACCACGGTTTTAAAATCTGGAACAATTCCGGAACCGCATCGTAACTATTCTATCATATATATTAAAATCTGTGAGATTCTAGAACGGTCACAAGCCTTGGGGGTGTGAGCGGTCGCTGCAAATATTGTTGTCATTCTCAAGTATGCTCGGCAGGGCTAATCTACAGCTAAATACCATATTGCACCATGCTAGGGTGGATCCACTGTTCCCTTGACAGCCCCCTGGTGGGTACTGCACCTAAGGGCACCATATCTGGGATCCAACATCTGACAAAATCTTTAAAAAAAAAACCTCAAGTAATTTTTTGGTGTTTTTTCAACTTGAACGAGCGACCTTAAAGTTTAAAAAAATTCGAGTTTTTATTATTAATTAATAAATAATTTTACATTTCATGGTTATTTTTATATTAACTGTGACGGCCTGCACAGACCTTCCCACATGACAAGCCGATACTTCCCAATAAGGGAAGGATCTGACCAGAGGATCCCCTTAAAGGGGCAACCTCCCGCTGTACCTATCTCTCTCTCTCTTCCTTTCCTCTCTAGTCTTGATATTCTCGTCAATAAAGTAATAGCTGCTTGCTGCAGCCCATGTCCCAGCTCCCCAGTATGCTCGCCGTGACAAGCGCACGCAGAAATCCAGGAAGAGAAACAGAAGACCCCTGAGCCTGAGACCCCTGAAGCTCTGAATCAGAGGACCAACGGACCCCTACTACGAGCCGCCAGATCATGAATTTCGGCAAAAATAAATCCCTTGTTACCTGGATAAAGTACAGAAAGATAGCCACTGCGTTTGAGGCTAAGGAGACCGACCTTGTTATTAAGGATAGGAAGATCAAGGCCATGGAGACTGAACTGGAGCGGCTATGGCCAAAAAAGCAGCAAAATATCCCTAATCCTAACAGGAAATTCAGAACAGTCACGGAGGTACTAAGCACGGGTGGTACCATCACTCCTGGTGCCTCTGCGGATGTACCAGAAATTATGGTTGATGATGACAAGGAAGAAGAAGTAGAAGACGAAGACTCGGCTGAAGAGGCCGTTTCGGAGGCCATACAGGAGCCTAGGCAGACCCGTTTGGGGCGATTCATTCGGGCGCCCACTAGATACTACGAATTATCAGCTTCAGCGCTCTCCAATGATAATTTTGCTGGATTTCTCTGACCTGAATGGCTTCTTTTACATGTGGGTGAATAAGGGGGTGTTTTGGTGGTGGTGGTGGGGTTTTGCTGTACGAGATGTGGGGGTGTACGAGATGTGGGGCGGATGGTACTCAGACCATGGAAACATCCGGGATTCCGGTCTTGGGTCGGAGCCCGGACGTTCACTTTGCTGACCGGAGCGGATGGATTACCTAGTCCATCGGGGTTTTTATGGAGACCCGTTACAGTCAGGCTCTAGAGGTCTCCGAGAAGTCGACGGGTCAGTATACCGCGCACGTAATGTTGTTACGTGTGGATAAGAGACCAGACTATACTAGACCTGGCTCGGCATCAGGAGCTTGAGTCTATCCGCATCAACGAACACCTAACCGGTTACATGTAATGCGCCATTTGCCAGCGTGCAGATGCTGTTTCGGGCCTGTCATCACACCTTCTCCATTCCAACTGCAGTTGGCTCCTATCCATCAGTGTTGTTTGATCTGAAGTTGTGATGGACGATGAAGTGTTTAAAGTAGTTGTGTATCCAGTGTCAGACTCCCTTCTTATATAAGTAACGTCAGACCGAATACCATCTCCTCCCACCTATCAATACAGAAGATTCGCATTCCCCCTTCCATTGACTTGATACTAATACTATTCGTAACCATGGCGCCGCCAACTATTGTTCTAATCACGGGTGCAAACCGCGGTCTGGGAGAAGGACTCGTAAAGCGCTACCTCACCAAGCCTAACCACGTCGTGATCGCCCTCAACCGTAACCCAGCCTGGCCGTATGGCGCAATGGTCAAATGCGCCTGGTTGTGTTCTCGTTTGTGCGGTGGGCGACGAGAACAAGTGGGTTCGAATCCTGCTATGGCCCCCTTTCTGACCCGGCTTGTGCGAGTCGATAACCAGCACACGACAGTGGAGAGGCCCCATTTTATCGCAGAGCCCGATAGCCAAGCAGCTTGTCTCCACAATACCCACTCCTGCGAGGTTTTCCCCCTTGTGGTTTCCCTCGCCAGCAGATAACAAACACCTACTCCACCCACCAATGCGACATATATCGAACGGCTACTGGAACGATATGTACACCAGAGAACTGAGGTTCACTGGGTCGCTTTGTCACTAGATAGGAGGTTTTTCTGACGGAATCGTGCTTGGGTATTGACTAAAACCATCTGAACACTCCAGATTGGTACCGCTACAGCGAGGATAGGCTCGTGCGCGGATCTGAATGTATCTAATTTGACACCTCTACAACCTTGCGATGCAATGGCTCTGGGAGGCGTGGTTTGCACTACTGAGGAGCTACCCCCCACGTTAAATACAAAACAAACAAACAAACGTAACCCAGCCCACCCAACTTCCAAAGCTCTCTCCGATCTTCCCCAGGCGGACGGCAGCCGTCTGATCGTCATCAAGGCCGACGCGTTCGTCGAGCGGGACGCCCACGACGCCGTCAAGGAGCTGGAGCAATCGCACGGCATCGAACACATCGACATCGTGATCGCCAATGCTGGTATTTCGGCTGTCTGGCCCACGGTAGCCGACGTTAAACTCGCGGACTTGAAGGCCCACATGGAGCCCAATGTCTACGGCGTCGTGGCGCTGTACCAGGCGACGCGCGCGCTGCTGAAGAAGTCGTCCAGGGAGCCCGTGTTCGCGCCGATGGGGTCCACGGCCGGCATGTTCAAGTGAGTATCTATTCCGTCGGGGCCAGGGGGTCCTGGCCCAAGTCTTACTAATGCGCGACAGTAACCAACCACCAATCCCCAATGCGGCGTACGGCCCGTCGAAGGCGGCGACGAACTGGTTCGCTATCAGGATCAACACCGAGGACGACTGGCTTAACGCCTTCGTCATGTGTCCCGGCTGGGTGACGACCGAGCTGGGGGCCGTGGGCGCCAGAGGCCTGGGCTTCAGCGAAGAAGCCATCGCCAAGATGTTGATAGGCGTCGATGAATCGTGTGAGGGTATGATGAAGGTGCTCGCGGATACATCCAAGGAGAAGCACGGCGGGAAAATGGTGGCCTATAATGGAGATGTCATTGAGTGGTAGAAGGACTTAGTTCAGACTGCAGGAGCCACGTGCCCCATCAGTCTTGTATTCAGACACAGTCAATAGGAATAGAGCTACATGAAGTGTATGACCTATTTGGACTGTCTCCGTTCCACTTGTTATTGGATCTCCCAAGGGAAACTCAGACGACGAGAACCCGGAGAGTTTTCAAGACTACGCTTGGTCTCTCGCACACCAGGTCAACCCATCCTATTGAAGCATCCATAGAAGCCTTGCTACCTATGACCATGCCTTCTCAACCAATCCAATTGATCACGAGTTGCGGTGAGCTAGAAATCGGGACATGACCAGCATCGATGCAGGTAATGTCGACCTTCTTTCCACTGGCCTCCTCAATCCTCTTGATCCCAGTCCGCTGGGACTCGGCCGGAATCACTCGGTCGTTCTCGCAGATCAGGTACGACACTGGGACGTCGTTGTAGCCGGCATGCGTCAACGGGCTGCCAAATGCGGCGGCCGACTGCCGGGTGAATCTCCTGACCATCCTCTCGCCTTCTTCGGCGGGGAGGTCTGAGAAGCTCTTGGACGCTTCCTTCGAGAACTCGACGTAATATAGCCATCCGTTCTCCTAAGGCAGAAAGTATCAGGCATCGACCATCCAGACGGGCAAAATGCAGAAGAATGCACAGAGAGAAGAATGAATGTCAAGAGAGGGCTAATCTTGCATCGATTGATGTCGATGGTCTTCCAGGATCCTCCTGCGCCGCACCGGTCAAAGCCTCAGCACCCGTCATGCCAACAGCCGGAACAAGCGCCGTGAGGTAGGCGATCCGCACAATGCCCCCGGGCTTGCCCTGCTTCTTCCTCTCCGCGACCCGCAGTCCGCGCGTGCTCTCTGTCATGGGGACGCCGCCATACGAGTGCGCTACAATAATGATCTCCCTCCCGGCATCGGCGAGCACCTCGACCTCCCGGGCAATGAGCGCCGCATCGGCGTACATATCCGGCGCCTTGTGTCCGTCCCTTGCGCCCCCGCTTCCTAGACCTGCGGTTTCCATGTGCAGGGCGCGGATGTCGTGGCCCTGATCGGCGATGGGGCGGACCACGGGGTCATGGAGCTCTGGGAGCCCGAACGCGCCGGGAATGATGAGGATGGAGATCTTGGACATGGCTGCTGACAGGTGTGGTTTCGAGACGCAGAGAAGAGGAAGTCGTTCGCAAATGGCGATCTGTTGTCACAGATGCGGTCTTAACAGTTCAACCCCGCCCGATGTTACAAATCAAAGCATTACAAGTCATGCCACTGCGCCTCTCCCTCGCAGCCGACGAGGATGGGCTGAGGCCTCGGAACATTGTTGATGGACTGTTTTAATTGGGGGACCTATACGACCAGTTGACATCAAGCCAGAGCTTATTGGAGCGTACTTGCCATTGTACAGTCTTCGTAGATTATTGAAAACAATATTCTAGCCAATGGTATCTGATCACGACTAGTGTTGAGCAACCCAACCGACAAGTTGCGGATGTCGATGTCGTTGCCGTGCTCAGGGGTAAACGGACACCACAATGAGATGCCGATCCCAACCACCTGCAAAGGGTGCAGGTAGCATTAACCCCACCCGGCGACCGTTTGCGTTTGTTTCGACGTCTCAACCACTCCTCATGTTGACAGCAAGCATTCAGGATTACAGACAGTTTGAATACCGCAGAGCTTATACAAGGGAGCTTGAACAAGCGTGTGTTGACCAGACTGCTTAACAATGGCTACGAATCTGACGTACGGCTCTCATCTTACCGGACGGCAGACCCGTCGGCTAGGTCCGATCTCCAAACTCACCCGACAGCAGCTCTGCAGTCTCATCCGGTGCATCCACGAAAGCCCTGGACAGGGCTGGATCCAATGGCGCGCCAGCTTGCGAGAAGCCCTAGAAGTATACGGGCTCCTGGTACACATCGAATATGCGGATGCGAGTAACGGCCGTCCTGAATCTGAACGTCAGGAAGTAGCCTCATTCCTTTGGCACTCACTGTCGGACGAAGTACAGCGAATGATGCGAGGAATCGGTTGCAATATTACCACCCACCATTCCCGGCCCTCGCGCATGTACACATCGCTTTTGGAGCTCGGAGAAGCTAGCGGTCTGAAGTCGCGGTTTCTATGGAACATTGAAGCGACCTCTGGTGGACCTACACGAGAAAGCGATGTCGCAGAAGCCGAGATTGGCGAGGGCTGGACTACAGTCTCCCTACCTGCCGTTCATGTAGCCGCCTCTCGCGGACCTATGGATGAGGCCCCCGAAGAAACGATGCAAGACCGCATCGTGCGTATCACAGCCGATCTGGAATCCTTGACCTCCTACTACAACATCACAAGCTCATCCACGCGACATAACCGTCTAGACGAGTTCTACACAGAAGAGCTATCCAGCCTCAGACAGCAGCCCTTTCACTCATACGATCAAGACGAGAAGGTGGACTACATCCTTCTGAAGACCTACCTCCGCCGCGCCCAGCGCACCCTCAAGCTGGACCAAGCTCGCGACGCAGCATCAGCACCCTTCATCGAGCCCTTTGCCGCACCCATCAAGGCCTGGCTCGAGGGCCGACAGAGCGTCGATGCGCCGCTCGACCCCAAGGCCGTGGCAGACAACTTCGCCACGACGGAGAAGGTCGTCTTCGAGTGCCAGGAGCACGTCCGGCGAACGCGGTGAAGTACTCCAAAGCGAAGGGGTACCGAGCTGCTCGCACGGTAGCCGAATTGCGCGAAGCGCTGAAGGAGATGCACGAGTTTTATAAGGGCTCCGATCCCCTGTGGGACTGGTGGGTGACGACGCCATACATCTCACTCGATGCCGCGCTGGGCGGCATGATCGACGCTATACGGCTGGCTCTGATGGGAGTGCAGCCCGATGACGACGACACTATAGTTGGGGAGCCGATTGGGCGGGATGGGCTGCTGACGGATCTAGAGGCCGAGATGATCCCGTATTCACCTGAGGAACTCCTTCGTATCGCAGACAAAGAATATGAGTGGTGCGAGGCAGAGATGAAGAAGGCGTCCCAAGACCTCGGCTTTGGCGACAAGTGGCGCGACGCCCTCGAGCACGTCAAGAATCTCTACGAGCCGCCCGCCTCGCAACCCACGTTCGTCAAGGCGCTCGTCCGCGAGGGCACAGACTACGTCAAAGCCCACGACCTCGTGACGGTGCCTCGCATCGCCGAAGAAGCCATCCACATGAACCGAATCCCGCCTTCGCAGCAGAAAGTGTCGCCCTTCTTCCTGGGCGGGCGGCAGCTCTGGGTCTCGTACCCGACGGCGGCCATGGCGCACGGCGACAAGCTGATGTCGCTGCGCGGCAACAACCGGCACTTCTGCAAGGCGACGGCCTTCCACGAGATGATCCCTGGCCACCACCTGCAGCTGTTCGTCGGCGAGCGCAGCCGGCGGGCGTACCGCGGCGCGCTGTTTGACACGCCCTTTTTTGTCGAGGGCTGGGCGCTGTACTGGGAGATGGTGCTCTGGCGGCGCGGCGGCTTCTTCCGCGGCGCCGAGGACCGCGTCGGCACGCTGTTCTGGCGCATGCACCGCTGCGCCCGCATTATTTTTTCAGTCAAGTTCCACCTGGGCCGCATGACCGCGCAGGAGTGCGTAGACCTGCTCGTCGATATGGTGGGCCATGAGCGGGCGACGGCCGATGGCGAGGTCAGGCGCAGCTTCAATGGGGACTATAGCCCGCTATACCAGGCGGGGTATCTATTGGGCGCATTACAGATGATGAAACTGCGCGAGGAGGCTGTGGGCCAGGGAGGAGCCGGGATGGGGGAGAAGGAGTTCCACGATAGGATCCTAAGGGCGAATACCATGCCCATTGAGATGCTAAGGGCGCTGCTTTTAGGTAAGGAGTTGGAAGAAGACTTCACGTCGGAGTGGAAGTTTTACGGGGACAAGATCTAGCCGGATTATGCTTGAGGTAGTTCGTGAGGATATCGGCGCATGGTTATCTCGAATCGACATATTGTACAGGAGCTGTAAACTACTACTGCCGTATCCCTTTTCGCATTTGTCTGTTGCCTGCGTCGTGGCGGCGTCAATGTTCCCATATAGGTTTCTTGACGTTTTATCGAAACTGGACCTAATGTACGAGGCGTTCGCCCCTTGCCCCTATGTGTGACGGGGCGATGATACCCCATAGAATTGCAGGTTGGACAACCACCGCCGATAAAACAAGAATGCAGAACCTTTACGGAGCGTTACTGGTGATCGCTCTTCCACCCGACAGAACCTACCTGGAGCACTTGGCCCAAAGATAGAAAATGGGGCGAGGCAAGGACGAAGAGGTCCTACAGCCCCTGACGAGAATGGGACCTAGGGTTAGGGTTAGGGTTAGGGTTAGACTCTGTCCGGGGAGGAGGCGGGCGTCAGGGCCTAGGGGCGACGCGAGAGCTGGTGGAGCCTCTAGAGGAGCTGTTTGTCGCTGCGGTGAGGGCTTGGAACGTCGAGCGGGCTTTTTTGAGTTGCTGGCTCATGCTCTTGTCGAGTGGTGAGTAGGGGAGAGCTGAGATGGGAGATAGACTATGGGCCCCTATCTCTGGTAGCTTCGCAACGTCATCAATCAATGAGTAGGTTAACTGCTTGAACTCCAAATCATCCTTGTTTGTAATCTCTATTTCGCGTGAATGTTATTGAAGGTTCTACTCTAGCAAGTATTCGTCAATACTTGCCCACCCACTGCCACGTTCGCCGGACAATGCGCACACCCCCCCGCAACATCTGGAACTGAGGCTCCCTCTCATCCCACCGATATCGATTCCTCTCCTTCTCGTCGACCTCCCGGTCCTCAGCCCCAAGCGAGAGCAGGAAGTCCACTATCCACTCAGCCGCGTTCGTCTTTGCCCAGACGACGGGTGAATCCCCACGGCTAGCATAGCCTCGGTTGAGAGGAGCCCCGGCCCGAACCAGCAGGGAGATGACCGTTGGGTTCTTGATGAGAATCGCGCAGCGGAGTGCCTCCTGCCCGACCGATAGCTCGTACGAGTAAGCCTCGTGGACCAGGTCTGGGTCCTTCTGCAAGAGCCACCGCACCAGATGGGCCTGCCCTCCGTCTGCGGCCTGCCTCAGGGCGCTTACCATGCTGGCCCCCTGCTCGAGTAGCAGTTGGACCACTTCCTGGTGGCCGTTGAGCGCTGCGACCTTGATGGGGTCCTGTGACTCCCTCGTGTGTTTGAAATTCACATCTGCCCCGTAGCTCAACAGCAGGCGGACCATTGCAATGTTGCCTTTCCTTGAAGCGATACTGAGCGCACACCCGTAACCGCGAGAATCAGGATAGGGAGCCGCGTTCACGTCCGCGCCGTCGTCCAGCACCAGCTTTACGACGTCTCTTTGGCTGCTCGTTGCCGCCGCCCAGAGCATCTCCTCCCTCAGCTTGGGACAGTCGGAGAGGCTACTCGCGGCGTTCTGTAACAGGAGGTTGATGAGGTGAGTATGGCCGCCTATCGTCGCAGCTAGGACAGCCCGGGCAAACTCCTTCCCGAGGGGCGATAACCCTTCTCTACGTGCTGCTAACAAGAGGCGGGTGATGTCTTCGTGTCCTCCTCGAGCGGCTGCACTCAGTGCGCTTCCCGCTGCGCTCCGTTCCTGGAAGGCAAGCTGCACACCCACATTCGCCTGCGGGTACCAGATGTCGTCCTCGGTGTAGCTGCCAGCTTGCGGATCTGCACCGTGATCCAAGAGGGAGCGCACTATATCGGCGTCGCCCCAGGCTGCGGCAATCTGCAGTGGGCGGCCGAAATAGGGGCTTTCTGCATTGACGTCCGCCAGAGCCGGTGACGCGTCCTGAAGCAGAGCCATGGCCCGAGGTAGGTCTCCCAGCACGATGAGGCCACTCAGCCTATTCTGTGCTTCCATCTTGGCGTCGATGTCCTTGATGTCTCCTCTGATCTGCCGAGGCTTGCCCGGGTACTTGTGCGCAGCCGCCTCGGCGATCAGCAGGGACGGCCCACACTGATGGTCGTCGTCGGGCTCTGCCACAAGATTGAGTTCCTGATTGACGATCTGAATGACATGTACAACCTTGTTCTTGGTGGCGCTGCGAGAACGTGACAGGAGGATCCTTGCTTTGAGCTCCGGTGGCATCTGGAGATGTAGGTGGGGGGTAGCCGGGTCGTCGATGTCGACAACATGGCTATTGCAGATTGCTGACAACACTGCGGTATCGAACATTCCTGCAACCTTGGTCAGGCCCGGGTCTGAGGCTCGAGTGTCGCACACGACTTACGATTGACTAGTCGAAGGCGCACGGCCTTGTAGATGCCGATGGTGGCCACGAGGTGATCAACTATCAGTGTGAAAACGTCGCTTGGGAGGGCTTGAAGATCCATGATGGAAGGTTTGTTGTGTCAAATTGCGAGTTACAATTGAAGGCTCGCGTTGCATATTCGGATTTGTGAGAGGCGATTGAAAAATAGGTAGGGCAGCTGTGCTCATGTGTTTGTGTGTACGTGTCAGCAAGTGGCGAGCGATGGACAGATGAGGCGATGCCTGACGACTCATATTCCTTCACTAGCCGAGGTCATCATTGCCACGTGTGGCAGTACTAGGTACCTAGGTATACATACATGTTGACACAGTCAAAACATGCGTACCTGGCGCTTCACTGGATCGATTCTATCGGCATGACGCGAGATGTGACATTATTATGGAGCTGGAAATGTGTTCTCAATAGCATACAGTATGTAGCTCTCGCGCTACTACTTCCAATACTAGCGACCTATGCGTCCAGAATGGTACCCTGTTAGCATGCCCTAAACATAGTAACAATCCTTACCAAAGTTCGGAATCGCGCTACCAATACTTTAGTTACCCGGATCCGCATCGTTGAGGCGCAAGAGTACATAGGATTAGACGTGATCCATATGGGCCACGAAGGCACAGGTGTCTGGTCATGTCGTGGCCGATACGATCCTACGCGTAGTCTAGGCTACCACGATCAGCCTTCTGTGCCGTTTTCCGAACCCACTGCCGGCGTCAGCGACAGGTCAGATTTGCTTCCAATAATAGAGCAATTGCATGCTATGGAGTACTGTGCCACTTCGGAGTTTGCCTCCTGTAGGGAATAAAAGGAGCCGTTGACGAGCTTTCTCAAAACCACCTGGCTAAATATTGTAGTAATCGGTCTAACAGTTATTCTCAATATTATTATACGAACAATACCAGCAGTACGCTTAGTTTATCCTCGCCAACTTCGCAATGAGACTCCTCGCCGGTCAAAATGCTTGGATCTTGGCGGCTGTCCTTGGACTGCAGGGCCTTTGCAACGGGAATCCAGTTGCTCCCAAGCCCAACTCCCTAGACGCCCTCGCTAGGCGCGTCGAGGTACCTGGTCTGAACACACCATCAGACGAATTCCCTGCTTCGCGTCGAAAAGCGAGAGCTCGTCGGGGGGAGGATATCCCCCAACTAGGGCTGGGTGGTGGTTTCGGGACGGCTCAGCCTATTGGCACCTATGAGCAGAAAGGGGATCAGAGACTGGCAGCCTACGATGAGGCTCGCAAGAAAAAAACGCCAGATACCACCATCTTCGATAACGCAGACGAAAGTGGCAAGAGTGGCGATGAGCACAAGTCCTTCTTTAACATTTACAAGAACGAGGACTACTTCGAGTTTGATACGGAAACCATCCCAACCACGAATTATCCTGAGCTGCAGGGCTTTAAGTCTGCAGATACTGGTGTTGACCTTGGTGATATCAAAGAGCTGGAGGAAACGACCATTAGGGATGCCACTGGCGACATGTTCAAAGAGGTCATCAACCTCGGCGCATACGACAAGAAAGGGAAAATCATCGTGGCCGTATCGGCCTTCAAGGAGAATAACCACACGCCCCGCGGCCGCCAATACGTTCCCATCAATGAAGTCGGATGGCAGGTGTATGCGCACACTGCCGAGGGGAACGTGGAGAATCTCAAAGTGATCTTTTTGATGAACATACAGAACAAGGGCTTTTGGAGCATCACGGCCAAGAACTACGAGGAGTTTGGCAAGAAGACCGATGAGATGGTCGTCTGGGAGGCAGGACACGGTGATGCCTTGAAGCGATTCAAGCGTTTCTTGGGAAGTGACAACATCAATGGCAAGCTGCTTGCCTTGACCAACCACCACAACGCTATCAAGGACAAGGATATTGCAAAGGTGATCACCATTCCCAAGGACGTCCCTGGTTCGCAAGGGAAATTCACAGCTGCTTTAGTCCTAGAATGAGAAGGGAGTGTGGCATGTTGAGTTGGGATAAGGGGAGAATCATAGAATGTAAATCTGCAACTGCAAATTAGACGTATTGCACTGGGGCAGAGTTATCAGACCACCCCCATCCGGCCATTTGGCCACCTATATAGCCTGGCAACAGGATTACCACATTCCCTTAGCATACGATCATCCGCGCAAAGCACTCCTTTTTGAGCCTTGAACAGACCATATCTGCCCTGACTAGTGATATCCCCCTTATCATGACGTGAGAAGCCACTTAGAAGTGGCTGGATGCTCTCACGGCTATCAAGCAAGAGATAGAGACCGCAATAAAGGAACTGGTGGACTTTGGGGTATACTTGTTGGTTGGTAGGCAGAAGACGTCCAATGAGCCTGGAAAGGGGGACACGTGGTACCTTGCGCACGGGTTTGGTCTAATATCACGTGATGTCGTGACTAATTGACGCGCTCTTCTACCCCATTTAGAGAACGCGTCTACATAGCTCCTAACTTTGGGGTCCTCTACGATTACACTCGTATCGGGCGCCTTAATATGTGCCCTTGAATCAAGTATCAATTGGGCTGGTCCCTCGCAACGTCGCTCTACCGTCAGAATGGCGGAGAGTCCTCCCACCGTGCCATTAGCCGATGAGGTACTTGCCTCCCTCGATCCGGAGCTCGTGAAGGAACATGAAACCCTCAAGTATCATCTGCTCGGTCCGTCGCTGACAAAAGCCGGTCAAGACTCGGTAGACCAGTCCAAGGTACACATATAGAGCGACGACACCATATTTCCAAGACAGGACGTCTGCTGATGCCACCGTTTACCACAGGTCTCCGAGGTCATCTACAACGCCTCCAAAGGATCCAAGTACTTCAATCGCGAGGAGGAAAAGGACAAAGTCCTGACCCAGAAAATCGACCACATCCTCGAGAAGAAGCGTCGCCTCGATAAAGTCGACCTGACCCGCGAGTTACGAGCCGCCGACCAGCTAATGAGCCAGCTCGAGGTCTCCCGCGACCTTACCCAACACATCGTGCACGTCGACTGCGACGCCTTCTATGCAGCCGTCGAGCAGCTCGAACGACCCGAACTGAAAGACGTACCTTTCGCCGTAGGAGCTGGAGTGCTTACCACCTGCAACTATGCTGCTCGGCAGTTTGGCTGCCGCAGTGGTATGGCCGGCTTCGTCGCCCAGAAGCTGTGTCCTCAGCTGTTGCTTATCCGCCCCAACTTCGAGAAGTACACGTCCAAAGCCCACGAAATCCGGGAGGTTCTGGCCGACTACGACCCGAGGTTCGAGAGCGCTAGCATCGACGAGGCCTATCTCAATGTGACCGAATACTGCACTGAACATGCTATGACCCCAGAAGAAGCCGTCCAACAGTTGCGAGATGAGATCCATGAGAAGACGAGGGTCACTGTATCTGCCGGTATCGGTGCCAACGCGAAGCTGGCTAAAATCTGCTCCAACATGAACAAACCAAATGGCCAATACCTCCTGCCTAGCGACCGAAACGCCATCATGACCTTCATGCGAGCCCTGCCGACAAGGAAGGTCAACGGTATCGGGCGAGTCCTAGAGCGAGAACTACAGGAAATAGGCGTCAAGACGTGTGGAGATATATATCAATACCGACAATATCTGCGTCAACTTTTCGGCGACAAGACATACGAGTTCTTGATCATGTGCCATCTGGGACTAGGTCGGACTAACGTCCAGCCTGCTGAGGAGTACGAGCGGAAGAGTGTCGGCACCGAGAGCACCTTTCGGGATATTTCAGACCCATCTCAGCTAAGGGACAAGCTGCGATGGACGGCGGAAGAACTGGAAAAGGACATGCGTAGAGCCGAGTGCAAAGGGCGGACCCTCGTGCTCAAAGTCAAGCTACACACGTACGAAGTCTTCACGAGGCAAGGCGTAACCCCGAAGGCTATTTGCCAGGCCGATGATCTGTACAGTTATTCCTTGCCCATCCTCACGAAGCTCCAGCACGATATGCCAACTATGAAACTGCGCTTGATGGGTCTGCGGTGTACGAACCTAGTCAGTACGAAGAAGCCAGACGCTCGAGCATTCTTCGGCTTGAAGCCCCTGAAGGCCGAGTCCCACGACCCCCCTGACGGGAAAATCAAGCGCAAAGCCAGTGATGCTCTTGAGGAACCTGAATCTCTGCCGAATAATCAATTGCTCGCCGACGATGAATTCCGCCACCACGGGAAAGAGATTGTGCCAAACCCCAAGAAGGAGCCACAGCCTCAGGAGCAAGAAGATTGGTGGGATTGTCCCATATGTAGCAGACCACAACCGACGGACGAGCGGCTTTTCAACGATCACATCGACCTTTGCCTGTCGCGGCAGACCATTCGTGATGCCGTCCAGAAGGACTCCGTGCATAAATCACCCGCGGCCTCTGATACACCGCCTCCAAAGAGACCGAAGAGTGGCGGAGAGAAGAAGCGAGGACGGTCCTCTGGCTCAGAGGATCCTAGACAGCGCAAGCTGTTCTTTGGCTGACCACGGACACATTGCCGGAAATCTGCAGCGGGGCCAATATGGGAGCCATAAGCCTCCGTCTTGGGGTTTCACCGGCGTCGCTCATATTCCTCACCACCATTCAACGAGACTGGGCATGAAGGGCGGCACTCCATGATCGGTAAACTCTTGCGGTGCTCGTTGCGTGAGGTCAACTCGTCACTGGCCAGCGAGCCTGTAATATGAAAACATCGAAACGCCACACGCGTCTGTTCGCGATCCCAGCTTTGTTATACCGAAGAGCCAGAGGCTAGTTGAGAAACATAAAGACACGCCTGAGAGTCGACCACTCTGGCTGGGGGTTCCTGGAGTGCAAGCTCTGAGACCCAACCGATATACGTTATGACAATGGCACCTGTGTCATCCTACAGGGTCTGTGATCATGGGTGTAGAAGCTATACCGACCTCATTTCGAGTTCAAGTGCCATGTTCAGCCATGGACCTATGCGAACCCATGACAGCGAGGCAAATACCATCAGCGATGAAGATCAGCTAGATCGCGGGAGCCTCGCCCATCCGCGTCTACGCGTCTATCCACCGCAGTCTCCAATTGACAGTTCCAAAGCCACACCGGCCTGAATGCGTGCAGGTGGCCTCTGATTGTACCGCTGCGTGCTACGTCACGATTTGGCACTGGGAGGTCGGTCGGTCTGTGTGCGGGAAGCCTTAGAATCAGCGGAGTGGACAGTATACGGGATGAGTCGTGATCAGCCCGTATCAGTTGGAGCTCCTCCCGCCTCCTCCTGGACGGTATGATGGATAGACAATCAGTGATCACACGGGACCACGTCGTAGGATCACATATCCGGGTGGCTCACACCTGCCCTTTTCCCAGTTAATATGGTGAAAGGCACGCCGTTGCCCACTTGGATAGGTTAGGGGTGATATCAATACAATATCTAGATCTGCCAATCCCTCTCCGTATGAGATGACGGTCGCGCCCTCGTGCTGTTTGTTGTGCCACCCATCTAAGTACTATACTAATGTGCTACCTCGCTGAAGGGTTCTCATCAAAGCACCTTCGGAGTATCGAACGACTCGTCAGTACATCCCCTGTCGATAGTTCAGGGGACTGGCGTGCACTTTTGCATATGTACCTCATACGAGAGGATGGCGATGTAACCAGGGCGGCAAGAGACATAAGGAACGGCGCTTTTGTAAGAGGAAGACTGAGACGTGCCTTACCTACCTACGTATATCAACCCAACTACATCCATGAATCATTGAAGCTGAGACTCGAGTTAGGTAGCAACCTTCATGTCGGACATGCCCAGCGCGTCAGGGAAAAGATGTTAAACAAAGCAAAACATTAACTAGCATTGCGTTAAGGTTAGGGTTGGGCTGCGAGTCCGTGTCTCCAGCATCCGCTGCGTCAGGAAAACAGGGGGGTCAGAAGTTAAAAAATCAATTAAAATTCGGGTTAGGGTTAGGTTGAGAGCTTGCTACTTCCATTGCAAGACCGCAACGATACCCGACGGGACGCTTCAAGACGGACAGGATATGAACATACCGATATAGACGCAGTGGTCCAAGAGTTTATGTATTCAATCCAGGGTGATTCAAACGTTGGCTAAACGAAGGCAGTCCAACTCTGCCACACAAATCTGTACACCGAAGCAACATGATATCGCGGACGAACCTCGTCCGTGCCCTAATTGAAAGCGCATGGCTTGTCGAACAGACGAATCTACCACGCAACAGTCGGCGCCTTAAACAAGACGAGACGAGACAAGACCATAAACCCCCACAATCACACGACGCTGCGGTTGTCAATACTAGGGCGCCGCATCGACATGGACCTGCGGATCTGATGGTCCTCCTCCTCAACGCGGTGCATGTCGTCGCCCGGCAGCCTGACGGCGCGATCGAGGGCGACAGGCAGCCCGCGATGCCGGCCCCTTATCATGACGGCGACCAGCACGAGCTTGGAGCCCGAATACCAGCCGCCGCTGAAGCTGTAGGCCTGGTTGGGCAGGCCGATGCTGATGCCGACGCACCCGTAGGCCGAGACGACCTCGAAGACGACGTTGAACACGGAGTAGGTGACGGGGTCCTCGAGGAAGTGCCGCGTCTCGATGGTGACGATGGCGAGCACGGCCAGGACGAGCCACCACAGGTCGTGCGACAGCTGCCCGCGGATCTGGTGGCTGATGAAGCTGATGCGGCTTTCGTTCGTCTCGCCGCCAGGGATGGAATGGCGTCTCGGGGCTGCGGCGCCTACGCCGTGCCATTCTCTGAACGCGTGGGAGAGGACGCGGCCGAGAGACCGAGTTGCGCTACCTGGGTGGCCGCGTGAAACCGGTCGGTCGAGGTAGTCAGGACTATCTTCGTCATCATCACCGTTGTATATCCCAAGGGACCGCTCCTCGTATACATTTGAGTGCCTCATCGTGATCACAACTGGGTCTGCTGCACGTTAGTCTGACGTTGCGAATGTCGAGTTCTTGACTTTGCACGACGCGGCGCTCCTGTCGGTGGCGCCCCGCGCGGCAAAACAGCAAGTGGATAGGAGTAGGGGGTTATCGTCTCACGTACTACAAAATGGTCGATTAGTAAGCCACAAATAGAGTTAAATGCATGATGGAGAGGGAGAGGGATAGAGATAATAGAGACCGAGGAGTTGGTTGAGGAAGGGGCTTCACATACCACACAGATATATACATCATTATCACATACAGCACCTGAAGGCCAATATACAGCGTGGGGATAGAGACAACGTAGAATCCGCCCGAGCGCACAGCTGCAAACATGGTCAGTACCCATCGTCACAGAATGGTTTCCCAGCAATCAAGGCATACCAAGTGCTTGGAAGAGACCATCGATGACGCGGGAGCCAATGGGGGTGTTCGCGAGGGTCGGGTTGCCAAGGTTCAGGATCTCAAATGCCACCCAATCGGTACCGTTGAGGGTGAACAGCATGAACAAGAGCCACCACGTCTGGCGTGATGGGAAAAGGCTGGTGTAGACCCGGCGGGGGTATTTGAGAATGTACTCGAGTGTTGCCTTCCACTCGACATAATCTTCTAGGACAGCGGAAGACGTGGCATTAGTACCAGTCATATATGTTCCTAGAGAGAAAAGATGACGCCCGACATGCGTAGAAGCTGGACTCACTGCCGAAGAGTTAGCGGGGACACGGCAATGGTAACCAAAACGCTTCGAAAAACCTAGTCTTGGCTTGTTGAACAAAGGGATCTTTATACATGCCGTGGGTATGTAATTAGTTTCAAGACCTTCAGGCTACACCATAGGGATAAGCGGAGGAAGAGGGGATAGGCCGTGTTCCCAGCTAGTATCATCGCCCCCATGACTATGAGTACAAAGTAGGAGCCGCCATAGGGTATCATGTTCAGGTCTAGCACACTCACTGTCGAAATCGCGTTAGCAACTTCTGTTCTTCGAGTCAAGCATAAGCTTACGGCGGGCGAGTTGCTTGTTGTAGAGAACGAGAGAACGGATGGCATGCAGGCACTCGAAGGATCAACGTACTGCCACTGTTGTTGAAGGCCGACACGCCGTTGAATATGCCGTTCCACCAAGGCGAGATGGCATTGTCGAGAGCCGGCTGCGGCTGATTATTGGCAATCCATGCACCTAGCGCAACAGACCCAAGTATTTGCCAAGCGAAGAAGTAAATAGGGACGAATATGGAGAGAAGCCTGAGAGCGCGGTATTCTGTGCCGCCAAGGTTCTCGCGCTCCTCAATTGTGAGACTATGGAATTGAGCGTTGCGCCCGACCTTGTAGGCACTCGGGTAGTCGTGAGTTGTCGCTACAGCTTCTGCGTTGTCGGTACTTGGTATGTGTCGTCGTATGGCGCCGTTCCTAGGAGCAAAAGAGCTCGAGACGCCCTTGTTGCGGACATCGTCAGCGAAAACTATATGCTCCATATTGCTGGTAGCCCCGGGAGAGCCAGCTTCCGGCTCTGGTGAAGAAGGAGACAACGGCTCATCATCAGAGAAAGTGGCCTTCTGAGCAAATTCTGGATTGGCGAGTGAGCCATGGCTTGGCTGCGAGGTCAACTCGATTGAAGACTGGTTTGTTCTCGCCGGTACTATGGTCGATATTGGGTGCCCATCGATTGGGGCGGAGATAGGTAGGATGGACCCATCAGCGTCGCGGCTGTGAACTAGAGCGGAAGCTGGACGAGCAGCATTCCTACTCCTGCTGAAAGTTCGGAGCCTCTTGGTAATGGGAAGAAGGGTTAAGCTCGTATTGCGCCGGAGACGACTGGTCTCGCGCTCCTTCTTGACAATCTCCTCGAAGCGACGCTCGAAAGCATGCTTTCGGACCAGTACGGTCCAGATTGAAACCCATATTGAGCTACCAATGATGATCATAAGCCAAAGAATGACTTGTTGCCATGTCGTCATCTGGCTCAAGTTGACGGTATTCAGTCCAGCCTCCGTCATGGCAGAAACGATGAGAAAGAGACTGTCGACATAGGAGATGCTCAGACTGGGATTGGATGAGCCCCAGAACACGAGCGACGCGGCCAGCGGGACCACGATGAAGTAGCCATAGTGAATGGTGATGAAGTTGAGCGGTGGGAGTAGAGACCGAAGGTTGCGCATTGTCGAAACCCAAGAAGATCGGCGATGCCCACGATTTCGGTCCAGTCGTCCGGAGACGTATCTCCTCGCCAGGATGCCTCTTACGTCTATTGTACTCGACAGAGAGGTTCTAACAAGGGAAGAAAAGAATAAAGGGAACAAATGCGTTGGTTATTAGCCTTGTTTTGGTGGGACTAACAAAGGCCTAAAGTTAGATGGATCGTCGTGATGGGGCCCACGGGTGCGGCCCGCGAAGCTTGATTCAAGAGCCTGATATCAATTGCCTATCAGCGACGAGGAAGGTGATGCGAATGAGACATATCCAGGGAGGTAGCCAGATAGGAGCAGGTAGATGGAGCTAGGATGGTAATAAGGTAGGCAGGTCGTGGATGAAGAGATATGAGTCTTGTGGGGTGTAGATGTAGATAACGTGAAGCTTGTGAGTGTTGGAACTTTAAGCTTTGACCACCACTTGCATTTCCAAGAATGCGACACATGAAGCACACCAGGCATGCGCGATATACCGACTAGCAGTAACGTCATATGGCGAAATTAGAACAAGGTATCTCACGCTGGGATTTCAGTGTAATCGAACATTGAAGGTTGGACGGAGGAGATAGGGCAGGTAACCCGATAATGTAGGCATATTTACATCGAGCTATATTGACTCGGCTTGCAACGGAAAACATATTTGATGGCAGTGGTTACATCTGCACGATTGCTACGAGTACGCCGGCATTCCCGCATTCCCGCATTTCCATATATCGTGCAACTACGGACAGATCACCTGAACTGCTACGTACATACGTAGTATCGATCGCGCTCGCTTGAGCGGAGACCCGAGACCAGGGTTCTCCAGTCGGGTGTTTGATTGCTCCCACATCGGATCATACCGGCTCTCCAATTCTTCCTGAGTAGGGCTGTCCAGCCACCCAGCAACTTGGGCACGGGAGTGCTATCCAACCTAGAAGAGTCTGTCGCGTGACGGCCACCATTGTTCGTACAAGACTGGACCAAGGTTAATGGCGAGGGATATACATCGAGTACGAGGTGGCATGTGCTGGCTATAAGACAAATAGCCTAGAGCTCATTATGCTCCTGCACATCATCAGTGTCCATGATCATAGTGCCCACGGCCTCGGCCGCTTCCTCAACCTTGTCAATGATCTTTTCCGCGATCTTGGTCGAAGCCTCCTCGGTTGCTGAGCTGGCACTGTCAGAGGCAATCGCAGAGGCCTTGGTGATGATGGACTCGGGCTTGGGGACACCCTTGATGCCTATGAGCTCCGTCTCGAAAACTGCGACACTGTCAGAGTCCCCTTGGCAGGCTTGATGCTTCCAACTCGATGGTTGACTTACCCAGAGTGCTCTCAGCGGGAATAGGGCCCATTCCTCGCTTGCCATAGCCCATCTCGGGTGGCACAGTCAGAGTCCTGGTGGAGCGGTCAGCTCGGCGATGTCCCGACAATCGAGTATGGGGCACGCATGGTAGACTCACCTCTTCTCGCCAATGCACATGTCCAGCAGTCCCTCATCCCACCTGTACACGTAGAGGCATTAGAGCAGGTCGTCCTTCTAGAAACTCGCGGGCACAACAAACCCCTTGATGACACGACCGCCTCCGAGCTGGAAGCTAAAGGGCTTGCCGCGATCGTAGCTGGCGTCAAACTTATTTCCATCGGCAGCGAGAGTTCCGCTGTAGTGAACCTCGATCATATCGCCTTTCTGGGTCTTTCGTTCGCACTCGACGGGCAAGGTGACGTCGATGTCGAGGGCGCCGACGGCGGCAGCCAGAAGGGACAGGGAGAGAAGGAGGTTCTGCATTTTGTCGGGTATGCTCTTATCAGGACTTGCGAATCGTTGGGATAATTGCTGGTCGTGGATGGTGATGGATGATCTTCAGGAAGATGCGCTGTGCTAAGGTTCGTTGTTGCAATTGAGTTGCAATTGACGTATGCCCCAACAATGGTCTCCTAGTGGTGATCCGTGCGGACACAAAAGGAAAGCTGGAGGTCGGTCGGTCCAAAAAGTCGAAGTTCTGCCGGCGTAAACTCTCCGGAAAGGGGGAGGGGAGCCGCAGATGGAGGGGCAGGCAGTGAACTGTGAGGGGCATCCCCGGCCACCTCCAGCTTCCACTGGCACATTTCTCCAGCTGCCGTCTGCCGTCTACCACTTGACAGCTGTCTGTGCCATCTCCCACCGTTCGGCCTGCTTGCTTCATTTGCTCCCGTTGGAAGTTGCATGCTGGCTCAATTGTCGACAACTCTCACCGAAACATCAACAAGACGTCAACGCCTGTCACCGCCAATACCGCCGTCGCATGGCTTCGGTGTAATCAGAACTGCCTAGCACAGCCATTGCTCACAGCCACGCGCTACAACTTCACAACTCAGCTACCACAGGCGTACCTAGTCCACCGAGGCTTGTAGGTACTGATGCCTACGAGCCTTGCATTCGTTGCCTGACCAGACAACAAGAGAGAGAGTAATCCACACCAATCACCGGATCGAAGCAATTGCCCAATGGTTCTCGGCGTGGATGTTCGCTGGTGTGCCAGCCAGGTCCAATCCTTTTCCATGCGTACCGGGCGCTCGGGTTCTAACCATTCATCTGAACCCGATCTCGCTTGCCTGCATTGCTACCGTACTCTTCTTTCCACGTGCGCGTTGGCTGCGCGGTCTGTCCTTTTCGGACAAGGTACTGGAGATATTCGCCACTCCGTTGAAATGGAAAAAGGTGATGACTCAGTCCGAGAACCGTCATTTCGTCATTTCGGTAGGACTTTCAGCGCTTGCGCCTCAGAAGTCAGGGCCAATTGATTGTAAGGCATTCAACGCTCTAGGTAGTTTCGTAGTTCACGACCACCACCTCACCGAGACCAACAAGAGCAACTCAGCTGGGAGTGATGAGCGTCCAGGGTCTCCATGTCTTTTTTTCTGTCTGTCACCAGGCTGTCAGCCCCAATGTTCGACTACTGCTTACACATGATAGGAGATCTACCGCAGTGCGCAAGTGTGTATTGCGCAATGTGGTTGGAATTTCCTAATTGCTCGTCCCTCCCTACTAGGCTGCCGAATTGGGTAGATTGTAGGTACAGTGTGGTCCATCATCAGGACCTGCATACAGTCCTACCTCACCACCGCCGTGGTCCTCCTCGTCAATCTATGGACCTGAGGTACGAGTCTGAGCCCCTGTCATGTGGTTGCGAGCGTAATAACTCCTATCTGCCTACCTCTATACCTCAGTGACAACCAACCCAACTTACAATCGACGACGAGGCTCGTACTCAGCTGCGCAAGAACACCGCCACGACCAGTAACAACTCGGGCGTTTCCTTTTGCAGTCTCTCTTTCGGTAGTCCTAGCCTCTGGCCCATTCTTCTCCTCCCTGTCCTCACCTGGACCGTCAGGCCTCCAAGGCCACTGCCTATTTTCAGCCCCCAAGGCTCCACCCATCAGTCATCTGAACGCTTTCGCAACACCAGATGCTTGAGTTACGGCCTCCGCCGAGTCCATGTCTGTCTCCCAGTCTCGATATATCCATGTTGACCTAGTGGCTCACCTATTTCGGTGTGTCTTCAGACTGTCAAGTAGAATGCGCTCTTGTCCTGACTCGGTTTCTGCCTGGGGCATTGCCAGCTCTAGGCACTCTGGCCTCTGGCCTGTCCTGCCATTGGTATGTGTCTACGGCCAAACCAACCGTCGAGCTATTCGTATCTAGGAGTACTGGGTTTGGCTTTTGATATTAAGAGGAGCGAAGTACGACACTTGTCCACGTCTATAAGTAAAGATCCCGTCTCCTTGTCTAAACCACTCTTCTCATCACCACTCTTCTCATCACCACTCTTCTCATCACCACTCTTCTCATCACCACTCTTCTCATCACCACTCTTCTCATCACCACTCTTCTCATCACCACTCTTCTCATCACCACTCTTCTCATCACCACTCTTCTCATCACCACTCTTCTCATCCATCCAAAACCAAACATATTTACCAAAGACTCCCTCAATACTGCCATACATATCGGTTTTCTACCTACATCTGCATAGCTAGCCATCCGTCAGACCGACATCCTTACCTTCATCTCGCCGCTTCTACCGTCTTCAGCACTATGAGTTCCACCAGCAGTCGCTATTCATCATCCAAATACCCAGTGAACATCGTCGACGACCGGTCTTACCGGTCCTCGTCAACATTTTCTCGCTCCACCATGTCATCTTCAGGCGGCTATGGCTCGGGGTATTACACCTCTGGTGGCTCATCACCCGCTGTTCACCAAGACACATTTCGATCTTCCAAAAGCCGTAAGTTTTGTACCTTCCTCGACATTCTGCCTATAGGCAATTCACTGACCTGGGCTCCGCAGGCGATTATCAGGGCGACTCTACCTATCGGTCCGCCCGAGACAAAGAGGTCGCCGTCCACAACCATTATAGTGCCGGTGCTGATGAGAGTGGCCCGCACCCTCCGTACAGAAGCTCAACATCGACCAAGAAAGACTCTAAGAGATCATCATATCGTTAAAGGGACCTGTTCACTTGGATTCCCTTACACAATTCCATTCGGCATTCGGATCAGGTGTTCACGGTTCTAGAAGGGTTGGACAGGCGCATTTGGTTACCCTTCGCAGATTGTACCAGGGTCGCTGTCATTCTCTGGTCGCTTCGAACATCAAGTCTCTACACATACAGCCTCGGGGCAACATCAGTTGCACGGCAACGTCGCTAGGTGCTTCACAACACTGAACTCATAATTGTCTGATATAATCACAGATCTTCATAGATATACCAATTCCTCATCAACATACATCTCACTCCGCGTTGACTCAAGTGACCCTTGTATTGGTGGCCTCCCATGTGGCCTCCTATTGGTGCCACCTCGAGCCTCTGGGTGATTGCCTGCATCCAGGAACACACCCCACGCTGTGAGACCCCTCGGGCACCGTCATCTGTGCCTTTGTCGTACATTTTGTCCTATCAAACTGCTCAGACATTACCTGCAGGTACTGATCGATGCAGGGAACCATCGGAGGTTCCTGGATGTAGGTAACCGCTCGCGTGCAGGCTGTGGAACTTATAAGGGTGCCACTCACCACTCATTGGCTACATTCGGGAACGCCTCGGGCAACAGGAACGAAGCTCAGCTTGCTGATCACACATTCTAGAATATCTTCATTAGCAAAACATACTCATGACTCAGGCCGGAGCGTGAGATATAGTTGTTGGACGACGACACGACGCGATTGTATACATTATAGATTAGGTTCGATTACTTTCACTGGTGGCCACTGAGTATAGTCCGAATCTGGCCTCTCGAAGCCTTGACTACAGACTGAATAGCGCCCTGAAGCCCTAAGAGGAGTGGACTGGAGGCCCCGGTACCCTCGCCCTGCTGGAGGTCTGGATTGTATTAACTTCGGCAGCCATCATCACACCATGTACGTAATCAGCATACGTAGATTGATAAGTTAGGTGTTGGACCGCTTGTCACGTCCCATCGCCCACGTGGCCTTGCAGAGAGCCCCTTTCAGTCATAGAAAGCCGCATTACAAGTTTCATGATATCTCGGCAAGGACTCCCTCTTCTTACCCGGTACATTGGCACCCATATACCTGCGCAAAGCCACGTCAGCAACCCGTCGGCGCACAGATTGAGCAAGGAAGATGGAGTAGGTAGTATAGGGAGACGTACCAAGAGTTTGTATGAATCGCCAGCGTCATGTTAGCCATGCCAAGGACCTCCGCCGTCCACTTGTCCTCCCTCTGCTTGACCCGCCTCTACTGCGTCAGTCAAGCTTGTGGTCTCGCTGCTGGTTCATGGCTTTTCCGAATCCATTCGACTTGCAATTCCAGGAAGGGAGGGCCGGGCCGTTGGTTAGGGATGTTGGGGCTGGGGGCCGTATACGATACATACCTGCAGTCTCTTGGACAGTCGGACTACCTGTCTCCATTTGGAGGCATACTGCAGATCAAACATTTACGGTGGCCGGGAACTGCTAGAGCACCTGTCTGCCTGCTTTGCTACATCTGGAGCTGCTGCGAGTCAACCTCAAGCAGTACTGCATAATTTAGACACCAATTTCGCTCATATCAGCCCATCAGATCGCGCCCGAGCGAGCGAGCAAATAGTCGACGATTTACATTCGCAGCAAGTGCAAGGTGTCAGTCATTGAGCCCCTGAGGCTTCGGACTTTACAGCTGTACGTACGAACCTGGATCTGAACCCTCGCTGCGACGCAAGCTTGCACGAGCTACAGACTGACTGTTCGAGGCTACACACGGTCGGTCTGCAGAAGTGCGCGTACCGCCATCAACCTCCTCGGCAACATTCGAACTACTGGTTTCCTTGAGACGGTGCGTTTGAAGAATCTCATCATCAACAAATACGAGTGAATACGAAGAACAGACAGACGATGCGATAGATGACTTCATCACCTCCTTCCGTGGGCTCGAGCTCCTAATCATTAGGGCACCGGACCCAAGAGGCTCTCAAATTGGAGACATCTCCGTTACTCTCCTCTCCCATGCGGGCATCCTGAGGCTTTTTGCATCTGGAATGCCCATGGGATGACTATCCGGCTTATTACGAACCCTCAGATCTCGCTGGACTTGCTAAAGCATTGCACTGTGCTCGAACAACTGGCACTGGATGCCCCTCTGATGGACGTCGAACTCCAGCGGCATGTGATCCGGAAGTCTCCGTACGGTGATTTCTACGTAAGTTGCGATATGTGCGTTGCTACCATCGTCACAACGATGAGCTGGCCAAATCAGGATGCACTGGGTGCCGCGCCTTCCTGCATAGCCTTCGTATAAACAACTACGTGGAGGTTGACGATCTAGACTTCGACATGAACGACACCACTGCTTGGCGGGTCTATCTGGAGAACGCCATGCGTGATATTGGCTCCGTGAGGTTCGCGAGTGAGGATAGCATCTTTCGTTTCGGCGCTATCTCAAGCAAATAAATGAGTGGTGTAGTAGCTAGAACGCTTCAGACTACACTAACATGGCCATGTGAGCTGTTGATTGAGAAGCTCACAGGCCTTTCGTCTGCCCCTTTTCCATCTTCTCCAGCATAGCCTCGATTCGTCTGTGCTCGAAGGTGAACTTCGGGTAAAGGAACGGCCGCAGGTCGAATCTATTATCGTCTGGTGTGTAAGACTCCATATACAAGGCCGGAGTCATCGTCGTCATCTCGTGCCTGTTGGCCGCGTAGTAGTAGAAGAAGCTCCGGACCTTCTCATACACCTTGCGTGGTTCCATCCGGTCTTTCCAGTCCACCACAAGCTTCTCGAACATGCTCACCATGCCCATCTTCTCGACTTTCCGTAGCCCGCCGAGGTCGGAGAGCTCATCGTAGGTGAAGCCCATATCGGCTTGATCGCTCTGGACGTAGTCTTCGGTAATTGGCTCAAGCTCAGCTGTTGGCACGGCGTCAAGGAACTGCTGTAGAATGGGCAAGTCGAAAGCGGTCTCTGCCCACTTGGTGAAGCGTTTGAGGTCCGTCTTGGAAATACCTCCTATGGGATTGATATCCGCCGAGGAGCAGTCGTACTTGGTGAGATAACCACGTAAACATTCGTCCACATTCGCCGAGCCGAGGACCAGCAGGTTGCCTGGGACGGCTCGCTGCACCGGAACGAGCTGGCCAAGACCGTAAGTAAGCACCATCCGTGATCTGGACTGGAAGTTTTGCAGCGCGAGGTTCTCAGCCTTTGAGCCGCCATGTACCGTGAACTTCGGCTCGAAGTCGAGGATGCCCGTGACGGTCCCTGATAGTGCTTTCACCATGTCGTCGATGTTGGTATTAATATGGTGTGCGCCAATCGCCTCGGCTAGGTCTTTTGCGCGAGCGTGGGTCTCCTTGGATGATTGTTGTTTCATGCCCATGAAGACAGTCGTGAAGATCTTGTTGCAGAATGCTCGTGCGGAGATACCATGCACGTTATCTTTGCCGCACAATCGCTGCGCATCAGCGATCACATCCTCGTCTCCTGCCTTGATCTCGTCCGCAACCATCAGGCACATGCTGTAGGTAATCGTTGCGGTCGCACAGCTGTCAATGCCTCCACTGAGAGGCACGATGTACCCTGCGGCGCCCGAGCGGCGCAAGTAGTCCCACATGTAACAAGCTGGCCCACGAGCGATCTCCTCCTCAGGCAGATGGTACCTGGGCTCTCTGGGAATCGTTGGTTCCATCGCCATGCCAAATGTACCCCCTTTCCTGCAGAGGCGGAAGTCGACCTGTATGCGCTCGAGCTCGCGTACGGCGGGCTCGTTCGCCTGCATACCTCTGCTCCTCGAGGTCCGGAATTGCCATATGGTATTGAGGTCCACCACAGCCGTCTGCACTTCGACATCTCGCAGCGAGAATTGCGAGCCTTGCGCAAGTATGCTACCGGAATTCACTATCATGGCGCAGCCGTCGTAGTATAGCCGGTCCCCATCGCCGCCACGCTGATTCGAATACATGTAAACACCACCAGTCTCCGTCGCTCCCTTTATCAAGTTGACGCTTGTGGAGTTTACGTAGTTCCGAATGACTGCCACTGGAGTTCAACACGATCTCAATCCCGGCCAGACTGTAGCCTATGTGTGGCGAATTTGGGGTCCAGAGCTCCTCGCAAGTCTCCGAGACGAAGGAAGCATCGAACGTCTCGAAGGCCACCTCCCCGATGCGGCATCTTCTCTGTCTCTTTGGCAGGTCTTGAATCACCTCAGGTAGCGTATAGTCCTCCACCCGCCCTCTTGGCCACGGCGAGAAATGGTGCATTTCCCGATAGTTCCCATCGTTGCAGAGATCCAGCTTCGGTCTTATGGCCAGGATCTCGCCGTTGAGAGCGATAACGCGTGCATTGTAGCTGCAGTAGCGGTGCTGGATAGGAAGACCGAGGTCGATGATGATCTCCTGGCAGTCTAGATGCGTCATAATCTCAGAAAGGACAAACCACGAATTCTCGTACACGTCGCTCTCCAGGAAGTGATCGAGCAGCCCATATCCTGGGATACACAGCTCTGGCGTCAGGATGAGGGTAGCTTCTGCGGCTTTGGCGTCCTTGATAGCTTTGATGATGCGGTCGCGGTTTCCATCGCAGTCGAGCACCCACTGATTTAGTTGTGAAGTCGCCAGCACACATTTGCGTGCCATTTCGGTAGTCGGTAGTCGGTAGCATAGTGGGTTGCTCTCAGGTTTGTTGTAGTTCGGATGAGAGACGGAAGTCCGCTTGATTCAATGTTTATGTCGTGTTCCCAGATCATGCGCGTTCACAAGTTTCATGGATGGCTCCAAACGACGAAGAGTCTTGGCTACCCACGGGCCGATCTCGTCTGCAATCAAACCTGAGCTCCGCGTGAGATAACATGACTTTGGTATAGAGTTTCGTAGCTGTAAGACGAAGCGCCATAGTAAGGTCTCTGGCGCACAAGGTGAAACGGTTGATTGTGGTGTTGATGATGGAGATCTGGGAATCTCCAGGCTGCGGAGACGTATGATACAGTGGATTCCCACTGTGTGTTGCACCTTCCCACAAATACTGCAATTAAGCTTCGGCCTACTAGAGGGACCCACCGGGATCTGCAAAAACCCCCCATGTGCAATAAAAAAAGAATAATTATTATTAATTCCTCTGGAGATCTGAATTTTGAGTAAAAATGTTGTGATATTTTAAAATTAACAAAAGTATATATAATTTAAAACTTGAAACTTATTACGTAATGGTTAATTTTTAGACAAATAAATATGATATATTTTAAAATAAGGTATTTATAAGTTATAAGGGTTAATAGAATTATATTGAAGCTAGTTCAAAGTTTTTAAAGTTGTATAAGGTGATTATATTAATAAGTAATTTTTAAAAGATTTTATTTTTAAAACATATGAGTGTAAAAGTAAAAATTACGTTTTATTAATAAGCTTATAACGAAATATATAATATTGAAGATCTTTTGACAATAGTGATTTTTATTTTTATTAAGATTGCAACATTATATGGAAGCCTTTTCGACTGTTTCTCAATTTATTTTCCTTTAAAAGTCCCTTTAAATAAATAAGAAACGTTAATGAAGTGGTCTGCGTGGTTGTATTAGCATCTCACATTCCACCAGGTAGGACCTCCACCTCAACCATTCATCCACATCTTCACTACCGAATTGGTCACTAAAGATTGTTTTCAAAGCAATATTCATCGTCTTTGATTGTTTTCGATTATTTTGAACCCACTTGCACTGCAGCACTCTGGCACTATTTGCGCAAAGATGGCATCAGGTTTGAGATCTTTGGCTGCTAGCAAAGCACCTGCCAACCCTTCTCCCTCTAACGTCACTTCTGACGCCATACCTTCTACGATACCACCCTTATCTGACGATATTATCTGGGCTCAACAGGGCGAATATCAGCAATTCGACAACGATCAGCTCCTTGCTGAAGGTCAGGCTTCTTTGCAGAAGAAAAAAAAAAGCCTGTTAAACCCCATTTTCTTTCAAGGAAGATCGTCAAGCCGCTTGTCACAACCAGATCAAGGCATTGAGGCGAACTCAGTCCATTGGGTGCTATAGACGAAGATTCTAAGCTAAAGAGAAAAGGAAAGAAATGACCAACAACGCATTGCGAAAAGCGCGACCAAGTCCAGGAGCAGGTGGAGCTCTGCTTGTGCCTGATCCCCACAGCCAGCTTCCGATTGGCTACCACAGTCCTGGCAGTTGAGGGCTGCTTGGGAGCAGGTCCTCACACCGCTCACAGGTAACGTTCACTCTCAAGGTAAAGGTACTTCTTGACCTCCTCAGAAGACCAAACCGACTACCCTGCAAAACGTTGAAGCTTAAGAGCTAGTTATCAGGCTTCAAAAGATAGCTATCAAGACCAAGGAGCTCAATCAACAGAAGGCCGCCGGGAACGCCTCTCAAGGCTCCACTGCTTAAGGCTTTGTTGATATACCCCGTGTGTTGAATGAGAGCCGGAAATAAACACCGGAAGATCTCCAGTGGGGCAGAGACGCACAGGGCATCTGACCCACTAAGAAGACAGATGATCAATCTCTGTACGCAGAACAAGAATACAATCAATAGAATTAATCAACATCCGTGTATTCAACAATTAAGAGTCTCATTGAATCTATGCAACCGGCATCCATATATTGAATACACGTATTATACAACTATTTCAAAATGAATATCACAGTTCTAACCTAGAATGCAACTGCGTACTATTGGTCTTGAAAGGACTTTGTCAGCTGGGGACTCAAATTCCAGAAAAGGGCTGAAGCACTCGGTATCTGGCAACATATCGAGCTAGGGGTAACTACTCCATGACCAACAGCACCAACGCCTCTTGATATCTATCAGAAAAGTATTCAAAAAAGCCTATCAGAACCGCTCAAACAGCAGTGGAGGAGGGATGAGTCCTTGCTTCACACTTTACAACAGAAGGAGCAGCTGACTTCAAGATGAACGTCACCCTATTCCTGCACGAAGACAAGATCTATTAGCGAACCAAGGCCTCCATATCCGAACTCACCAAGTGGACTCTCAAAACCGTCAACCCTACCATACAGGAGATACAATACAGCAGTACGTTACTTTGAATCCTGGTGCTATGAATATGTCTGCAAGCCTTGGCCTGCTCTAAGGTGGGCTATCATTGGATGGGTAGTCACACGAGCGTATGCAGATTTTTGCTATCAGCGAATTCAAGTTTCTATTATTAAAATATATTTATTGGCCCTCAGATCTATTCACGTGGATATCTGTTACGACCTTCAGGTGTTTGACGATCCCTATATTAGACGCCTTATTCAGTGTGCCAAGATGAAGTTCCATGAATCAGACTTCAGAAACACTAAAAAGCCTCTTTTGCCTCACAACATATTTCTTCAGCTTTTCAGCAAAAAGGCTACTCGCGGCAAACATCCAAACAATATGAAGGTTGCAAACGCGGCATTCAGTACTTATTGGCATGGTTTTCTTTGTCTCGGAGAGGTTACTGAGTTGGGGATAGCAACAACACCCAAAATGGGGCTGCTTGTATAATGGATGAAAGAAAGGAGAGGGAGAGCCATCGGCAAAGTTATGCAGTGAATTTGAAGGGTGTGTCATATAAAGATAATACAATATGTGTTTAAACTGATTGCTCAATTATATGTATTATAGGAGGAGTGGCTGTCTATAAAGACAAAAGAAAACAACGAAAAATGAACGGTGGCCTTTATATGCCACAGACCTGGCTGTACATGTCATCAACCCTGCCCCAAAACATTACACACTGTCACAATACAGGACCATATCATGGGGTCAAGTATGAAGTGTATTGGTTGCGTGATCTAACTTCGGTCCGTAGGACGAATCTCAGCACTAAATACAGTGCAATCCTGAAAGACTGGCCCATTTTTAGATCTAATTGTCAACGACTCCTTGTCTATTACCCCTGAAAGCCCCTGAATGGGGGCTTTCTATCCCTAAATAGGGGCTTTCTGCCCTTTTCTTCTTTTGACCGGCTATTCAGGTCCATTCCAGCTGCCGCGCAGCTGGCGCCGCACCTGCACGACACCTATATGCCAACACAAACAAAGAAAAGGCTCTAGATGATGAATTCAGATTCTCACATGAACAGCTGACTTCTTTGTGTATCACTCCAACCTCAGTAAGAGATCATTACACGTTGTTGCTTCATACCAGCAAGACTGATAAAGAGCCAAAAGGGGCGCTAATCCTTGTTTCTGCTACTAACAATGAAGCATGCCCAGTTTACCATATGGGTCAATGCTACAATAGGGAGAGCACCCTTGTCATAATGCAGCAAGAGACCCATATTGTGACGGTCTGCACAGACCTTCCCACATGACAAGCGGATACTTCCCAATAGGGGAAGAATCTGACAAGAGGATCGATCCCCTTAAAGGGGCAACCTCCCATTGTACCTATCTCTCTCTCTCTTCCTTTCCTCTCTAGTCTTGATATTCTTGTCAATAGAGTAATAGCTGCTTGCTGCAGGCCATGTCCCAGCTCCCCAGTATGCTCGCTGTGACACATATTCTCACTTGTTTTAGGCCTTTTTATCAGACCGCGCGCCCTGAAGATCCTTGTTAGACGCCTTTCAAACTTGAGCATCTCTCTCAACACGTACAAAGGCCACAGCTTCCGCCGTAGTACCGCTCAACGAGCATTTGAACTTGGATTATCAGAAGAAGAGATCAAAATCCTGGGCAGATGGTCCTCGGATACAGTCAAGCGTTAATTCAAGACGAGCAAAGGCACTAGGCTCAAGTTACAATAACGGTTTGCTACAGGTCTTTCTCACGCAGTTGTTAACATGTTACAGACGTCGGTTTATACCGATGGACGTCTTTGAATGCCCAATCCCTGGCTCTGATCTATTATTGCCGTCTCACCACCTGGGTGTGAATGGAGTCATGATGAACTGTGGGTAACGCGCACAGGATCAGGAGAAGGGTTATAACTAGGCATTTACACGGGCAATCCAGTTTGCGTACAACCTCCTTTTTCACTCGAAGTGAAGCCTTCAGTTCTTGAAGCCACCGTTACAAGCCTCCACACCTGGAGCCATTCACACACTCCTTACTCCTTTTTTTGTGCGTTTCCGATCGGATCCATTGAAGTTATAACAAAAATTTTGATTATGGCAAGGAAGATGCTCTTTAACACACCAATACCAAGCCTTCACTTCCTGAAGCCACCATACAAGCCTTCACACTCTCTGAAGCTAATCTCCTACCCCTGTTTTGTGTTTCCTGCTTGTGCCCGTTGAAGTTATGTCAAAATTTCGAAATCTAGTATGAATTGACCTTCTCCAGGGCATTTTGAAGCGTGCTACAGCACGCACACATTCCTTCAACAAAGCCTTCAGATTGAAGTCATGTTTGGTCTCTTGGAGTGTTATAGCACACCTGACCTCCTGTAAGGGTATTGCACCGGCATGTCAGGCTGATTGGTCACTGATTGGAGTCCTAAAGCTCCACTACCACATCTTCTTAAAACGCCTAATTCCTACAAACATACCAGGATAGATTGAAGTATCTTCATACACCTACTTCTTGGAATCACCGTCATCACCTTGCTTCAGTATTCAACTACCTTAACCCTTACACCTCCATCCCTCAACAACACTGAAATAACATATACGACAAGAGATGAGACCTTCTGTACGCTAGCTACGCTCACGGCTATAGCACGCTGGGCCTCTATACAGCCCCTATATCACCTAGTTGTGCCCATAGACCTGCCTTTGACAGTACAATTCAGGAGCGTTTGAGAGCTATCATAGCCCTGCAACAGGGCACAGCATAGCTACCTTACACAGAAGGCTCTCACCGACAAACGAAGTTATACAAAGTTCATAACATCCTGATGACCGATTTGCTAGTGAATATTACCCGTAGATTATTGTTTATATTTGACAGATGTGGTGGCTCTGATGTGTGGTTTGACGTGGTCTGTGCGTCACTATGAGGTGTGTGACAGCAATCGGGTGTTGTGTAGCAACCAAACAGCCACCTGTTTGAGAGACGGTTAGTCAGGGCTCTAGACCATCTATTTAGATAGCGATTCGTTCCTTCTAGACTACTGACCTGACATGAACAAGGGACTAACCCAATCCTGATCCTGTCAGATTTGAGCCTATTGTCAGAGTGAATTATATGTGTGTATTCTGTCTGTCTAGAGTGTCCTTGTGCAACTGTGGCAGTTCTGTGCTAGAGGGGGCTGGTTTGAGACGGAACAACTAGGTTCCGTTGTCTACCTGTCAAGGTGCCTTCTAGGTGTACCTTTAATCCAACAGATCTATCCCTTGTCCTGCCCCTTGTGTGACTTCTCACAATATTTTTAATATTAAAAACATACCTTATATTTAAAGCTATTAATTTAAAACACTTTATATTTATATTATTAAGTATATAAAGCGCAAAATAACCTCTGGTTGAATTTTAATTAAAGTATTAGAAATTAAAACAATTTATCTGTTTTAATTGCATATAGAGCTGTTGAATACACGGATGTTGATTGATGCTATTGATTGTTCTGCTCTGCGTGCAGAGATTGATCATCTGTCTTCTTGGTGGGTCAGATGCCCTGTGCGTCTTTGCCCCACTGGAGATCTTCCGGTGTCTATCTCCGGCTCCCATTCAACAGTAGCACGGTACCAAAATTTGGAACCGTTCTACCAGGCTTGGAACCGTGCCAGTTCCTGAACCGTACCGCCACCATTACGGGACCGTCCTGGAACCAGAACTACCCCCCATATAGTTCTATCAAGGAGGCAACTGCTTGCAGCTGAGTGGTAGGTGTGATAGCTGGCTCGATTAACGATGTCTACCACAGAGGGCTTTACCTCTTACCACCCACCAGCTCACCACATCCCAATCATATCCGAAGTCCAGAGCCTCTTCTCAACATCTCTCATTCCCACAGAAGTGGTCAGCTCACTCCCCAATGGCTATACCATCCGCCCGCTTTCGCGAGACGACTACGCCAAGGGCTTCTTCGACTGTCTGCGCGTACTGACCTGGGTGGGCGACCCCACCGAAGCCGAGTTCACTGAGCGGTTCGACGAGATGGTCGAGGCGAAGGGCACTTATTACTTCGTGGTGATCGAGTACGAAGGCTGTATTGTGGGCACGGGCTGTTTAGTCGTTGAGAGGAAATTGTGAGTTTTAGAACCAAGCCAGCAGTGTGGTAAATATTGGCTTGCGCACATTCGGTGTTGACATGGTGTTTAGCATCCACAACCGCAGCAAGTGCGGCCACATCGAGGAGATCTCGATAGCCAAGGAATACCAGGGCAAGGGGCTCGGGTTGAAGATAATGGAGGCGCTGGACTCGGTGGCGGTCGCTGTGGGCTGCTCGAAGAGCATTCTCAACTGCGGGCCACGGAATGAACCCTTCTATGTCAAATGCGGGTATGAGAATACGGGTGTAGAGATGACCCGGACTTATGTCAACGACGAATCCGAGTAGAACTGATTGCTCTCATCTTGGGATGACTGGGACGACGCTGTACGGTGGAGCATCGACGGTGTAGTGCTGGGCGCTGGCGCCGGTGAGGGTCATGGCGGCGTGGAGGAGGGTAGAGTAGAACATGTTGACGTCGCATTTGATGTCTTCATATGTGAGAGGGCGAACGATCTGTAAGTAGCGAGCAACCCGTGTCCGCTAGCTGTCCAAACACATTGAGTTGCTGTTGCATGCGCTTGATGCTTACCTTGCGATTGGAGTAAGTCTACACTGCCACCCGGATTTTGTTGAACTGCCACTCCTTACATAAGCCCGATTTAGATAGCCACCTAGATAGTTTATCCCCGCTATAGGGACCCACCGATTTTTGCGACACCCCTCCTGTTGAATGGGAGCCGGAGATAGACACCGAAAGATCTCCAGTAGGGCAAAGACGCACAGGGCATCTGACCCACCAAGAAGACAGATGATCAATCTCTGCACGCAGAGCAGAACAATCAATAGCATCAATCAACATCCGTGTATTCAACAGCTACCTACCTTGGAACAGTCCCGGACTACAACCGTACTAGCATAACTAGCGTACTGACTAAACCAGCTAAACTAATTAAATTACTACTAATTAAGCTACTGTGCCAACGGAACAAAGAATATAGCCGGGATTAAAAAAATTCATTTCGTAATAATCGTAAATAATCGTAACGTATATAGTTAATGTCACGGCGAGTATACTGGGGAGCTGGGACATGGCCTGCAGCAAGCAGCTATTACTCTATTAACGAGAATATCAAGACTAGAGAGGAAAGAAAGAGAGAGAGAGATAGGTACAGCAGGAGGTTGCTCCTTTAAGGAGATCCTCTGGTCAGATCCTTCCCTTATTGGGAAGTATCGGCTTGTCATATGGGAAGGTCTGTGCAGGCCGTCACAGCGCTAAGCATTTCCTACAGCTGATAGAATAACATCCAGTCGTTCTAAAGCCAGAGAGAATGTTTGCCTTAATAAAAGCAGCAGTTCTGGCCTGGCTATAGCACCGAATGAAGTTGATCTTGTCAACAGGCGAGGCATCCATTAGAAATTTAGCTGAGAAAAGAATTTCTAGTAGTGAGCCTTTAAGGCGTTACAGGGCCCGTTATCTCGGGGTTGCATGGCGTGACTAGTGTGCGCAGGGAAGAAACAGAGCAATATATTGGCAAAATAACAAATAGTCATGAATTCGTCCTTATAACATGCGTTAGTCCTTATTAAATCAAGAAAAAATAAAGGAAGTCTATAAAATAAGGAAAAATCATATACATACGGAGGTATAGCTACCATGGCCATCTAGTATTAAAAGAATGGGCTCAGCCTGATCTTTTCCTCGTTTCTCGTCTATCTGCGGGATGAAGACATCTTCTAGTCACTGGCAGGCTATGTTATTCGAAGTCCAGCCATTTTCTGAACATATATGATGTCAATTGGCGGTCTTTCGAAACTCCTTAATGAACCACTGGACCTGGAGGTCCTTCCCCTTGAAAATAATACTTGGTTTGAGGATTTTTCTAGTTACAGAGATGGCTTCGATAAAAGAGGTCCAATTACGGGTCTTTGGGCTCTTCAAGAAGGCCTTCTTAGTAGCAAAACTACCTAAAACCAGAGAATCAATGCCTATAAAGCTAATTAGAATTTCTACGGATTTAAAGGGGTAGTTATAGTCACCAAAACCCGCCATGATGCCGCCCTTATCGACATTATACGTGTTTTCTGGCTTGACCCAGCCGTAATCCTCTAGGATTTCAAAGAACTAATTAACTGCCTTTGGCGTGAAGCCTTTAAAGCGCACTGATTCCATCTTTTTGCCAACTTTGGTCTTTATTTGTGGGTTGCGGCGCTTGAAGCCGGTCATGAAGTGGTTTATAAGGGGGCTTGAATCTCCGTTCTTTCTCAACACTTTCACGATAATCTCATGCACCAGGGAGTGCAAAGGGCTAGTCCTAGCTTCTCTTAACGCAAAATCCAGTTAATTATAGTGCTTTCTTGAGCAGAAGAGAGTCTTTGTTAGTGTATATGGCCTTCGCCTTTTGAGGGCTTGCCGTTAAATTGGTTAGAGAGCGTTTTAGCATGGACGCCGTGTTTTTGAGCGCTTTTTCGCAGCAAGAGGCCCTCATCCGTGATATCTAAGATGGTATTTGCCATCTGATCCTCTGTATACGGTTTGGGAGGCATTTTAGGCGGCTATACAATGTTGCGATGCATACAGAATAAGGCTTCAGACGAGGCTCCAGCACCCAAAAATCTCCATTTGGAATAGGAAACGCGGGGTAATAGACAGCCAATCACGTACACTACGCGAGGTAAATTCTATATTGGATTAAACCTTAAGATCAGGGCTATCTAGAGCACTAGATACATTCTGGACAGCTTCGATATTGGGCTGAAAGCGTATAAGTGAACATATAGGGTTTAGGTGGTGGTGGTGGGGTTTTGTTGTACGAGATGTGGGGGTGTCCGAGATGTAGGGGGGGGATGGTACCGGTCAATGGTTGAACGCCAGCAGTCGTCCCATCAGCCCCTTCGAGCACAAGGTGTCGTGATCCGACCGGGAGTCGCAATGTCGAGTACACTTGGTGTTTCTCGAATGACTCTTAATGGGCAGCCTTCCAAGCCCAACCGGCACCATGTGCTCCCAGACTCTTGCTCTGCCCTGTCGCTAAGTTTCAATTGCTCACTGCATATATACAGCCATATGAGCAAAAACAACCACATACGACCATAGGATTAGGAGAACTTGGCATCCCGTCCGCTCTGCCTTAAATAAGCCTGATACCGCTGGATTAGTAGTTGGGTCGGTGACGACCAGCGAATCCCCGGTGTTGTATGTTTTGTTTTTGATATTCCTTGACTCTCTGCCTGCCTGTTCGAAGTGTTTCTTTTTTATTTGTTGTTCGATTTTTCAGTAGCATACGTTTTGTATCAATTCAATTCGTTTTGGCTTGTGGAAGACCTGGGTATTGGTGGCGTCAGCTCTGAGCCTTCCTCCTGACCACGCCAAATTCGTGGGACGGACAGGCGGCTGGTGATGAGTTCCACTCCAAAGAGCACGAGAAAGCACTCAGCCATGCCGGTTGGGGTGCTCCCACCTCACAAGCAGACGGACAAGGCCTCTTTGGCAGGTGCGTCGAGACAGCGGAGGCCGAGACAGTGATAAGCCTGGAAGGCCCTGGCTAATAGCATCGATGCCGACTCTCAATGTTGAGGTGTCGATGCTGCCTCTACTGAGAGCGCAGGAGGCACTTCCATTCGGTGAATGTGGAACTCGACCTTGGCCATGGCGTGCTCAGTAGAGGCATCGGCATCGAAACTGTGGGTATTTCTTGCCTTCCTTCCTTCTCTCACTCAACCTCCTGCTTCCTTACAGAACAGTCTCGTTATTGCTCACTTTGGGATGGAGGACGCAATGTCCTCTCAGATAACTTGCCGCCATGGGCGGAACCATCGCCTTACTTCGCCGACTGTGCTTTGCGACCCTGGGACAACATCTCCCGCATCCCTTTGCCCATATCAAGCCAGCTCTCATACAACTACTTGCATCCGGCATCCACAAGCAGCTCATACAAGTAGTCGACTACTCGCATCAATACCACGCCATCATGCATCCGACAACCAAGCTCTACACTGTTGCCTTCATGGCTTTGGCAACGGCAAAAGTCAGGGACCAGGGGGGTTTCAAGGCCACATGTAAAGACCTGGAGTTGATACCCCAGGATGAGGGACAACTGGACCTCAAGGCGAACTGCTTCAAAGTGCCCTTCCAGCGACGGCATAGCTGTCACGACCTCAACTTGTGTTACGGCAACAATTGCGGGAAACTCGTGGAGAAAGATGGGTGAGTACCTGGCCGCCAATGCACCTTCACCATTTCCCCTGAGTGGGCACTCAACTGCCGCCATGATGGGTGCATGTTCCGCTGACAGGATCTTCGATTCTAGGGGCGGCTTCCAAAGTACCGGTAGCGGCTGTTCCGTATCTAACTCCATCCTCACATGCACCTGTAATGTCGTCGGATGCGGCGAGACCAAAACAAGCTCGATCGACCTGAGTAAGTTCTGCCACTGCTAATAGCTAGTTTGTGGGTACTTCGTTCTCACACTTAGCAGACAACCTTCTGATGAACGACAGAACCATCGGGAGGTTGAAGTGCTTCGAGAACATCGCTTGGCCTTGCGAGACACCTTCGTTAAGTCGAGACGGACCGAGTATCGGCGAGGCCGCTGAAGAAAAAAAAGATAATTCCATCTTTTATGATTAGTAGCGGTACACTCCATCATGTTGCTGTGAAGTCAGCTACCTGATGTTCAATCCGGGGTATTACTGTGTCATTCGTTCAATAGTTGCTTTTCCGGCAGGCTCTTGATGTAGCATCAAGCCCAAGCGTGGATACTTTACCAATAAAGTGCGACTTGTCATTACTTCTCCGAGCCTGCTCATCAGTGTCAGTAACAATTCCTTGCACGGAACTGCAGCTTGAAGTGATAAGGGTTCAGCTACCTTCAGTCTGTGGGGATGTAGGCTGGTGGCCTTGGAAGCGAGCTGTTCATAGAGACCAAATGTTCTCAGCATTGGTCCCAAGAAAGCGATTAGGCACCCAACAATAATGAGCGAGGTTGACAGCCCCGAGTGTTTCCCAGGACAGTAAACTTACAGCAGTAAACTCACAGCTACTGGCTCATCTACTCACCAACAATGCCGTGTTTCATCCAACTCTCGCTGAACATTCCAGCGTCCCTTTGGTGTACCTCTTCATGGCGATGAGATGAAGGCTGTCACCAATAACTCACCAACAATCTGGCATAGAAGTCATACCGCATGCTTTTGGGGAAGTGAGGAATTGGCAAAACCCGTGATGTGCTGATGCCTGATTCGTGGTTGGTCTCTCCACAATGATCTTCAGTGATCTTCAGACGATCAACCTGGGGCGACCAATCAACAAGCTGCCTTTTGGAGATTCATGGTTCTGCTGCCAATTCCTCACTTTCCCAAAAGTATGTTCGATCGTCTGTCACAGCATTCAGTCTCTGATCAGATTTGGGGTCACTTGTAATTATGCTCGCCGTCACGATAAACACATATATGCAACTACAAAGCATTACATGCAGATCTTGGCCGATTGCGTCACTCCCAAAACCAGGATTTCCAGCTCGGTTGCGGGGCAGAGAGTGCGGGGTGCGTTACACATGTGGTGTGGGTTGCCCGACAACGCCTCCTGGTATTTGTTTATTACCGCTTACAAGCATAGAAGTAACCTATGACAGCTTTCCCCGCGTTCCTATAACAAGCAACAAGCCCGCTCATGAAAGCCTCTTTGTTGGTGAACGTTGATATCTCCGTTGAAACGAGTAGTTGTTGATTGACAGCAGACTACCCATCCTACCCATCATTGACGACATCCTCCAGGTATACTACTACTGAGCAAAAAGTACCGAGCAGACTCCAACCATGGCCGACCAAACCAGCGCCCAGCCTGCCGTCGACGAGACACCCATCGCTCCCGTCCGCCCCGGCGACCGCAAGAACTCGCTCGAGCACCACCTGAAGGAGCGTCCCGAGCGTTCTGAGCTTGTTGATAGTACGCAGGCCCGTACCATATTAAGCCCAGCCACACAAGGCGTTAACCTAGTATCCTTGTAGAGAACATCCTACCCGCATCGTCTGCTGCCCCGAGCCTACAGGAGAAGCAAAAAGAGGTATGTGCTACCTATGTTTTTCCTGAGAAGGACGAGCCAGAGACTGACAAATGGCTTTGCTGTTCTAGCTTGAGAAGCACATGAAAGCCGATACCCTCAACGACAAAATCTCCCACCGCCCGCCTCCCGAGAAGCTTATGCAGGAGGGTGTGCTCAAAGAAGACCCCCGATCGCCCGACGAGAAGTATGCTGAGGCTATTGAGGACGAATATGCCAAGAGGGAGGGCGGTGCTTGAGTGAATAGGTATATCGGACAGGATGGCAGACAGGAGTTATGGTTGGTCATGTATAACTTATGTCTGGGGCACGTATGATTTCTGCCTCTGTGGGGGACAATGGACAGGTGGGTATGACACGGAACCGGGAAGATACTACGGAATACGGAAGGGGGACATGATACTTTTGCAACTCAATAGTTCACAAATAGAAGTGAGTTTTCAGCTGCATACAGCTTGGCCAAGATATGTTTACTTACGTTTTCGAGTGATCAGCTCATGTTGACCATTGCACAGTCTCGGACCTGTCGGTGACTTGGAGTAGTAAAGGCAGAGTTATAGAAGCGGAAGACCCAGACACCTTTCCAGCATGCTCGCGGCACGAACTCCGACCTGTCTTAGACCCCAAGTGGGATGACATCTAGAGCCCCCGAGGTTCTCAGAAGTTTGCTTTGTCGCGTACTCCCTTCTCTACGGTTCCACGTTGGGAAAGCGACAGGCGATTCACCCCTTGGCTGTGTCACTCGCCGTAATCGCTTGGTGGCTCTCGAAGTATTTCCTTCTTGCTCATGAGTTCCGTCTAAAGGAGTATGTGCTCGCTCCACCTCTAGATATATTTAGTGGGGAAGTGGTACTAAAGTTCGTATCGTCTCTTAATCGGTTGACCACCTGGGACTCTTACACGAAAACCAGGGGAGCGAAAATTGTAATTGGAGGCACATATAGCCAGTGGTCTAGTGAAATGAGCTTTCAAGGTTGAACCGGTCACCGTAAATGACGGGATCTCATCGGCGTTCCTATAGGTACGGCAGTTATCCGGGTCTGCGGCCCGGAAATCAGCCGAGCCGGTGAGCCAGTTGAGCTTGGAGATCTTGGAGATAGATCTGCCCCGAGGTGGGAACCGACCCCAGATTCCCCACTACCCCGACCTCGCCCATCTTATACACATCGGCTTTTCCACCAGTGAGAGCCGGTACAGCATCTAAAACCATCATCGTCGCCGGCAGAGGTTGCACTCGGCTGTAGCAGCCACCAATAATGGACCTTGGTGGTGGAGTGGACGCCTCATGTCTCGACCAGGTTCTCCTCTCTGCTCGGGCTGTGCCCAATTTCTTGGTAACCGGCTCAAGAGGCGATAGGGCCGCATAATAGCATGCTACCCTACAGCTGCGCTGCTTCACGGTAGATGGGGTGGTCCAAATTAGCCGCTTCCAACGCGATGCAGGTCGAGAAGCTTGGCTGTGGGCTTCCCCAACGACCCCAACTGTTCCCTGCCGAGGTCGCTTACCGTATAGTGTTGACGTTATAAGACTCACGATGGTCCTGTCTCTGCAGGTCATGGACTCTTGGTTCTTCCACCCTCTCAGCCTCGTATCTGAGCATCATGGTGTCACTTAAGCTAGCCGCTCTGGCTGGCGCCCTTGCCGTGCCTTTGACTGCTGCTGTGGAGATCAGTGTGAGCTCCGAAGGGGGTAATGCCACCAGCGGTCATCAGTATGGCTTCTTACACGAGGTATGTCTTCGGCTTTCCCTGGCTCTTCTCCATGTCTAAAGGCGCGACCTACTGATGAAACTCCAAGGACATCAACAACTCAGGTGACGGTGGTCTCTACGCCGAGCTCGTCCGCAACCGGGCTTTCCAGGTCAGCGAGACGTTCCCTCCCACCCTGGAGGCCTGGTATCCCGTCAACGGCGCGCAGCTATCTCTCAAGAACCTCAGCACGCCGCTGTCCGAGGCATTACCTACTTCGATGAATGTCGCAGCCGGCAACAGCACCCGTTACAGCAATTCCACCACCAAGGTCGGATTCTTCAACGACGGTTACTGGGGCATGGATGTCAAGGTTCAGACGTATTCGGGTTCCTTCTGGGTACTGGGTGAATATGATGGCTCCTTCACTGCTTCGCTACAGTCGAATATCACGGGAGAGGTTTTTGGATCGGTCAAGGTCGAGTCTCAGTCGCAGCCTGATGAGTGGATCGAGCACACCTTCGAGTTGACCCCTTTCAAAGATGCTCCAAGCTCCAACAACACTTTCGTAATCACTTTCGACTCAGTGGTGAGTCTATATACTGGTTACCACGGATACCCTATACTAACTCCATCAGGGCGTGAGTTCGGGATCACTTGATTTCAATGTCATCAGTCTCTTCCCTCCGACATATAAGGGTCGCAAGAACGGCATGCGGATAGATATTGCTGAGGCGCTGGAAGAACTGCACCCGGTAAACCCACCTGGAATGCTTGAAATCATCGTTATGGGGTTTCACTAACAACTCAAATAGACCCTTTTTAGAATTCCTGGTGGCAACATGTTGGAAGGGCTGGCGAACACCTCGTGGTGGGACTGGAAGAACTCGATTGGGCCGCTGAAGGACCGACCAGGCTTTTCAGGAGTTTGGGAATACCAGCAAACCAACGGGTTGGGCTTGATGGAGTATCTCCAGTTCGCAGAAGACCTCGGCATGGAGCTCGGTAAGTCAAGGTTTCCCGTTGGATTCGGTCCGACGTCTTCTAACGTCGCAACAGTTGTGGGTGTATACGACGGCTTGTCTCTCAACGGAGACGTGACCCCGCAAGACGAGCTACAGCCCTTCATCGACGATGCGCTCAACGAGATCGAGTTCATCAGCGGATCTGCTGACTCGACCTGGGGATCAGTCCGAGCCGAGCTGGGTCACCCAGAGCCTTTTCCACTCAAGTACGTCGAGGTCGGCAACGAGGATTGGCTCGCCGGCGCGCCCGAAAGCTGGACGACGTTCAAGGCATACCGGTTTCCTATGTTTCTCGAGGCGATCAACGAGGCGTATCCCGACATCCAGGTCATCTCGTCGGGGTCGTACTATGACGGCTACGACATGCCCGAGCCCGGCGCCGGCGACTACCACGTGTACGCCGAGCCCGATACTCTCGTCTCGGAGTTCAACAAGTTTGACAATATCACGACGCTCCATCTCATTGGCGAGATGGCGGCTGTTCACCCGAACGGCGGTATTGGCTGGGATGGCCTTCTCATGCCGTTCCCTTGGTGGGGAGGCGCTGTTGGCGAGGCCGTGAGTCTGATTGGTTACGAACGTAACACGGATAGGATCATCGGTGCAGCTTATGTGTGTGCCCCTTTTGCGCGTCTGCGATTTGATCAAGCTGACGTATTTACCACAGGCACCGATTATACGCAACATGAACAGATGGCAGTGGTCCATCACCATGATCCAATTCGCCGCCGACCCAGCGTTGACCACCCGTTCTACGAGCTGGTACGTCTGGGAGCTCATGGCCGCACACATCATGACCGATACGCTTCCAGCTACTTCAGACTTTGACCCGCTCTTCTACGTTGCCGGAAAGAGCGACAAGACCGGCGGCCATATATTCAAAGCAGCCGTCTACAACTCGACGGACGGCGCCGACGTGCCCGTCAAGCTGGCCTTTGAGGGTGTCGGGCCTGGAACCGCGGCAGAGTTGACAGTCCTGACCGGACCTGAAAATCCGTACAGCGTTAATGATCCGTTTACTGGTGTCAACGTTGTTGAGACTACAAAGTCAACTGTGACGTCTAATGAACAGGGCGTCTTCGAGTTCGACTTGCCGAATTTGAGTGTTGCTGTGCTGGATACGAGCTCTGCTTCGAATAGCACTAGTCGCAAGGTGAAAAGCCGGTGGAATAGGCAGGTTGAATATAGGTGGTAGAACGGATGGCTAGATCACAAGCTACATGTAACGCAAATATGAAAATCAGTCGTCAAGCGATGGATTTGGAAACATTCTATTCCATGACCATTCCTTTTTGAAGTAGCCTCTCTCAAGGAAGTCCGCTCGAGCACCTAATTGCCAATGCGACCGGTTACCACCGGATATCTACCCGCTTGACTCACTTTGATATCCACGAACTGTACCAATCTAGGATTCCCAGAGCATCAACATAATCCAAGAAGATCAACTTACCAAGCTAATCACGTACTTCACATCAGCCCCGTCCGTAGCACGAACCCAGTCGACAGTCTCACCACCTCCCCCTTTCCCAAGGACAACTCCCCATCCTCCACCCGCCATCTGCAAAATGATTCGCTTTACCGTAACAGCCTGACAGCTCGGGTTCTGGTGCTGCATATTATATGGCGTGTCGTCATTCCGAGAAGTTGTAGAGGGAGTCCTGAGCAGTGCTTATAGCAGGAGCAGGCAGGAGCTTATGGTCTGATCCTACGCAGGAGCATGACGTTGTCAAGTGCCGCCAGGAGTGGTCCATCTTACCAGGAGTGAGCCTCTGCCAGGGGTGATCCGTCATCAGGAGTGATGAGCCTTCGCCAGGCAACTATTATTGAGCTGTCACTGTCAGTGATATCGATATAATGAGCACATGGACTATTGAGCGTGCCGTGTATCATAGAAAGGCAAGCGTTTCGTTAGAAATGAGGGCCTCTGTTAGTCATCCAACTCAATCAATCAATCGCCACTGCCATACAGCCATGAAAGCCAACAAGAGCCCCGTTCTTGCTCTTGCACTTGTCACGGGTGCTCTCGGCCACGTCGCCGTCCCCCGTGTATAATCCTTGTCTGCGTGCGTCCGGTATAAGCAAGCCAACTAATTCCTTTGCACCGCGGTCAGCAAATAGTGCACAGTAGCGCAGCTCAAGTCGATGGGACGTGCAAGAAACCCGCCTGCAACAGCGATGCAGACTGCCAGAACCATTCGTCTTCCGAGGTTCGGGGAGTGAACGGAGCAACGTGCGGGCGATGCGAAAACCCCGACGAGGACTCTAGCATGAGGTGGAGCGACGACGTCTTGCAGCATATCTACGACCACAGGACGTACGTTTGGGACGGGAACAGAACCACGTTCGTCGACGACAAGACCAAGGCGGATGCAAAGGGGCAGGGGTTCTGCCTTGGGACGTGAGTTTGAGCGTTCGTATCTGTACCTACTTTACCACTCTCCTGTAAAATATATAATAGAAATTCTACTTCAAGTATTCAACTTCTTCAGCATGCCTCCTCCAAGTGCTGCCCAGGATATTGCCAATTTAGAAGTATTATGTTGCATGTGATGTCGGCAGTCGCTACCCGCGAGCACCAGATAGGAGGTAACTACCTCTTAAGTAGGCCGACATCGCTATACCCAGCCCCACCAGTTGTCCCACCTGTAAGCCGCTGACGGTCAGCTCGTCAGCTTAACCCTAATTGGACACCACACGAGGTACCATACTATAAAACAACCTCCATCAAGACCCTGCCCATGAGCCTCTCTCGTCGAGCCCGCCGACATCTCAAGTCTCCTACTCCAAGCTCAGCTCTATATCTTGTCAGGTAACCTAAACACCTAGCCTTCCAGACCCCTCCCATACACAATGGCCGAAAAGACAGCCGTCGTCACCGACAAGGCACCGAAGGCCCTGCCCGGCATCTACAGCCAGGCCATCAAGGCCAACGGCTTCGTCTTCGTCTCGGGCGCCGTCCCCATGGACCACGAGACCATGAAGATCATCGACGGCGGCGTCCAGGCCCACACGGTAAGCTGTCACCACCACCACCGCACCTGCCCGCCCACGTGCCCATCACCACTGCAGACTACAGACTCCAGCCCCCGCTCGCTCACCTGCTGACCTCCGCTGTGCAGCACCAATGCATCAAGAACCTAACGGCCATCCTCGAGGCCGCGGGCTCCGATATCAACAAGGTCGTCAAGGTCAACGTCTTCCTGTCCAACATGGACGACTTTGTCGCCATGAACGAGATCTACAGCCAGTACTGGGGCAAGGTGAAGCCATGCCGCACGTATGTCACCCACCCTCTTACCGAAAGTGTGGGCGGTATACTAATGCTAATCCGGCACAGGTGTGTTGCGGTTAAGACGTTGCCCCTGAACGTGGATGTCGAGATTGAGTGCACGGCTACGTACTAAGGAGGCAGCGAATACCGGGCTGTCTCTGGTGGGAGCTTGGGTTCTGCGAGTATTGTGCGATATGAGGCTCGTTGTTACCGGACTGTTTTGGCCGCTGACGGGCAGCGTTTCGCTCTCGCCATCTCCCTGCCAGAGAAAGAAGCCTACTGAGCAGGAGAACGCTACCAGTGGGTATTATGACTCGCTGCCAAAAAACAGGCCGAGTGATCGTTTAGATAGATTCCAGTAGACTTTTAACTTCATGGCCTTGTCGACGAACGCCCCGAAATATATATGACGAGTGAAGTAGAATAAGCTGGGGGTACCAATGGGGTCAGTTTCGAGACGTATGACGAGCAAAATGAACCCAATGATCTGATGTGTGTATGGCTTGGCCTCATAGAGACGTCGTGAGACGCCAAAGGGACATTACGGACACCGTTGAGGTGAGGTTCTCAGATTGAGTTAGAGTGACGGCGACATATCTTGGTTTTGCTTTCTGAAAAACCAAGTCTGTCACCCGTCTGCATAATTACACGGTCAATATATCTACTGGCTTCTTACGTTTCTGATGAAAGTGGCTTCCCACATCTCAAAGGCCAGGCCCACACGTAAAAAGTCTTAATGTTGGAGCCATGCGATTCCAACTTGCAAAACTATTTATACCAGAATCCATATGTATGATTAGATAAGATAAGATAGTATATTAAGAGGGCACTTGGCCAGACCTTCGAGTCTAGCTAGGTTCCTCTTAATCTAACCATTAACAACATTATAACCTTGACCTAATACTCGAGTATTATAATTAATCGTTCAAGCCTGTTTTAACACTTAATATAAAAATTTGTAAAAAGAAGTATTGATAGATACGCCGTTAGACCCATTTAAAGCGATATTTTTCTACTGCGGATTTTCAGTTACAAGTTTGTCGAGTTATTTAAGGTGGAAAGCGGGAGTTTTATATATATAACGTCATGTAGAGTTTTAAGTGAACCAAGTTGTTGAATGGGAGCCGGAGATAGACACCGGAAGATCTCCAGTGGGGCAGAGACGCACAGGGCATCTGACCCACCAAGAAGACAGATGATCAATCTCTGCACGCAGAACAAGAACACAATCAATAGAATCACTCAACACCAGCGTATTCAACACAAGTTTCCCGGTCTTCTGAGCACTTGCGCTTAGATCGTCGACCCCGAAATTTTGATCTTAGTACATGCATATTGGTACTGACGCGTATAAAACGCGAACAACACACGTTACGATACTCAGCTGGAAAAAAAAAAAAAAGAAGCGAGATTGGCGGCCTGTGAGAGGCGGAGAGGAGGCACGGACCTTGGTCAGCATCAATATCTCAAGGGGATAATATTTTGTCTTGTCCATCCTCTCCCCTACTCACTCTCTCCCACTCTCTCTTTTTGCATCTACACACCTACTCACATACACACACTCACACAGCACATAGCTTCTTAATGAGAATCATCATCCGCCAAGATGGACCAGTCCAACGACATGACTAGCGTTGAGATGTTTACGAAACTTCTCGAAATCATCACCGAAAATCACGAGGAGCTTCAGTCCAGAGAGGCGATTGCGCAAGTGGCTCTTTAAAGAAGTAGGTGGCATGCGGCACGATGTCAGGCGCCTCCGGGCTGACAACCGCGTCCTACGTCAATTGCTTGATGACAAGCCCGTGTTCCCCCAGTTCTCGAGGCTCCCGACCGAGATCCGTCACATGATCTGGGAGGCCGCTCTACCCAGTCGTCTCGTATGCATAGGTGTCAAAGAATTCCCGTACAGGGATGAATTTGGCTACGATCATCATATTGGTCATATAGCCGACGTTGCTGAACTGGACTGCATGCCGCCCCCATCGATTGCCGAGGTCTGTCGAGAATCTAGAGACGTGGCGTGCTGTACCGGCAGCCTCTGCACCATCAACGACTGGGACGCGTCGAACGTGGGTGCGTGGTTCGACCCGACCCGGGATAACCTCTTCTTACACCTTGAACAACAACCCTTGGCGAACGGCATGGAGACCTGCCTGCATATGACTCAGTCCGCGCGCACCGTCACCGTCTTGCGTCCGCACGTGTACGACTCCTATCGCTGGCTGTTCAATCCGGCCAACTTCAGCAGTGTCAACCAGCTGAATCTCGTGACCTCCGTCCACTACTTCCTCCCACGCAAACACGCCGATAGAGAAGTGCAAATCTTCGGCCTAGATAGAGGCCCAGTCTTCTTCGACCTAGACGACCCGGCCGAACGGGCACGGCACCAAGAGATCACAGGAAACCACAGCGTTGTCAAGGACGCGGACTGGTGGATGTTCTTGGAAGGATACCTCCACCCTGACACTACGCACTTCGACTGGGAGCAGTTCAAGATACTTGCGGGTGCTGTGTGGCTGCACCGCCAGCTTGAGAGCACGCCGGTCACGTTTCTTCCACCACCTGCCATCCGCCCTACATCGTTTGACCCGGAGTTGAATACAGGCTTCGGGAGCCCGGAAGCGGCGGACTGGTGTCGTATGATGCGCTTGAAGATGCCCAATTTCCGTAGACTCGGCATGGTCTGCTTGAGTGAGGATGCAGAGCCTGCTGGACTCACATTTGAGCATGTGGAATGGTGGGCCTGTGTGGTAGGCGGTCGCTGGAACGATTCGATTACTGACGCAATAGTCCTTAATCTGAGCCTCATAATGGCTGGATGCCATATTCGCGTGGATATCGTTACATTGGCATTGGTTATATCTGATCCTCGGACCGCATGACATGCTATTATCTATTGCGCAGACTTAGTTCCGTCATATGTTCTGCCGCTATTTGTATGTCTTCTATCTGTCTCTGTCTGCACCGCAGACCCTCCACTGGAGGGATGCGCTATACGGAGCGAACAACAGACAACGGACCTTAGAATCTTCCTCGTGTACTAGCCATCGAGTTCCTCCTATGCAGACAGAAATCCCATAACCCAATGGGACTGCCGAAACCCTCGCGTAATCACCCACGATGGCGACCGCTTCCTGGACACCTCCCAACTCGCCATGCATCTACTCCACCGCAAGCGCCTCCCCCTCTTCCTACCCCGACAAGCATCGCCTCCCTTGCCGCGCAGGAGGCGAACCGCAAACGTGAGTTCTTCGAGACGGACGAGCGCAACTTTGCGTTTGAGGAGATGCTCGGGAGCGACGACACGGGCGCGGCGCGCGTGGTTCCCCTGGGTGCAACGCTCGCGGCGCTTTATAGGCAAGGCGGCGGTCACGCATGGGCAGGCGGATGAGATGGAGAAGGAGATGAGTGATGGAATTGAGGCTGGGGCTTCCCGAAGATACGAGTGACAAGGCAGACAAGTGCCGTTAGATGCACTTGTCACCGAGTGTTAAGTCTATCGCTAACGTACGTCTGGTCGTGGTGCAGAACTTCCGCGGCCTCATGCACATTGTCCAGCCCTTCGTGCTGCGAAGGGGACTTGGGAATCCGCTCGACGTGGCCCAGAATCGGACGCTCCTCATGGAATAGGCGGAGAGGGGAGATCTGGGCCAGTTCATAAGGAGGTGGCAGCACTGGGGCCATCCTTTCCCAATCGCCTACTCTGGAGGATATTCCTGTGTTGTAAGTATATACACCCCATTCTCGTGTATTCACAATCTTTGAGGTGATCCCATACTGACTTCGTTTATCTAAACAGAGTGGTGCGGATTTGTATCGCGATGGCGTACCGCGTACCCGTCTCCCCCTTGACCTCTACGTGTCAACGTGACACAGCGGTTGGAAGAGGTTCCCCAACCCCCAGGCGCGGAAGCGCAATATGTGCACCTAGACATGGACATGGGAAACAGTAAGGCGATCAGCTTCACACAGATACTGTTCAGGGACCCCTGACTGATGGCGTGTCTGCTCCCCCTTAGTCCTGCTGGGCGAGTTGGACTCAAGTGAGAACTACAGATTTCCCAATATCAAGCTAACGGGCTTGAACAGAGTCAACGTACACCCCAATTCAAACTAGTAATAGAGTCCCACGCCAGCTGCTCTGCGTGCGTGCTTCCGCACTGGAGAATACTGACAATTCATTCCTCTCATCCAGCAACAACGCCGGCCCCCGTCAGAACGTCTACAAGATCGGGAGTGTAGTCCCTCCCGGTGGCCTGTTCTCCCGTCTACGTCCAGACTCTGCAGGTCATGCGCGCCCTCTTCACCAACCAGCCGATCACGTCGCAACAGCGCGGCCTCTTCAAGGGGATCGACACGGACGGCGTACGGCGCGACATCGTGACCCTCGGCGCCGACTGGATGCCGGCGACTTCCTGAACCCGGACGCGGAGCTTGGCCATCTGGCCATGGAGTGCATGGCGCTCAACAACTACCAGCGCCCGTCGGTGGAGTGGGTGTACAGCTACGGGTGGTGCATGGTCGCGACGCGGACGAGTGAAATTTTCTACTCGGGGTATACGCGTGCTTTTCATGAGACGAGAGACGCGATGAGGGTTCTTGTGTAGGGATACCTTGGATGGGCCGCTTGATAAAGAGAAAGGGGGGAGGGGTGGGTTTGGGCGGGCCTGAAGCCAGGGTTAGGGTTAGGGTTACCTTAAACCTAAGCTTAGGGGTTTTGACGAAAGGCATTCCTATATGATTCGATGTAGGACGTAAGCTCTTCCCGGGGTCCTCTTAAACGACACGAAGCAGCGGTATCTCGAGCTGCGCAATGGCTACGACTGCAATAGTCAAGACGGCAGTCGGCGCTGCTGTTAGAATGCTGCCGTGATGGTTTCGATTTTCCCGATATCGCGAGGTGGCCCAGGGTTAGGGTTAGGGTTATACGGGGACCGGGAAGGATGGCAGATCGTTCGGTACAACCGAGATAGGGCTGGGGATTCCGTTCCCCATACCAACCCCTACGGAGCAAACAGCTCACCGTACCACCTGCATGCTCGGAGCTTATTATCACGCGGGGCTCCAAGGTTATCTTGTGGTACGTAGCATCATCAGCACTATGAAGGACAGGACAGGGATATTGGGCGATACGTGCATGACACATGCATTCGCAGAGATAACAACCACGACTCAGGCTGGAGTCAGCGTCAGCGGTGGTGATCATCCAAGCAGAATACGAATGGGCTGGTTACATGACAGCATTCACACGTACATGGACAGGACTGATGCAACATTGGCTCGTGGAATTGTTCTGCCATTCTACCCCTCATGGAAATCGTCAGCATCGTCATCTCCTGCAACCTATCTAAATACTACCCCTGTCCTATAGTCGGGGATTTGATCTTAGGATAAGTATGGTCTTGTGAGCTCTTCGCGATTGAACACCTCTGTCCCTTTATTACTCCTACTAGCTACATGTAATCCGGAGTTGGGGATCACTCTACGCCTACAATAAGGGACTTACTTGCTCGCACCCATGGCCGAGGTCACCTCCGCCGATGGCGAGCGCGTCATCGCCGACTCGGACTCGACGAGGAAAGTTGCTGATGCCGTCCTGTACACCAAGAAGAGCACCGACGACGGCGAGAGCGCCCGTCACGTCGGCATCGTCTCCGAGGATATGGCCCAGGTCATAGACAGCGCCGCCGAGAAGGCGCTGTGTCGAAAGTTCGACTTCCGAATACTGCCCGTTCTGGCCCTGATGGTGAGTACCGGCTTCGGGATATGTACCTACCTACCGTCAGCAAGACAACCCAACCGGCTGGCTTCCAACGTGATGGTGTCTTGGCTGAAATCCTACCTAGCAAACGAATGCTGATTGGGGTCCTATCTAGTACCTGTGCAATGCTCTCGACAAGGGCAACTTGGGAAATGCCCGGACGGCTGGGCTGTCCAAGGGTACGCACTCAGCAAACGACTCATGCCTCCGGAGACAAGGCATGTGTACTGATATCAACTCCTAGACCTGAACTTCGAGGGGAAGTATAGCGAGATCGTCGGCATATTCTTCGTTCCATATGGTTAGCATCACGACGTCCACCCCCCGCCTCCCCACCCCTTTTCCTGTACAGGCTCATGCCAACTCACTTACTTCACTTCTAGTACGTGAACCAGCCCTTTCTTCTGCTACACCAGTGCTTTGCTATGCTATTTTGAACAACTATCAAACCGGCTTCCTTTCCGGAAAGCACACATCTCCATCTAAGACCACACCACTGACCCCCAGCAGGTCATCTTCGCGCCCCCGGTCGCGATGCTCGGCAAGAAGATCGGCCCCGCGCGCATGCTGCCCATCCTCATGTTCCTCTTCGGCAGCCTCACGCTACTAACAGCCGCCGCGCACAACTACAACGGCATATTCGCGCTGCGCTGGTTTTTAGGGATGGCCGAGTCGGCCTTCTTCCCGCTGGTCATCTACTACCTGACGACTTTCTACCGGCGCGGCGAGCTGGCGCGACGCCTGGCGGTCTTCTACGCCGCGTCCAACGTCGCCAACGCCTTCAGCGGCCTGCTCGCCTACGGCGTCTTCCAGATCCACAGTCCGCTGGTGGATTACCCCTGGCGATGGCTGTTCATCATCGAGGGCGCCGCCACGGTGTCATTCGCCCTGTTTGCGTTCTGGTACCTGCCGCGCAGCGCCGCCGAGGCCGCGTTCCTGGACGAGGGGGAGAAGAGGCTGGCGTACCATCGCGTGCATGTCGATAGCTCATCCGTCGTCAACGAGGAGTTTAATCTGAGGGAGTCGCTCAGGATCTTCAGGAGGGCGTCGACGTACGGGTTCTTGCTCGTTGAGATCTGCCTCGGCGTGCCGCTTCAGGGGGTCTCGCTGTTTCTGCCCCAGATTGTGCAGCGTATTGTCACTGATACTGTTCGCACCAACCTGTACACCGTCGCTCCGAATATCACTGTGAGCTCTGACCTTAACTACCCTGTTAACTGTACCGTGCCAATCGGGTTGCTGAACGTGTGGTGACAGGGCGCGGTGATGCTGCTGATCCTAGCATTCTCCTCGGATCTCCTGCGCATCCGGTTCCCGTTCATCTGCCTCGGCTTCGCCTTCACCTTCATCGGGTTTATCATCTACGCGTCGATCCGTGCCGTCCGGGCTCAGGTCCATGTCGCCTACTTCGCGACCTTCATGATGTGCTGGGGCACCTCGGCGCCGTCCGTGCTGCTGAGTACCGTAAGTTGCATCCATCCCGACTCCTTTCTGTAGCCGGTATCGAACAACGGCGGGCGGCTGGCTACACATGGGCCACGTATCCAGCAGAAGCACTCTATACTAACCCCTTTTACCTTCTTATAGTGGTACAACAACAACATCGCACACGAAGGCGAGCGCCTGACCCTGACCTCGGTCGGCGTGCCGCTCGCCAACCTGATGGGCCTGGTCGCCAGCAACGTCTTCAAGGATGCCGACGCGCCGAAGTACACACCCGCGCTGATCACGACGGCGTGCTTTGGCGGCGCCGGGTGCCTCGCCGCCGCGTCACTGGGCTCGTACATGTGGTTCGACAATAGGCGCCGCAACCGCCGGCAGGGCATCAACCTCACAGCGAGGGATGTGCCGACGGCGCGGCTGAGGGATGGGCCGAAGGTGGATGAGTTCAGGTGGTTCTTGTGAGGTTGGGGGAGAAGGGGCCGGTCCTGTGCCTTGCTTTGAGGGACATTGTTGGGTTGGGTTTGCGTATTGGGTTAGAAAACAGAAGTGCATAAATCGCGAGCAGTTGCAGAGATTCGGAATCAATCTAGATCTTCGTTGATTGATAGATTAGTGATAACCACAGTAACTCCCAAACGCGCCGGACGCCAGCCATTGCCACCGTCTCGTCTATATCCCACCGTATACACGTACCCATGAAACAATTCTATCTAATACCGCCGGTTGCCCGCTCTATACCTCATCATCCAGAAATCCCACACCAGAATCGAATCTTGAGTGCGTCGGGCTCTTGATCCCACTCCGCTGGCCCTCTATTATCCTCCTATATTTCCCATCATCGAACTTCCAGACCATGCATTTCTCGTTACCGTGTGTTGCGCCGTTCGTCTTCACAGCTAAACTCCCCATCACCGGATCTTCTTCGACTTCGGTGAAATATCTTCTCTCCCACGTTTGACCAGCCGCCTTCTCCTCTTTCCGCAGGGCACGCTGCGCGTTTTCGATCTTACTCTTCTCGTGGCCGACCGCGAAGATGTCGTTGGTATTGATGGCGTTTACGACATGTTGCCATGCCCTCCTCGTTTCCAGAGGATGCTGCCGCTCGACGGGTGCGACTTGTACCGGCGTCCTCTGCAGGGAACCCAAGTTCACCGTGTCTAGTAAAACACCTTTGCCGTTTTTGACGGTGTACGAGTCGCTCCATTGGCCTTCAAGCACATAAAGGGCTTCCTTCTCGTTGCCGTCCCGATACACGGTCGCGACAAACGAGTTACTCTTGCCCCTTAACCAGCCCTTGCACGAATATTGGATCCGCGTCGTGAACCCCGACGAGCTGCGTATATACGACGTGCCGCTGAGCTCGGGTGCGATCTGCAGCGTGACCAGGCCGTCGACGTGCACCGGGGGCATCGAGATGCAGTGGTCCTCGCCGTAGCGGTCGAGGTGCAGGACGTTGCGTCCCCTGCGCTCGATATTAATAGTCGACGAGAAGTAAGCCCTGGGCACAACATAACCCTCGAGCCGCACGCCGCCGTGCGCGTCGTCGTCGTTCCAGATCCGGTACGCCGTCGCCGGGGGGTGGTGGCTGACCTGCTCGCTGATGAGCTGCGTCGTGCCGGCGCCGTCGACCCAGCGGCCCAGGAAGATCTCGCCCAGGAACGGGTTCAGGGGCTTCATCTTCTTGCGCCGGCCGTCGGCGTCCCGGCTGGCGTGCTGGTGCCTCAGCGTGCTGAGGAACCATTGCAGGACCAGCAGGGCGCGCTTCTCGGCACTGGGTTCTGCTGCGGGCGCGATGAGGAGGCTCGGGTGCTCGGCCCAGTAGGCGCTGTACTCGACGATGGATTGTGGTGCCAGTAGGAAGGGCGGGGCGGTTAGGGATGTGAGGTCGCCTTTGAAAGTGGCGACGGACTTGGACGTGGCGGTCAGCCCAATGGTGCTAGTGTTGATAACCGGCAGCTCAGTGAGAAGTGTAGCAACGTACCTTTATGAATTGAAACCAAGCTGACTTGTGTTGCTGTTCGACCTGCTTCTCGTCGCAGCGTGTCGAACTCACAGTGAAGGACATTCTGATGATAGTATCTCGGCAATACGTTTCACTCTAGACGACCTTGGAGAACAATTCCGCAACTATACACAACGCAACAAGCAATTGCCGGAGGGAAAGCCAGTACTAGTATCCAACGACCATGGAGCTCAATGCTGTACGACGCTGTGCTTGGGAACAAATGACAGAAGACAAAGAGATGGAAAGCCTACCGGAGCCTGAAGAAGGCGAAGTCTATGACTACGACTGGCTTACCGTAAAGCAGATTGGAGGACTCGGGAAGCATGTTGCTGCTCATTCGAGACGAATGCTGCGTCATCTGATACATCATCTGCTGCATGTCTGAACGTTAACTCAAGCCAAAGTTTGGGCATTGACTGTGGCCGCGGAGTTGAGACGATGTCTGCTTCATCTCTTCATGGATGCATGTGAAGGTGGAGCCCGGGGAAACAAGCCGACAAGTCGTGTGTTTCTGATCCCGGGTCCTGATAAGATAAGATAAGCGACATCTGGGGTTGTTAGTGGCGGGCTATGCGGGGTTCCAGTGCTTTGGCGTCCGTCTAGTCTAGTTACACGTACCGGTATGGAGTCAATTGATTTTCTCCAAGTTTGCCACCATCGAGAATCTTGATCCGACAACATTGACGAAAAGAGGGCATAAAGGCAGAAACCCCCCAATCTTGTCAATTCACCAGCTGTCGCAATGTCCAAGTCAAAGAAAGCCTCAAAGCGCAAGCGTGACCAAGATACTCAGTCCAATCTGTCACACAAGAAGAGATCGACCTCGATCCCGACCCCGACTCTGCCGTCCCCAAAGTCGACCGATGAAGGCGAGCAAGTCGAGCCGAAAACCCTCAGCCTGAGCGCTGTTGCCTCCGAGGAGGAGGTCGAGATCACAGTCGATACACTACGAGCTCTGGCCGAGCATCCAGCTGTGATCAAGGGGAAAGGATGCAAGGACTTGCGCACTGCTGTCTATGACTTTCGCCAGGCCTGCACTACGGGCAGCAACACCACCAGCGGTTAGTCTCTCCGGTCTGGGCCTTACCAAGAAGGTTACTAAGAAGACCCTGTGTCTAGCTGCTACGAATCTTACTGCGAGGATATCAGCCGCTCTCGTCGATGGCAAGCATATCGATGCCCTTGTCTTGCTCGCCGAAATGCGCATTCGCGACGAACCCCCAAAGCTAGGAGCTCTTTGCCGCTGGGTGCGGGATCTCGACGCTGTAAGCGGTCTTTCCCTTCGAGATCCCAAGGGCACCGGCGAACCCATCATACCGAGAACCACGAGGCAGTTGGAGACCTTAAGAGCGTTGGACGCTGTTCTCCGAGTCACTGGCACAACTGATCTACACCCTGAGACTCTATCCTTAGCCACAAAAGGGCCCGTCGCGCTGCAAGAGCTGTGGGACCTTCGTGGCGAGACTTGGTCGCCAATCGCAGTTCGAGATAGTGTATTGGACAAGTCGATACTCGAATCTTGTCCGCCTGGTGTTGCGGACAACTTCCGTGTTCTTGAAACAACCCGAGGCCCTGATCGAAAGCCACCGAACCTTCACGATGCTGTATTGTACATGAGCAGCAATAACGCGGTACTCCTCTCGTCGACTCCGCCCGAGATAACATTCCATCGCCATGCCCAGGTGCCAAATCTCTCGCTGATGAGAAACGTGCTTTCGGCGGATGAATGCAAGTCCATCATCGCAGCGACGGAAACCGTTGGCTTCTTGCCCGATGCTCCAGTCAAGGACGACGGCTCAGAGACCAGTATACTGGCACACAATGTCTACTGGGTAGTAGACAATGCCTTTCACGATATTTTGTGGGAAAGAGTTCGCCCTTTCGTCCCAGCAGAAGTCGAGGGCCGGAAAGCTAGAAGCATCAACCGACGGTTCAGAGTCTACCGCTACGTTCCTGGCGCCGAATACCGCTGTCACTTTGATGGTGCCTGGCCGCCTTCTGGGGTTGATTCGACCTCTGGCATGTACTTGTACGATGCCTCGCCCGCCGATGGAAAACAGTCCAGTCTCTTCACTTTCTTGGTCTATCTCAACGACGAGTTTGAAGGAGGCGAAACTACATTCTTCACGCCGAGCATCAAGGAAGGAGTCATGAATGCACACCCTGTCAGGCCTATCATGGGCTCCATAGCTCTGTTTCCGCATGGGGAAAGCAAAGGGGCTCTGCTCCATGAAGGGACGGGCGTACGCAAGGGGGCAAAATACATTATTAGGACTGATGTCGAATATGATGTAGACCCTGGTCGCTGAAAGGGTTTTGCGATGTCTTGGAGAATCCAACCCCGTCTCTAGTAGGTATACCAGAGAAGCAAGATTATCTCCAACTCACCGTCATTCATCAGAACGCACGTTTCTCCGTGATCTGAGCACAACAATCAACTCCGTTTTTGACATGCATGAATCGGTATGGGTTGATAAAGCTGGCTTGATAGGCAGAACCAACGAACAATTTCTATGGTTTCTAGCTACTAGCTGCACTATGAACTGGGCACTGCAATCTCAGATTACTCATGTATTACATCCAGCCTCACCACCACATACCCGCCCATCAAAACTCAACAGCGTCCGGTCCCAGAAACCACTCAAAGATATCCGGACGTCTAGTCGTGCCGCTCTCAACGACGCCCCATACGACCTCGATGCTGGCATCCCGCAGCGCCTCCACATGAGACTGGCCCCGAAGCATAGGGTGAAGCCGGACCGCAGGCGCAGCAGCTTCAGCCATCATCTGCGCCGCCTGCCTGAACGTGCTCCTGATCATCTCCTCGAGCCCCGGATTCAGCGGCCGATCGCAGATTACAGCCAAGTCTTCCTGCTCCTCCACCCCATCCCCATCCTCCCTATTTTCCTCTTCCCGCCGATCCCGATCTGGATTTGGGTCCTCGACCCGCACGACCCGCGCTTCTGTTATTACGTCTTGGTATGGTCCCTCCACCATCGCCACGTCCTGGAACCGGTACACGAAGCCGACCACGAGCCGTTGTAGGTTGGGTAAAAGATGGAACGGCGCGCCGGGTCGCTCGCCGTGGCGCGCGAACGCGTGGTACCCGCTTAGGAGGTGCTGGAACGTCCGGCGGTCTAGCATTATGTTGCGCAGCCATGCGACTGCGTTGGCGGGGAGCGCGTTGTGGTGTAGTAGGTCTGCGTTCGTGTTAGCTGGCGTGTCGTGTATGAATCCGATCCGGAGGAGCAAGCATATTTTTCCAGAAAGAATGACAAAAAACAAACACGAAAGAAAGACCCATTCGAGAAAGAAAACCAGGCTGAAGGCCTGACCTTGGAACGGGACTTTGACTTTCCGATATATACGTACCAAACAGCCGAATCGCAGCGCGCTCGTCGAGGAAGAACGTCGTCTCCCGGTGAAAAGGCCGCTCGCCGACGGCCGAGGAGGCGAGCGGCCGCTGCCGCTGCCCCTGGTTGATGTTGATTATGTTGGCGCCGACGTCGGTCACGAGGCGCGTGGGGAGGAACACGCATGCGGCCTGCGCCTCGGCGCGCGCCTCGCGGCTGGTGTGGAAGAGGGCGTGCGGGAAGGTTTGGGCGTGGGTTAGGACTGTGAGGGTCTCGTGCTGCGGAGAGGAGGAGGAGGAGGAGGAGGAGGAAGAGGAAGAGGGGGGCTGGGGTATGTATGTGGTGAGGGTGAGGGTGCGGATGGTGTTGGCGAAGTCAGAGTCTTGGAGGGCCGGCTCGTAGATTAGTCGGCGCAGTTCTGGGGGCAGGTCGGGGAAGTGGTGGAAGGTCGGTTCAGGGGGTGGGGTGGGTGTCTGGGTTTGGGTGGGATCTTCGTTGTTGTCGTTGGTGGTGTTGGGGCTGTGGGCAGTATTGGAGGGACTGGAGCTACGGTTTGGCTGGGATAGCCGGGTTGATACTTGTTTCTCGCTGCTCTCCATGTTTGGGAAGTGTTACGGGTTTTTAGACTTCGGGTTGGTTGCTAGATCTGGTGGTTGTGGCAAATAGTCTCGCATAGAGGTATAGATGTATAGAACGAAAATCCTATAGAGAGAAGACATCAAGGCTATATCAACGTTGTTGTATATGAGATTTCGTATCTGACGGTGGATATCTCGTAGACTAACGATGTCTGATTGCTACCTGACTCCGCTCGGCTACTTATTCCTCAGATCGAGCATTTGTTGTACAACTAGATAGCTATCACGAATAGGGCGGACCTGTTTTGAGTTGGCATTACTTGGCGTGTGTAAAGGGTTGGGTAGTAAAAAATTCCTGTATTAATCACTCGACGTGACTTTGACATGGCGTGACCGTTGTTAATGGTGACACCGCCTGACGGGTAGAACTAGACATCACTGCATCAAACTGGCGGCCAGGCAATCGAATTCCGTTAAACGTCTATTGAGGAAATTATCAATATATAGCTCTTCTATACATTTGCCTGATGGGAACCGAGAAATAAGTCTTATGTCCCAAGGACTGTGGGCGTGATTACCACCATGAGACCTTTTCGAGAAAACTCGTAGTCATGCGTCACTAACCCTATAAACACCCCATAATTTCTATCCATCTAGCCAGCTATCCCAGCACGCCACGTTCTAGTTCGTGTCATCATCCATATCCATATCATCATTCATATCCGAGTTTGGGTGTTTGTGATCTAGACAGCAGGTATCAGCAGAAGTGTCAATTACCACTAAGTCGGTTCCACTCACGGCAGATCTTCATGCAGTAGTCCTGCTTCGGTCCGGCCTGGGGGAACTTCTGCAGGCATATATTGTGGCACGTCTGCTCGAACAGGTCCTGGGCCTGGTTCAGGACGTCTTGCTTGGTGCTTGAATCCAAGTGCGCCTTCTTGCCGCCGGCGGGGGTGGGGGTAGGGTAGCCGGTAGAGCCGTAGCGCCGGTGGCTAGGGCTATGAGATAGTATGCGGCTCGCATGGTGGGTTGGGCGGAGCGGGACGGGACGAGCGTCTGGGGGGGCGAGGGGCAGGTCGGGCGGAGGGCGGAAGGGTGAAGAGCCTTGGGTTTGTTTCCTGGATTGGTGAAGGAGGGTTGCGGATGATATTGCTGGTTCGTGGACAAAGGAGGTTTTCAGGGCCGGCTTGCGATGTCAAAGCGAGGGCTAAGGGGGTTTCGGGAACCGAGATCTCGTGGCATACAGGCCCTTGGCGAAGGTCCTGTGGATTGAAGTATTCGTTAATTATCTCCTACTCGGGGCCTAGTGCCATGGACCTGTACCTTGTCCTCAGTTGGAGTGGCCGTAGACCTATCAGGCGCAGATCTAGACCCCGACGGTCTACGGGGCAGTCATTGTTCTGTATTCGAAGTCGGGAGTCTCTTTTCTATTCACGAACAAAGGACGGAGCTCCCCTGGGGGGTGACTGCTAAAGTTACTACATCGAATCTCGGTTCGCTTGATGGTGAGCTAAGTTGCCACCGACACCGGGCGACAGGCAAGCGTAGCGGAGTGGGAGCAAAGGGGACGAAGGCACAGAAACTGTCATAATCGCGACTCACTCATACTCACGCTTCTATGGTTTGCCTGTATTTCCTGTCGTAATCCGTGCTCATCTTCGAAAGCTGAAGTCCGCCTGGCTGGCAATATTAGAACAGCTGACCGGCTTCAGATACGAACCGGCAGACTTCATGTACCATGGCAAGTCACTCGTCCCACGGCCTCAAATTAAGCACCAAGACGCAACAGGTCTGTTTCGTCGACATCACGTCTTTGGTCTTCAAATTCTGCTCACCAGACACGGAGCCTTCAGTGGATAGTGATTGATATCTCGCCTTAAAGTCTTCCAATACCTGATTCGGCCGCCGTGTCTAAAGACGTAATCAGCCCCGAAGTGATTAAAGGGTATGTAAAAAGGCATTAGCAGCTAATTCTCGATGGTGTCGGCTGATTTAATTCGCAGTAATCTGGATAGCTCACACAACTTGTCAGCAGTGCACGTCCGTTAACTGTGAGCTGGCAACATCGCTTCCAGCCAGTCCAGATCCTCGGGATTTACCCAAATACCCTGGCCTGTCCACTATGGCCCACCAAAGCATTGTCCTTTTCGTCAGAGAGATTTGAATAGGCTATCCCTCCTATCATTCTCTCCTAGACACTGCTATTGCGTATAGCTTAGAATGAGGCGTTTAGTGTAACGCGGCTGAAGGAACAGTCGAATGAAGGTTACATGTACTTGAATACCCCTATTAGCACGTCAACACGCAGCCGTAGGTCCTGTAGGTATTGTATCCGGCACGATCCGATGAACGCTCACATCTCTCTTGAATTAGATAGCAACCTGTACTTGGCTGAGATACTGAGGGGCTCAACTAGATAGGACGGACGGTATTGACAGCCGCAAAGGCTCGTACGGGGAGGCAATGAAGGCAAGGTTTCGTACTGGGAGGTAAGGCTATGTATGTACGGCTGTGACATCTTGCTAAGGTAGTCATTCTTGCTTGATAGTTGAGCCTTCAGCTTCCAGCTGAGTTTCCTTGGAACGGGCAACCGAGTAAGTAGACATGATGCCGCCGCTGGACAGTGGCAATGATCTAATAGTATCCATGTGGACTTTTATCGCAAATATGCATAAAACCTGAAACGATGTGAAGGTGAGAAAGAGAAGAGGGTATGCTGGAGAGGAAAAAGAAAAAGAGGAAAAAAGGAAAAAAGGAAAAAAGTACTTTTGGTCAAAATCGAACCCTCTACCTGGTGCAAAAGAGTTCGGAACAAACCTAGATCCACGCACGCCGTGAGTATTGCTGCTCTGTATGGGATCTCATCGCATCGTTACGCCCATCATCTCTCGTCTGATCGGTACAATGCCGGTACCTGCGGGGATGCGAGAAAAAGCTGATGGTCCCTAGTCGAAACCACATAAGTACCACGGCAAGGGCGGCGAGTGTAGCATAGAGGGCGCGAAACCAGATACCACCGAGGGGTAAGGCTCTACTCCGTTTCATGACTCTTCCGTCTGTTCCCTGAAGAGGTTGGCGAACAGGGGTGGATGACGTTTCTTGTGCCAAAGGACCAGCTCCTTGTCGCGAATCTGGAGGACGGCCTCAACTGGGAGAAGATATGCCCATTCGTAGGCAAAGACATTCCCCAGACCGGTATTCGAAGGGAATCGCGTCAGCCGAATTTGAGAAGATGGTGAAGTAGATATTATTTTCCGGTATACGCAAGCTGGCCTTATGGCCGTTATTATATGTGTATGTTGTGTTCGTGTTTGAGGCTCTGTGATAGGTCGGCCGGGCCCTATACCGGTACCTTAGTCACCAATCAGCAGGGGTCCACGGGCTCTTGCTAGGCTACGTCACAAGGCTTAGCGCGGTGGGAGAGTGGGGCCTGCATCATTCATGATCGTCCCACCCGTCAGCCCGTGGGACCTCCATCCCTGAGCTTACACTTTACACCTTATTATCTCCGGAACCTCCTCCTTCTTTCCCAGCTAAGCATTTCCTGTCTGGAATGGCTTCGTGTTTGCCAGTAGAGAAACATGGGACAGAGCCTGTCAGGTGAGGCCTCTCCGGCCTCCAAGGAAGAGATCACGGCACATCTGGTAGGTAACCTCAGCTAGCTACTCTACCCTATGTCGGGCTCTCGAACTGACACTCCCTGTCTACAGGCCGAGAAGTTCGCCCGCAAGTGTTTCGAACCGTTCGAGCTATACTCCTTCAAAGACAACTTCAAGTCGCTGGCCGACCACGAGCAGGATGTGCGCTACCTCAAGGAGGACACCATCGCCCGCTTCCTCGAGCTGCCCGACATCCTCGCGGTATCGCCCGTCCTGTTCCACATGGTCTCGTACATCGGCGCATTCCCTTTTCTGCAAGATGCCCCGGTCATACTCGGCTTCGAGCAGATGATCATGGTCGTAGCTATCATGACAGAGCGGTACACCAAGATCCTGGCCAAGGGTGCGAGCAGCCGCCGGAAGCTGCTGTTCAAGAGCTTGGCCGTTTACGATCGCAAGCTGTCCGAGATCGAGAAGCAGCGGCACGACAACGCAGGAAGCTCGGAGCCGAAGTCCGACAGCCAGGATAGAAGTCATGCGGATGGATTTGCTATCGACGAAGCGGGCGACGACCTGAACGATGAAGCTATAGATGACGATGAGCTGGTGCTGGCTGCCCTCCATTCCCTTGACATTAACGATGCCTTCAAGACGGGCGACTCGCATGCTGCAACGACCCATGGAGCTATGATACCTGCAGATAACTTCCGCAGGCTCGTAATGCTCCTTCTTCTGGTCGCTCCTCTCAGCGCGCAGGAGAATCTGTCTAGCTACGCCGAGAGGGTCGCCGGCTCGGAACTCGAGAGCCTGAGAGCTACAGCTGAGAACATCCTCTCGGCCTTCATAAACGTGGAGACATCACCGGGCATCACCTTTGCGCAATTCAACAACGTGCTGCCGCTCAACTTCCCCCACCTCTTCAACGGCTTTAATTCGCTATTTGAGCACTTCCTCTTCTCCCGAAATCTCGACCTCTCCAAGCGCAAGAACAGTATAAGCAAACCACTATCTCCAGAGACGGTGCCGCCCCCTTTACTACAAGACAAGGGCACGATATTAGATCTTAATGTCCTCTCTCAGCTCTCCTTCTTCATCGACGGCAACGAGCTCTTCCGACACCTGCGGCTGTTGTACTCGGGCGCAGAAGCCGGCTTCTCGATGGGCAGCTTCGAGACCAAGGTCTTTAACTGGCGCGCCCCGACCATCATCCTCGTATCCGGGACGCGGCTCTCCGACACGTCCAGCAGCGGCGGTGGCTCCGAGAACAACTTCACCGACTCCCTGCCGCCAAAGCGCTTCCCGGACGGCAGCCCGCCTGATCGCGACCGCGTTGTCTTCGGCGCCCTCGTGCGCCAGCCCTGGCGTGCCACGCACCGCGACTGCTTCGGCGGCGCCGACACGGAGCTCTTCCAGCTCGCGCCCACGCACGACGTCTTCCCCGCGAGCGCCGTCAACACCGACTACGTGGCCTTCACGAAGCCGCCGGCCGCGAACCCGGGGATCAGCTTCGGCTCGCCGCTGCCCAGGGCCAGCCACCACCCGTCGTCGTCCTCATCGCGGCACGCCCCGTCCGCGCTGCGCCACCTCGGCCCCGTGTCGCTGGTCATCGACTCGAGCTTCGAATATGGCGTCTTTACGCACGACTACACGTCGCGCGGCGGCGCCTTTGCGACGAGCGCGGCGCGAAGGTTCGACTTCCAGGAGCGCTTCTCCATTGACGACATCGAGGTCTGGGGGTGCGGCGGGGACGAGGAGGCGCGGGTGCAGCGGGAGCGCTGGGAGTGGGAGGCGCGCGAGGCCGAGGCGAGACGCAGGATCAACTTGGGAACGGGGGATGTGGCGGCGGATCGCGCGCTGTTGGAGATGGCGGGACTGGTGGGCTCGAATAGGAGTGGAGGGTCGATGGCTTGATTATTAGGATTGTATTGGGATACATAGATGGAGTGGGCTGGCGTTATAGGTTTCGGCTAAAGGGATGGTCGAGGTTGGCGGTCTCGTCGCTAGGTGTTATTGGAAAAGGGGCTGGTTGGATTGTATATGACTTGGCAGCTTATCCGCAACCTGGGCCTACCGCATAGTTACAACATGGCCGATAGTTCAACCCATTCTTCTCCATGCGGTATGGGGTGATTATGCAAACGCTTCTGTCTGCTATCACCAGATATATATACAATGATCTGTTGTACAGTCATATGGATAAAGAAGAGTTTTAGCCCCTATTACCCCTGATGCCTTCCTTACCAGGCCTCGAACCCAAATGTACAGTCGCTTTTCTGCGCTCCTTCAACTTTCAACGTCGACCTGTCTTGCTTCCGCCGAGTTTTTTACTTCTTCGGTGTCTCTACTGCATGCTTCTTTGGTGTTTCGGCTTCGGTCTTTTGTTGGTCGGTTGGCTTCGCACTCTCGCCTATCTTGGTGCCAAACCAACCTCCAGCATCTGACAACGCGCCCAGCACACTCGAGCCCTCCTTCTTGCCCTCGGTCGGGACCTGCCCATCCGCATCCGCCGTCGTCTCGGCAGCCAGCAACGACGCAGTAGCCCCACCCTTCTCACCCTTCTCACCCTTCTCACCCTTCTCACCCTTCTCCCTCTCCGCCCCAGCCTCCGCCTCAGCCCTCTCCTCGGCCCTCCTCCCCTCGACGCGGTCGCGCTTGCGGCGCAGCGCGGCCTTCAGGGACTTCTCCTCGTCGTCGCGGACCTCGAGCTCGCGCAGCCACCTGGCATGGCGCTCCTCGGCGCGCTGCTGGGCCTCGAGCTTGATGAGCTCCTTGCGCTTCTCGCGGTCGGCGCCGTAGTAGGCGCCTCCGGCCACGATGGCGACGACCGTGAAAGCCTGCGCGCCGATGCGCGCGCGGAACATGCGCTGCACCTGCGCGTGGTCGCCCTTGCGCATCGCGCGCCAGGCGTTGTAGAGGGCCAGGCAGGTTAGGAGGGTGCCTGGAGGGGGCTTGTTAGCTTTCTCTTGGTTTATTTTCCCCGAACCGACCGGATCATGGTTGTGTTGTTGATGTTCTCGATGTTGCGCTTTTGGCTCCCTTGTGGGTTCTTGTTTTCGTATTGGGATATAGGGCATTGGGTGCTCATGTGGTAGAGAGAATGGGGCCGGTGTCGAGGCGAGTGGGCTTGTGGCGGGCGTACGTACCGAGCGGGACGAGAGGCTCTTCTCGCAGTTTGCGGGACACCTTCTGGAAACCGGTCTCGTTGTATTCTCTGCGCAGGCGGTGGTCAGCATATGAGCACGTAAGCTGGGGAATGGCGGCGACGGGAGTGTGCCTCGGAGACCGGCAGTGGACGAACGTACTTGTCGTCGTCGAACGACGAGGGCATAGATCTGTCGGCCATGTTTCGTTCGCCGTGTGTGTGCTGGCTGAGACGCAGGATTGTAAGGATTGTAAGCTTTGAGCCTCTCAACGCTGCAGGTGGTCGTATTGTGTTGGGGTTGGAGGCTGCAGATTCAATGATGACATCGAATGATTGAAGCTTCAGTCAAATTGACGTTGACCCGCTAAGGATTTGGAGGCGCTCCAGGGTAGCTTAGCTCGCCCACGGGTCGTATCTAATCGCCGAGCCTCAAGTTGGGTGGGTCCTGCAGGACGGTTGAATCGACCCCACTAAAGCTCGCCCGGTGTCAGGTTGAGAACACTTCCAGAAGATGTTGTACACGGTGGTTGGTGGTGGCACTCACACACTTTCGATCCATTACATCCATGTCAGCCACGTATACGGATGGTGAGGCAACTAGTATATTGTCATGATTTCCATAGAGTTGAACTTTGTTATAAGAAAGCATTCGCAGGCAAGGACCCGAATCTTATGGTGCAGTCTTGTTCAAGTTACACGGACGACCCCACGACCCCACCGAAGCTCCGACGGCCGCTACTTTTTTGCTGCCAAACAGCTCCACCATCAAGTCCAGGAACATTTTGATGGACCAAGAGTCCAGTCATCGTCACCGTCACCGTCACCGTCTTGTTGCCCGTTCTTCTCACCACCCTCTTGTCTCGTAACAAGTAGACGATTACGGCAAGATGCCAGGCCCAACGGCAGTCCCAATCGACACTGTCATGGCCAATGGCACTCCAAACGGCGTCAATGGCAACGGCCATACCCCCCGGACACCCTCGCTCACGGGCCTGTCACTCACCGAGTACAGCGCAAACCCGTCGCCGCCATCGGAGGACAAGCAGGCGCGCATCAGAAGCATCGTGCCAGAGCACTTCTTATTGCCTAATGGGCACCCTGATGTTCGTAAACCGACTGTTCCATTGCGCGAGGTTTATTGTTTTTTTCGTATCTGCATTAAAGCGCTGTATGCCCAACTATGAGACCAAGTTAGGGTTCTCGTTGGTGCTTATTACAGCGCGACTACAACCCCTGCACATGCAATACTACACATGCAATGACAGAGTGCGCAATGTACTGATAATGGCTGTTGTGATAGTACCTACGCTTGATCCTCACCTCTCGTGTCTACGAAGCATGCAAAGAAACGTCGCTCACGCCCGCCGTGAACCTGTCCAACCGACTCGAGTGCAATGTTCTGCTCAAGCGGGAAGACGAGCAGCCCGTGTTCAGCTTCAAGCTGCGCGGCGCCTATAACAAGATGGCGCATCTCGACCAAAACAAGAGCTGGAAGGGCGTGGTCGCCTGCAGTGCCGGAAACCACGCCCAAGGAGTCGCTTACTCTGCCCGCATACTCAAGATCCCTGCCACCATTGTCATGCCCTCGGGCACACCCGGTATCAAGCACAGGAACGTCTCGAGACTAGGTGGTTGCGTCGTGCTTCACGGTGCCGACTTCGATGCTGCCAAGGAAGAGTGTGCACGGCTAGAGAAGCAACATGGGCTGATCAACATACCACCTTTTGATGACCCCTATGTCATTGCTGGACAGGGTACTATAGGCATGGAACTCTTGCGACAGACCAACATCCAGAAGCTCGAGGCCATATTTTGTGGTATTGGGGGAGGCGGTCTCATTAGCGGTATCGGTGTTTATGTCAAGAGAATTGCACCACACGTCAAGATCATCGGCGTCGAAACAGAAGATGCAAATGCCATGGTCCAGTCTCTGGAGAAGGGCGAGAGAGTCGTTTTGAAGGAAGTCGGCCTGTTCGCTGACGGTACTGCCGTCAAGACGGTCGGCGAGGAGACCTTCCGTATATGCCAGGAGGTCGTCGATGAGGTTGTCCAGGTCAATACCGATGAGACTTGCGCCGCTATCAAGGATGTGTTCGAGGATACTCGATCCATCGTGGAACCAGCAGGGGCATTGGCACTCGCCGGCTTGAAGAAGTGGGTTGCCGCCCACCCGTCAAGTGACACGAACCGGTCTCTCGTCGCTATCACCAGCGGCGCCAACATGAACTTTGACAGGCTGCGCTTCGTCGCAGAGCGTGCCACCCTCGGTGAGGGCAAGGAAGCTCTGCTGTGCGTTAGTATCCCGGAGCGGCCGGGTGCTTTCGCCGAGCTGATAAACAATGTCCTGCCGCACGCCGTCACCGAGTTCTCGTATCGCTTCGCTACGAACGAGGTGGCCAACGTGCTGATCGGTATCTCATTGACGGCGGCGGCAGCACAGAGGGTGCAGGAGCTACAGTCACTCATGGAGCGCATCACCAGCTCCGGAATGAAAGTGACAGACCTGTCTGGCGATGAGCTAGCCAAGACACATATCCGCTACCTCGTTGGTGGACGGTCTGACGTTGCAGACGAGAGGCTATACATGTTCAACTTCCCCGAACGGCCGGGAGCCCTGGAGAAGTTCCTGCGGACGTTACGGCTGCGGTACAACATCAGCCTGTTCCAGTACCGAAATGGTGGGAGCGACGTGGGCAAGGTGCTGACCGGCATTCAATGCCCCGATGCCGAGATGGCCGACCTGGAGAAGTCGCTGAAGGAGATCGGATATCCGTGGGAGGACTGCACGCACAGCGCCGTGTTCAAAACGTTTCTGAGAAGTTGAGAGCTTGACTGTGAAGGCGTACCTGGGATGGAGTTTGGCGCTGCGTGGAAACTTGAAATTGAGAAACCAAATCATGGCTGCATACCGACCGTGCTAGAATGGGAACAAAAGCTTTTTTGCATGGGAAGATACCTAGATTAGATGGCACAACGTAGTAATGGGCACTATAAGTCCCAAATCTGTTGATGATGGTGAACTGAACGATTCCACCTGCTCCACTGTGAGACTGTAATTACCATACTTAAGGCGGTAAAGAGCTTTTCTCTTCTCGCTCTTCCTAACAATCAATCCTCTGATGTAACAGTCTCGTTGGATATCGGCAAGTCGTATGCTGGACTATTGCCCATCTCGGAAAGCTTTGATGAGACTTGCAAGCTCTTCTTGTGGTAGGAAGCGGACCATGGACAGACAAGACGTAATGATGTCAACTCATTCGCAATAGGTTCTTCCCTTCGAGCACTCTATGAGATAGCTGTTCTATTCGTGACTTTTACTAGGGGGTAACGACAGTGATAAACACCCAGTAACGTAATCCAACATATTTCTCATCCCATGCGATCCTCATCTTTCGCCGGGCACTCAGGCGTTGTACCGTATACGAAACAAGTCTGGCCCTCCTTGCCTTCGCACTATACAAGCGTTGTCAGTACCGTTCAAGTGTACATATATACTCTAGTAGTTTGTGTGGCAACCTACACTTCCCGTACCCATGGAGCAAGGGTATTCGGTATAGCAATAATCTAGTCCTTCCATTGGGACTGCACACGAGTCTCTAATATCACATTTCTGCGTATATTTCAATCAGTTAGACTTCTTAGCTAGTAGAATATGAGGAGTGACACTGTAGGGGCTGTTGATAGGTACTTACGCCTTCTTGCGATCGAGGCAGGAGGATGCTTCGCTTGGCCTTCTTGCAGGCCTCTGCGAGTTCCTTATCGTGTTTGGCGTTACACTTTTTGATGTCGTCGTTATCGGATGCATCACGCATACAGGAGCTGAGATCAGCCTTGAGCTTTTCGGGGTCGTCGTGTCGTGCCAGTGCAATGCTACGAGCCTTCAGCGAGCGGGATGAAGGGTTCGCGATGATGCCCTGGACGTTGGCGGCCAATGCCAGCAAACCCAAGATACTAGAGTATTGCATGTTGTCGTTGAAGAAGAAGTTTCCGGGCTTTGGTTGATCGCGTGTTTGGTACGAGGGGAAGTGGAAGATGTAGGTACGAGGTTGAAGGTGACTTAGAATTAGATCTAAAAGCTGTACGGGTGCTAGATGTATATATTTATGTTATTAGGTTTGTCCCTTCTAGTTACGCTTACAAAAACCATCGAGATCCAGCCATAGATCAACCAGGAGAGATTCTTGCTACCACGCCTGTAAGCGTTAGCGCAGAAGGTTTCAACCGACAGCGAAGGAGAGCTCTTTTCCCAGAGTAGAAGGTCCTTAGGAATGTAGTACTGAGGGTATATCCGACAGCTAGGACGTCTATATAAAGACATTCAGCTGCCGGTTCAGTGGGCGATCAACATCCATGGATCTTAATATAGTAGGCAGAGGGTGGGCGAGTCTTCCTGGGGTGATGATTTATATGACGAAAAGTTCTTATCGTGTAAAGTTCTGTAAAGTTCTATACCATTGTAGATAAATATAGATTAGAACTTTCTAAACAAACAAAGCACAGACCTAAAAGGTCGCCGTTGTGTGGAACCGCTAACCACTACGACCAATAAGCCCACATATGTCGATCTCGGTGGATTTTCCACCTACACCTACCGAATCGTAAACCAATTCAACCAACATCCAATTCGCCCTTTACAAACGAATCCTCCGTTCTCGACCGACGACGACCCCTTGCCCACCACCTACGTCAGACCCTCGTGCGAGGGAGAAGAAACACAAACCCGACAAGGGGGAAAATGGCATATTCCTCACTCGTCTCCTCGCTGCGGGCCCTGTCCCTGCGCATGACGACAACCCGAATCCTACCGCGCCAGACCGTCCGATGCCTCTCCCAGAGCGTGCTGGCTCCCAAGACGGCACTCAGACCCACGACGATGACGATGGCAGTGGCAGGGGCGGACACTGGGGCTATGGCGAACAACACGGCTGCGATGACGAAGGTGGTGGTTGCGCGGCAGCAGACGCGGGGCATGAAGGTGCATAGTTCGGTCAAGAGGCGGTGCGAGCATTGCAAGGTCAGTTTTGTCTCTCTTCTCTGTGTGGTTTGTCTGTCTGTCTGCCTGCCTTCCTGGTTTCTATGAGGGGAAGGGAAACGGGTAGGCAGGGGTAGGGGTGTCTGCGGCTCTGGGTAGTCATGGTCTACAAGGAATAACTGTCTAGACGGATGGCATTATTGATGGAGGCTGGACAGGAGTGGAGGTCGACACGAAAGACTGTGGTGGATGCTACGACATTGTGGGAGTCAGTGATGCTAATGCGGACTGTGGTGATATAGGTCGTGCGACGAAAGGCGGGCAGACGACACCGCGGCTACCTCTACATCATCTGCAGTGCGAACCCGAGACATAAGCAGCGCCAGGGATGATGGATGGACGAGTTGATGGTCGGGGGGATGCTACGGGGCCTCTTCGTCGACGCTGGGAGGTTGCGAAGTGTACAACATGTATAGATGGACGGACTGGAGGGGCATCAATACCTTACGGTCAAGGATCGTACTCTAGACTATGAGCCTAGCGGCCTGTGTTCCGACTGTCTTAATGTGCTGTATTATGTCTGGACAGGGGCGCCGTATACTACAAAGCTATACATACAACTGCGGTTGCTGGCGGGCTGCACAACAAACAGCAGACTTCACTCCCATATACTAATACTTGCTCTGTTCTGTTTTCAGTAGTTTGCATTCTCCAGTGAACGGAGAGTCCACTGTCGGTCTTCCTTCCATTCTCCCATCTTCGACTGTCACTAGCTCCCAAGTAGTAAGTAGCCCGGGACTCCAAGCTACCACCTATACATGCCACGTAGACGTACCCCGAGGCGCTCACAACCCGTCGATATACCTCTCCATGCCCTCCCACTCCGTCTTGCCCGTCGACAGCAGGTAGCGTATTTGGCCCAGGTCGGTGACGCCGCGGTGGCGCTCGAACTCGGCGCGCGCGAAGCTGCGCGTATCGGCGCGGTTCGTCGGGTCGGCGATGCGCCGCGTGCCGCGCAGGACGGTGCGGTAGAGCGAGAGGGCGCGGGAGCGCTGGAGGAACTGCGCGCGGTGGGTTATTCTAGGTTAGCCATGCTTGCTTGTGATTGTAGATATGGGAGGGAGAGTCGGCGTTGGCACAACGAACATGATCCAGGCTCAGGGTTGCGCGGCCCAGCCGGCTCTTGTTGGGCGGGCTTGCGGTGGCGGCATAGCTTCGGGATGCGGCGACGGCGGGGCGCAGCTTGGCTGTTGTTATCTGGACGGAGCGCATGTGGCCGTGTGTTCTATAGTCGACACATTGGAGTCTGAGGTATGTGTCTCTTTAGACCGAGCCCGAGGGAATGGAGTTGGTAGAGTGCCATGAAATAATAATAATTTCGGCGGGGACATTCTCGTAGTGGACCTCGCAGCCCACGCCATCTTCGACTTACATACATACAACAACCTATAGGTGCAGCATTATCAGCCCGATACGACTCTTCTTCACACCTACGGAGCTCCTATTCGAAACCTACCTCGATAACCATCATCGGTTTTAGTACTGTGGGAAAAGATGAATTCCACTAAAGAAACCGCCAAGCGGAGACGCGCTCCCACAGGGCCGATCGAACAGGCAAACCGGAAAAGCGACGATATATTTATTAAGGAACACTTGCGTCCCAGGTAAGACGATGCGAGCTCTTATCTGGTATCATACTATGTGTGTACCTGCGCAGACCAGAAGAGAGCAGCACATGCTAAGATCTCATTAAGCAGCGAACAAAGCTGGACCGAGTGGACAAACCCAAAGACGCAGGCCATTTTCTCGTTGAGTCTGGTCCGGGCAGGGAACCTGAGCCAGGAAGATCTGAAAGCGTGCTTCGACCTCATCGAAGAGACGAGTCGCGCCGACTACGAACCCTCGTCCTTCGGCTGGAAGCCGAGCAAGAAGCTGGCCGAGATGAAGTCGCCTGATCTGCGGTACATCCTCGTGAAGGATGTCGAGGGCGGCGGCATTCGCGGATTCACTTCGCTCATGCCGACGTTTGAGGAGGGCGAGCCGGTCGTCTACTGCTACGAGATTCATCTCAAGCCGGAGCTACAGGGGTGAGTCAGCCTCACTTCTACTATTTCGCAAAGAGAATAAGGATCGACTGACCATAGATGATGATAGGACGGGTCTCGGAAAACTCCTGATGAGCTTTCAGGAGAGAGTCGCCGCCAACACGCCGCCTATCAAGAAAGTCATGCTGACCTGCTTCGTGAGCAACAACCAGGCTCTTGGGTTCTACAGAAAATTCGGCTTCGAGACGGACCGTATCTCGCCTGAGCCACGCAAACTCAGGTTTGGGAAGCTGTTCGTGCCTGATTATGTTATCATGAGCAAGGTCGTAGAGACCAGTCGACTTCCGGGCACCAGCCCCTGAGTACCCCTACTGCACTCAAGTCGGATGAGAAGTTGATCTGCCTACAAGGTACTTAGGTAGGTAGTCACCCAGCATTCGACTTCTCAATGTCGCCTTCTGCTTGCGGTAGCACCTACCTCTGCAACCTCAACTGGTTTACCTGGGCTTGAAGCTTGGTTGTGCTTATCCTGTGTTGCTGTTTCCCCATTCTCATCATGTAATGAAGTTGGCAGGAGCTCATATGTCGAAAGTCCACCAACACGTTGAACACGCCACTCTCTGGCTTCGAAAACATCAACGACCACCACTGGGAAGCATCCGTACTATCAGCCGTCAAGTCTTTCATTCAATCATACTATCATCGCGTCCAACTTCATTCATTCTCAGCTCAGCAGCTCCAATTTGTACTCGCACTGTCAGTCATTTTGACAGAAGCTTCCTCGACGGCACCAGTACATACAGCAACCGCAACTCCTAGCCTTCGTTCTATCCAAGATGGCACGGCTGGACTCCGCGCTCAGACGCCTGACCAGCGAGAAGCCCACACCAGCCCAGCAGCCCGAAACCCAACTTACGGACGGAACGGGGAACGGTTGGAAAGCCGGGTTGTGTCATTGCACGCCCTGCAGCAGTTGTATGCTGGGCACATGCTTGCCATGCCTCCGTACGTTGCGTCTACCATAAGACGTGTTATGATGTCTGGATGTCTGATACGCGAGAAACAGTCTCTGGACAGACGGCGAGCCGCCTGGAAGACCCTACAGCTCCGGTGTCAGACATGGTCAACATGGACTGTGCGATGCATGGCGCACTCCAGTGTTGTTTTTGCTTGGGTTGGGTGTATGCCCCCTCTCCATTCCCTCCCTTAAGCATATCACATGCTTCTTGCTAAAGCTGCATAGCTGGGTCCTGGTAAAGCGTCAAGACATCCGAGAGCGATTCGACATCCCCGGTAACGGGTGCAAGGACTGCTGTACCGCCTACTGGTGTCCTGTATGTACATTCGAGCTTCGCCCCCAACTCCCAAACCCGATTCGCTCCAGGCCCAAAGATATCTTGGAACCTCTGCCACAATTTCCCTTCCCATTCTGCACCTCCGCTCACACCAGACCTGTCGAGAGTACGTGACTAATACTTTGAACACTTCTCAGTGCTGCGCCGTCATTCAGCATGACAACGAGGTAAAGCTGCGCCAGACAAAGCCGACTACTGGTCTCGTCACCCAACAGCCGGAGTCGCAGGAGAGAATGGCTACCTTGCTTCTATCACAGTCTCAGGTGCCAGCCCAGCAGCGGAACCTATGATGTCCTCCCTCTTTCTTGCTTGCGACACGGTACCTCTCCAGGGTACATGCGGCGTACGGTTGCTGTTGGCACACCCTCACCAGGAGAGGCCTTTCGCACCCAGGTTACGGGTTGGCGAATTCCTGACACTTCGCTCGGTTCGAGCAGTCAGAACATGGGTCCGGAATGACTGAGCTCAAGGGAGTCTGCGGCAGGGTTTGGACTGTAATCCTAATACTCGGTATACCTTTAATGGTCAGTGGTTACTCTCGTCATCCACTTGCGATCCGAATGTGCTGAATTGCCATTTACCTGGCAGAACTTGGGATTGCCGAGAAGTATCCGTTGACTTGAGAGAGATCTCATGTCAGAAGAAGCTATACATCTTACCATCTTCACTAGGTTGCGGTCGTCTCGCGCGGGCCATTGCAAGAGGAAAAGGAGAACTCTTTCCGCGCATTGAGACGCGGAACCAATACTTGACCTTCTAGGGTTGGAATTTACCTCGGCTGACTTGGCGTTCTTCACGGGCAAGAGATACTCTCCACATGATCGAGCATCGAATGTCGCCCGAATGCGAATGCGCGAGGTTGGTTGGTTGGTCACTCTTAGTCTCTTACCGTCCTAGCGTAGGATCAGCCGGGAAGGAATCTGTCAGATACAAGGTTGGGGATTTTATGCAGAGAAGCCCGGTGCGAAGTCCGCAAAGTCAACCCCACACTGCTATCAGATTTGCATCATCATGACCGATCGAGAGCCGCAAAGATCGTAAGGGGATGGAGGTAATTGGCCAATTGGCAACGCACCGGTCGCGCGAAAGTAAGTCTAATCGGCCACCTTACTTTTACTAGACAACCACCCGCTAAACACCATTCGGACAGCATCCCAGATTACAGCGCTCAACCCACTGTAGCCACAGCGCTTAGCTACTGTAACACAACGCGCAGCTCAACACCACAACGATCACCACCATCACCACCACCACGGCGCACACAAAGATACATTCACAGATAGGGGGGTCGCACCGCCCTCCAAACCCCCAGCTAACCCTAACCACTAACCCTAGCCCTAACCCGTCGCTACGATAAAAAACCGCTGCGAAATTCTATTCTAAACAGCAAAACCATAAGAAGTACTTCTAGTTAGGTAAGAAACGTATGCAAATGAAAGTACTTTCGATGCTAGGTAAGATGGTAAGAAAACGACATAGCCTGGAATATGCAGCCAATTAAAGGTGGGATGCTGTCCGAATGGGGCTTAGCGGGTGGCTGTCTAGCAAAAGCAAGGTGGCCGACTAGACTTACTCGTCGCGCGACCGTCGCCAATACCAAACACTAGCATCCAGGAAAATCTACGGGTCGGCTAGACAGGGATGTCCCAACGTCCTCGGGCGCGAATCCTACACACCATGAATCCTCGTCAACCCGCCTCTCCCGCCTCCCAGCCTGCCCGTCCGTCCTAGCCATGCCAGCCTCCCCGGAAAGGTCGCAGGAGAGGCAGGCCATCATGTCGCAGCTATGTCGTCATGGCGTTTTGCTTAAGTACGGCTAAAGGTGAGGTGTAAAATCCCCTTCACACCCCTCGACTCGTGCTTCTTCGTGTTCCTGAGTTGTGGTTTGCCTTTTCGCTCGCTCTCCCGCTCGTCTTAGTTCCCGCTCGTTGCCGTCGATCAAAGTGTAGTACCTGAAATCTTGTTGTACCGCCCGACAGCGAGATATCCTCGGCCGAACATATCAGCTTCAGGAACATACAGTCACACTCACTGCATACTGTCGCACTACATCAGCAATGGCACCTATCGTATCGACGTCGGCCCTGAGCGGCCTCATCACCCCCCTCCTGCCACGGGCGGAACCAACAGCATCAACAACACCCACGCGGACCATCCCGCAAGCACTATCCCGGATCATATCCGCCCGCCAAGCCGCCACCACGACCGTCGTATCAAACGACGGCAACGGCGGCGATGGCGCGAGCACGCTCACGGGCGGCGCCATCGCCGGCATCGTCATCGGGTCCATCGCCGGCTTCCTGCTGCTCCTCTGGCTGATCCGGTCGTGCCTCAACCTGAAGCAGCCCGGGATCTGGGGCTCGACGTTCGGCGCCGACCGGGACGAGAAGGTGCCGCCGCCGCGGAATCAGGCCTACTATGCGCAGAGCACCCACGGCAACCGCCACCGCAGTCGCAGCCATGGTGGACATGGGCATCGCTCGCGCTCGCGCCATAGCCCCAGACGCACTACTGAGGTCGTGAGCGTCACGCGGCCGGTTTACGTCGAGCAGCGGGGACGCAGCCCCCGCGCGCCGCAGAATGTTTATGTTGCAAGGGGGTCCATGGATGGGAGGGATTTGCGCCGGGCTAGCGATAGTCGGCGGTACCGGAATTATTGAGTTTTTGAGTGAGGGGACGGGCTCGGTAGAGGGTCTCGCTACCTAGGAAGGGAATGTTCGCGGCGAGTACGAGGGCGGTGATGGTGATGGTGATGGTGATGGTGATGGTGATGGTGATGGTGATGGTGATGGTGATGGTGATGGTGATGGTGATGGTGATGGTGATGGTGATGGTGATGGTGGTCACGAGGGAATGGCCTGACGAATTTCATGATTGACGATAGGAGCGTCTCTCCTTAGTATATATATGACACCCGACAAAGGGCAACTGGGCGTTACTACGCATCGCATATATGCGGTTGGGCGGTTTGAATATCTGGTTGGGTTAGGTTTGCCGGTGCTAATTTCGTATATATTTCAGAGCTTTGGAGCGAATCTCATACACCATGAACGCCAATTCTCTTGTGTCACACTGGAATGACTGGCATCACGGTCGTTTGTAGGCGACTCACGGCCATAATTCACTGGACCTATAGAAATGACGAGTGCGAGTGTATATAATGTCGTCGTCAGAAACAATATACTGAGCAATCGCACCAGATCTATTCAAAACTATTCTGTTCACTCGGATTCAGCTTGAACGGCCAATCCCCATGATGCTTGCTCTCAGAGCCTCGATCTCTTCCACCATCGGTGAGTCCTGCTGTGGTGTTCAATGGAAGATCCGTACACTGACAGTACTTGCGCTGGGTCGTGTGACTACATCCTAGATAACTATCTGTATCGTCCTGTTTGCCTACTTGTCCAAGAAATCTCTTTTGGAGGAACTTAGCCACAACGATATCATGGCGAGCCAATTGCGAGCTGAACGAGAAGAGCAGCGGAGAAGGGCGATGGCCTGATCAGTGGCGTGTGCGGCATACACATGATCGCCGTTTGGCGAGCTGAGCGGGCTGAGCAGTAGAGAAGGGTGATGGCCTGATCAGTAGCAAACGCCGGCGTACAACTCTCTGCCGTGGTAGCTCGTCTTCGAAGCTGCGTCTGCAGATCACTCGAAATAATGCGGCTAGCGTGGCGTGAGTTAAAGGAGATCAGCGTTCAAGAGAGTGGCTTTGTCGATGCGAGATAGCCTCCCAGTCAAGCTCCAATTCACAAGCTTATTCGCACAGGCCTGTCGTCCTGGCCGAGCGAGTGGCCATTTACGGGACCAGACCAGCTGAGACGAGAATGGTCCGCTGGTTTCTAGGTTGATCGAGCGGAGATGAAACAGATCCAGCGGTTGCTTGAGTAAGAAGAAAAGCTGTGAGCCCAATCTTCCGAAAGTGTCGTAGGAGGGAGCTTGGTCACCGCGCTCTTGATACACATCATTCATGACAGTCATCCATAACACAACCAATGCCATATCGTCCATGCGCAAATACCCCAGCAACGCGGTGCGCGCAACCTCACCATTTCCCTCCCTTGCCCTCCGCTCTCACATCACACCACACCCAAGACCCCCTCAACCTCCCCAATCTCGGCATGATCCCTCGTATTCTCCATCCTATGGCACCACCTCAGCTCCTCTTCCTCGAAGATCCATTCTCCTCCATTCTGATCGTACGCTCCGCCCTTGCCATTGACTGCTCCGGACTTGATCATATTCCACATGGAGCTCAGCGTGCCGCGCACGATTCCCGATTCCACGTACTCGGGCTTTTTGTCGCCGAGGTCCAGGTTGATGACCATCCCCAACTTCGCATAGATAGCCCGTGAAGGGTCGGTGTAGATGGGGAAGGGGCAGGAAGTCCGGGTGCGGTACTCAGGGATGACGTGGGGCTGGCCGCAGCCGATGACTGTGAGGGTGAATGATGGTGTGTGGTTCTGGGGGCTGGGGAAGGCTGTGGAGAGGGCGCGGACGTAGTCCTCGCAGTGCTGTGGAGAGGAGCATATTAGTGGGAGTTGAATTGGTGGCGAAGGGGTGGGAGGGGGAGATGTACGCCGCAGTAGAAGTGTCGTATGAAGACGATCAGATGCTTGGTCGAGCCTTTGGCCGAGGAGGTGTAGAGGGTCCTGAATGGCATCGACGTGCCAGACTCATCTTGTATCTCGAGCTCACCGGCCTCATGAATTGTCTTCTCGTCTGGGAGCTCATGGTGCTTCTTCGGGTCCTCGGCCAGGTCTTTCTTAATCTGTTCTGCCATCATTCGCTGCGCCGACATTCGTTGTGCCGTTGTGCAATCCTTCTTGTTTTCGTCCCCTAGATGTCAATGTCTCGCTCGTGTCAGATCGAACGATGAGACGAGAAGATGAAAGAGAGTTGCTACTTCATCGACTGTGATACCTTAACATTTCCGGCGCAAAGAGCTTCCGAGAATACTGATCGTCTTATCCCGTCTCGCGGTCACTCGTTAAGGCATTAATTGCCGGCTATACTAGATTACGTAAGTACTGCCAAGTGAGATCCGGTTGATATTCGGCTGCGCAGAGCTTCAGTGGCAATTAACCGGATTTAGGGACGGTGGTCGATTCCCCGGGAACAGGTACAATCAGGGGCTAGGTTCTGAGAGAGTGAACAAGAGTAAATGGCCGGCGGATCAGTTTGCCAGGTTGCCTGCTGCGTCTGTGGTCTCGTAGAATCTGCGCAGGCGCCCTTCTTATAAATAGGATTAGGGGTTCAGGGGTTCTAGGCCCAACTATGAATATGGTAGACGTAAGGTAACGGATCTGCGTCAATGAGCGGAGGGTCATAAGCCTTGAGTTTGGGGTTCGTTACAGAGATAGCCGCATGCTTCAGGCCCAATGTCCAGACCTAACACCCAAAAGCCCTTTGCCTATAGCAATTTCTCAGATGACCCAGGAAGCTGCCCCTTAGAAAGTCTGCGACGGCTTGAGCCCCTTCCCAGTCGACCGCAGCGCCTCCACCTTGGTGCCACCCGCCCGATGAGAGTTGAACTCCGCACTAAACCCGACAGTGATGAATGCGCTGCGGAGCACCTCCTCGCACTCCTTATGCTGCCACACCAGCTGCCGGAGCTGCTCCTTCGTCGTCTTCATCTCGCGCCGGACGCGTATCAGCGCCTCGACGAGCTCCTTGCGCGACTCGGCGGTCCGGTCTTGACCTTTCTCAACGGCAGCGGCAGCTGCGGTGACATCCAGGAGCTGCTGCGCTTCTTCCTGCTGTCTCTCACCTAGGTGCCCCATCTCGGATTGGACTTCAGCGATGTTGCGACGGGCTTCGACGAGGGCGCGCACTGCTAGTTCGGTATGCGGTGACAATGGGGCCGCGGGCTTGAGACGGGGTTTGAGCTCCTTCAGCTCGATACCTTCCTGGTGCGGCATATTGTGAGAAGCGTGTCGTGCTGGTGTTGAGGCCGTGGGCTTCGGACGGGATTTGAGCTCCTTCAGCTCAGTGCTTTCCTGGTGTGGCGTATTGTGAGAAGTGTGTCGTGGTGGTGGAGATAGAGGTATCTTGTTGCGAGGCGATGTTGGTCTGGATGGTGATGGTATTAATGAGTGTCGATTCCTGGGAGTCATCGTGAACTTCAAGTACTGGGGTTCTTATTAATATGAATTCCACAGATGATCGGAGATTGGTTTACTCTTGTGCAGAGGCAGAGAATGTTTTGTTGTTGGCCATGATGGTTTTTACCCCCAATTTTACTGTTTAAGCTTTCTCAGAAGCCTAGGCAAGTCCAACTTCGATATTGTACCTTGCCGTGAGACTGAAGGACCACTTAAATTGACCTCGTGGCGTATTGTACTTCTTGGTAGTCTGGACGGTGTTGTAGGGCGTCGTATCAGACATTGAGCAGAGAGGAGTAGAGATAGTCGATGCACAGCGCTCCGACGACATACCGCGAAAGACCCTTGCGGAGGGCTTGATGTTCTCGGCAGCTCGCGCGTACAAGCATCCCACGTGCGGCAGAAGCGCCGTCTCGACCAGTCTGGTCGTGAGTCGAGTCGTACAGGAAGACGCGCTTTTCGCAAGGCGGGAACCTTATTAGCCAACGCTATGGCTGCCTCGATGGCAAGCATACGGGCCGGCGCCGGCGTGTGGCTTCATCATATGGGATGCTGGCGCCGAGGCACACATTGTGGCCCATCCATCGCTTGAACTCGGCTTCCTCGAGCGGGACACGTGGTCGACTTGCCCTACATCCCAAAATTGGCCTTTAGTGACCCTGCGGCCTGAGAATAGGCAAGTCGCGGTGTTCCCTCAGCATATTTTTCGTAACGGTGGCGGCGTAGCGTGGTAGTTCGTCGACGCCTTGAGCACGCCGTCCTGAAATCCTTCGACGAAGCAGAGTCCGTTGTGCCTGGCTCCCGCTCCAGAATTTGGCTTAAAGATGCCAAAAGAGTACGCTTCGGTTTAGCTGTCATGTCTGTGCCAGAGAAAGTAAGTGAAAGCCTACACTTTGCGAATAACCACAACGCAGAATATCGCCGGAGCCGCGCTCCTCCAGCGTCAATCATACCAACCCACGTGTTCGTACTGCGGACAAGTTCGGCCCCGACCATGACATCGTTCCGATACGCCGTGCTGTCAGCACAGAATACACGGCGCCCTCAAGTTGCTCGCAGCGGCGTGACTTCTTGCCAGTAAAGACCACGCCCGCGCTGGGACCGAGCTGCTTCGCCAAGGCCTTCATCACGACGGGATGCCACTTGGTACGAGGTCCTGGCGTCACCGAGCTTCATCGACCACTTCGCCTCTGCCCTCTCATCCACGCGGTGAACGCCTCTGCTCATTACGCCATCGACCTGTCACTTGGGATCTGGGCGAGGATCCCGCAGCCGTCGGCAGAAGAAGCATACCGTCATCGACTTGTGAGTAGATGCAGAGACAAGGCTGCTGGTTCGCGACGGACTGTGTATGAGGGGACGCAAGAACAAGAGAGAAGGACCAACAAATGCGTGGGCGCGTTTCCCAAACACGTAGCACGGTGTCCCATATCGATATTGCAGTGTTGATGAGCGCACCCAGATCAGCGTCATGAGGAATGTGGTTGCCGCTGACACAGACCGTCTCCCGGGGCTATTTGTCCGGCCGAGTCAATCTCAATTTTTGAGACCGATTGGTAGCAGCGCGCAGCGGTAGGTATCCTACTTCGTGCAGCCCGGATCTGGAATAATCGAGACATGTCGATGGTGGCGATCCGGATCGACAGTATTGCTCCTCAGGTAAGGTATGAAACATCTCGGGTCGACGCTTTGATGAGCTCAAGGCTTTCTTTCATTGCCACGTGACTGCGAGTGCCTTCCGTGTTTAAGTGACCGGGAGCACAGGGTCCCGCCTTCTTGGACGCGCCGGAAGCGCGCATCCCTCCCCATTTCCACATTCACGCTCTTGATCCATCATCATTGATCATTGATTCCACTTGATGCAACGCCTTCGAATCCATCCGAGACCAGCAGCTCCTGTGTGGCAATGTGGATCTTAGAGAACGAAGGCGAGGCGTTCGACGGTAAGGTTTTCGCCTTCCTCACTGCTTACCTTGAGCGCTACTGACACAGTCCCTTCTAGGCAGACGGCTCTGGTTGCGACCGGGACAGCGATATCTCTTCGGCCGAACCTGCGCCGAACGTACGTCGCCGCCCTCCATCGACCTCATGGCATCAGACTAATGTCCTACTAGCTGGCCAACTTGCCATCAAAGGCCCAGGCGCCGACAAAGTGTCGCGGAAACATGTCACCATCCGGGTTGACGCTGTTGGAGAAGGAGATGCAGTACGAAGCCCTACAGCCACGAGCGCCGGCTGCGCAGCTAACAGGGCTGTGCTAGGAAAACATGGGAAGCCGGTCGCAAGTCACCGTGGAGGATCTCGGGTCTAAGGGAGGCACCAAGGTGAACGACCATAAGTACAAGGGCGAATCATGCGTGCTATCTGAAGTCTCCAACACCCTTCAGATGGGTTCGTACCCAAAGAAGTTTCGGTCCGTTTTCCCGTCTCTTCCACCCCCTTGATCCACATGCGATTAGCCAGGTCTGACTACCAATCTAGCATCACTTGGTTCCCTGTGGTTTTGAGCTTTTCTTACACCAGGAATCAACTCCGTGGCAATCCATTGGCCAGATTGCGCCAAAGCCTCGAGCAGCTTGACGTCAAGTTGCTTGCCGAATACGACGTCCAGTTGACCACGCATGTTGTCTCTAAGAAGCGAAATACCTCGAAAGGATTGCAGGCCCTGATCAATGGAAGACACATCGTTAATGACGGATTTGTCGACGCTATAGTCACGGCTGCAACACCCCAAGAACTCAGCGATGGAGTCACAACCAGCCCGCTGGAGGATGACTTCGATGCCAACTGGCCGGAAGCATTACAATTTCTCCCTCCACCGGGTGAAGAGCTTGTTCCACGACCACCCGAAGCCTTTGCACCGAATCCCGCACGCGCCGAGCTCTTTGATGGATACACCTTCATTTTCTATGAAAAGAAACAATACGAAAGTCTGTTAGGACCCATAACGAACGGTAGAGGCAAAGCTCTTTTTGAAGAAGCTGTCGCCGAAGAGACACAGATCGATGACTTTGTTCGATACGTGAAAGGGGTCGCGGGCGAAAAGGGCCTGGGGGAGTTCGAGGATGGTAGTGAGGGCAAAGGAGTCGTAGTAGTCAAGTGGATGCCCTCTTCACCCGAGCATGCGGATTGGTTTGCCGAGTTTTTCAGATCCATTTCGTTGCGTCTGGACCACCGGCTCATCGACCAGAAGGAGTTCCTCGACGCAATACTCAACAGTGACGCGAGTGGTCTGAGGCGGCCGCTTGAGTTCGAGACACAGCCACCCTCCTCCCCAACGGAGCCGCGGCCATCGGCAGAACAACAGGCAATGGACTTGGATGAGGCCGAGCCAGCAGCCCAAGCGCCGGCACCAGCATCAGCTCCAGCTCGTCGCAAGCGCAGAAGAGAACCTGTCAAGAGTCGTTTCAGAGGATTTGGCGCTTCAATGGTTGATAGCGACAGTGATGACGATGTCCAAGCTAGCGCTCCGGCCCCTGCAGCTGCCACGCAACCCGCACCGATCGCCGAGTCATCTCAAGAAGGCCTCTTTGTCACACAGGAAGTCGCGGAGGAAGAGGTTGAGGAGCCAGCTCCCGCTGGTGGTCGGTCGCAAAGAAAACGGCCGGCTCCACCCCCTGAGCCGGAAAGTGTGATGGACGATTTTGCGCCTACAGCTGCGCAAGTCAAGCGTCGTCGTCAGCTGCAGGCGCAAGTCAAGCGTCGTCGTATAGCAGCCGGCGCGGAGTTTGTGCCTCGACGAAAGACACCACCCACAACCACATCTGCAAATACTCAGAACATCAAGGCAAAGCCGGTGAAAGCGCGGAAGGAGATTGATATCCTGGACCAAGCACGTCAGCACCGAGAGCAAGCAGAAAAGCGCGCACGGGAAGAGCGAGAAAATCTGGAGGCTGAACCGGGCGACCTCGACTTGGCCCAGATCAGGCGTCTGCAGATCGTGGAGTCGATAGAGCTGCGCCCGGCGCCGCCGACGAGGACCCGTGAGCAGGACATAGAGGACGGGCGGTGGGATCCGTCGTGGAATGGGCGCAAGAACTTCAAGAAGTTCCGGCTGCGCGGCGCCGTGCAGGGACGAGCCCCGGAGAAGATCATCGTCGAGCTCGAGCCGGTCAGGTCGAAGGGCTTTGGCATCGGCGGCGGTTACTGGCTCGAAGACGGCAGCACCAGCCAGCAGCAGCAGAAGAAGCCGAGCCAGACCCAGACCCAGAGTCAGGGCACCAATGGCCACGCAGCGAAGGAGTCCTCATCGAATAAGAAGCAGAGCCAGAGACGTATCGAAGGCCTCCCGCCGGTGGACAGTAGCGATGAGGCTGGCGGTATGGTGGACGAAGACGAAGACGATGACGATGTCATCATCGCCTCGGCTTCACGGTCGCGGACAAGCAGGGCATCGGCGAATACGACGCAGTCGCAACTGCAGTCTGGACGAACGAGCACGAGCACGTCCACGTCGCAAAAGACGCAGCCGCCATCGAGAACAGTGAAGCGCGCCGCAGCCGCGCCGCCCGCGCGGGAGCAGCCCGCGAAGAGGTCCAGAGTCGTCTCACTCGCCGCTAGTGACGACGACAGCGACGATGGGCTGACTTTCCGGTTTGGTAAGCGTTGATTACATGTCTAGCATCGAATGATACCCGAAAGATATGTGAGGTAGCTAGCTTCCTTGGCTTAGACTTGGTTTGGGTCTGTCTGACTGTCTGTACTCGATGGGGGGTATCTCTCTATCATATCTCTCTCGCGCTTTCAGGTTGCTCGGCGTAGCGTATGCCGGGAAAGGGAAACATGACGGGCTTAAATATGAATAATGATGAGCCGCCAACTTGTCCGTTTAGAGTGATCTTCTGTGACTGACTGCCTGAAAACATCTCTTGCAGTGGTGAAAATGCCCACAAGAACCGACCCGACGCTATGCAATGAACCATCCATCCATCCATCCATCCATCTAATGTCCAGTATTCTACATCCCCATGCTCAGCCCGTCTAGTCCGACGCAAGCACGCTGCGCGCCGTGGCTCTACCAGCCGCATGCTCGCTCGCAGCAAGTCTATCCATCTTCAAACCCAGACAACGCCTCTCAACCCACCCCTACTGGCCCACAATCATGGCCAGACAACCATTGTCGCTCCTCACGGCGTAGCGTGATTCTTGGCCCATTCCTTGGTCGTTGCAATAGCCTTGTTCTCGTCCTCCTTCCAGCTCTTAGCTTAGCGACATCAGCTGCCAGCGGGTCGTCAGGGTTCGGCGCGCCGTTCAATCCATGGCATCCATCTCCCCGCCGCCCTCGGCCTCGCCCTCGTCGACCAGCAGCCCGATCAGGCAACTGCTCAGCATGGTCTCGTAGTTGACCCACGGGTGGATCTCGCCAAACAGCCTCGTGCCGTCGCGCCCCGCGGCGCGCAGCAGCTCCGGCTCGCCGCCCGGGTGGAAGGGCAGGTACGGCGTCATGTTGTAGACGCGGCCGCCCAGCGCCGTCCACGCGTCCTTGCCCTTGCGGCCCGTCTGCCGCCGCAGCATGCTCGGCGTCACGCGCACGTACGGCGCCCCCGGGCCCAGGCCCCGCAGGTCCGACGCCGGGTGGTTCGCCAGGCGCGCCCAGTCGAGCGGCGAGTGGCCCGGCTCCAGGGTCACTTTGCGCGATGGCTTGCTGGGCTTGCTGCTGTGGGTTGGCGGGGGCGCGAGGGTGGAAGTGCCGGGCTGGCGCGCGTGCTGCTGGCCGCCCCGGTTTGGGGGCGCGAGGAGAGAGGAGGTGCTGTTGATGGTCCCGTTGAGGGTCGGCGGGCGTGGGGGAGGGGCCATGCTGGTTGTGAATGGCTTGGCGGGTGAGGATGGCGCGGCGGAGATGGTGGGGAGCGTGGTGGGTGTTGTGGTTGAGTCGGATGTGCGCGCGAGGGCGGCGGCTGACGCGGGTGGGGAGGAGGAGAGCGAGAACGAGGGTATGCTGCTGCTTGATTGCGCTGTGGACGGGACAGCTTTGGGTGTTGTCTCTGGTGATGGCGACGCCGGCTTCGCCGCAGCGCTGCCGTTCGGTCTGCGGATCACGGGCGGAGGAGGCGGCATTGCCATGCGAGCTGCTTCCGCGCCCTTTGCTGTAGCTGTAGTCGGCTCCGACGGCGCATCCCGACTCGTATTATCCGTGCTTGCTGAACCATGATCCGTTCCTGTATGTGAGCGTGAACCCGAAGGGAGCGAACGGGTTGTGGGCGGCTGCTCTATGCGAGGGTCGCCGCGCCAGAAGGCTATCAGGGTTTGGAGGAACGGCGGTCTTCGGATGGCGATGTAGACGACTGAGGCCAGAACGAGCGACAGGCCTATGAGAGCCATGATATCGGCGGTAGGGTGAGATGGGTGTCGTCACTGTCGTGTGATGAGGATTCCCCTTGTACAGTTCAGTATCGGATCGGACGTTGATGAAAATAGAACACGGCCCACATGCGATGTGCTGTTTTCGGGATGGGTGGTGTTGACTCGAAAATACGATATCGGGCCTCGCCGGCTGGACAACAAGGTACCCACTGACTAGGTAGGTAGAGTGGGTGGGACTTGACAGGGCTGTGGCACCCCTGAGTTCGCCTGGCAGGTGCGCTGACTCCCGAGCCCAGGGCATGAGTTGGAGAAGCTGACAGCCCGCTGCGGCTGCTGGATCAATCGGGCCATGAATCTTCCCTATAATTGCGCCGCTAAACCGCAGGGACGGGCGCTGTCAAATGACGCGAGCGGGCGGCTGTCCAGCTGCAACAAGCAGGGTCTTTAGTCTTTCTCGCGCCACGACTGTGGGGAGTGGCACTGTGCACCTGCCAACGCATGAATAAAATAATCTCGTGGCAGAGGGAACACGATGATCGCATGCATATGTGCTGTACCTATGAAGTCGGATCTGGGGTCTGCAGCGTTTGTTTACTTTTAGGTATGAGAAACATTGTCTTGTATTGCTCCCAGACTCCAACGACATATCCGAACATCGACACTTCTCTCCAAGGCACCTCATGAAACGATAACCTGCAAATGAAGGCCTTGTTGTTGTTCTGCTACCGGCGGAGGAAAAGGAGGCACTCACTCGCTCACTAACATTTAAAGTTACAGGGGACCGACCGCCACCATCGGCGCCTGCAGTGGTGTCGCCCCGCGGACAACAGCACCCGGACTGAAACTGAGCACCTGGGCACCTGAGCACTATGGGCTTGGTCCACCTCGGCCAGCTCGAGGCATCTTCACCTGCAGCCTCCAAACTCCAACAAAATGTCTCGCAACAAAACAAATCCCACACAACACCACAGACGCGATCGCTAAACCACCGAGCCTCGTCACTCTTGTCGACAACCGCGGCCAAGCCGGCACTGAGACGACCGCCCTCTTCCGCATCGCTCGCCTCGTCAAATGGGAATGGGAATGGGAGTGGTAATAGAGGGACCAGAGCAGCAACAACAATAGCCAGACCGGTTGCTAAGACAGCCAAGATTACAGCAACCACCGCAGCCACTAGCCCTACTGCCAGAATCACGCCCACGATCCCTTCGACGGCAGCCATCATTAGCAGGACGGCGCCGCCAACGCGCACACCGCTCAGACTGCGAGATCACAATGCTGCCCCTGCCCCGGTGACGAGGTCATTGTTGAAGCAGACAGGAAACATGCCCCACGAACCACCGGCGAATACCCACGGGAATGGCAAGCGACCTCAGATGCCTTTGCTCAGCGCCGCCGCCGCAAGGGGCACGAACCGGACACCGGTAACCCCAAAGATGCCAAAGATCGCTGCCTCCAAAGCGCCACAGACACCCACCATAGCAACCACTACCCCTCTAAACAGACGAACCCAGCAACAACACCAACAACGCCCTACCATAGCCAACTTGAACCGAGATTCGACATCATCCCACCGCACGAGTCACCACGAGGAACCGGTCCCCGTGCTGGCACCTCACCTAATCAGTAATATCACGCCTCGCTCTGGCTCAAGACAGAACCGCGTCGACAGCGCGAGCAGTACCCCTAATGGCACACCAATTCCCGAACGCTCAGAAGAATGGGATCCCAAGTCCAGCTTTGGCGGCATTCCGAGCCCGAGCCCGCAATTCGAAGCCGACAGTACGAGAAGGCCAACCTTGAACTTCAACCCGATCAATCTCGACATTAATGGTCATGGGAGGCAAGAAGCCCAGCCCACGACCGAATCCAAGTTCTTCCATGCCAGCGATGTCAAGAACACCCGGCCAACAAGCGTCGTCGCCAGACCAGCACTGCCACCAAAAGGGTCGAGTTTCTTCTATGCCAACGGAAATAACATTGAAAACAAACTAGCCGGTCCAGCCCCGTTTGTGCCAGTGCTTGCCCACACGCATGACAATGTTCCCAGCAAGTTCATGTACGCCAATGGTGCTCCCGAGTTGCGGACCAGTCCCCCACCTCTGATTTCACGAGGTTCGGGCTCCGTCGTATCAACAGCCTCGAAAGCGCCGACCAGTCGTCCCGGCACGAACCCTCCCGCGTCCGGGCACGCTTTTGCTCCGAGACCTGGGTCACCGATCAAGCTTGCCTCACAGCCACAATTAGCTTCGTTGAAGCATCACAATGTCCCTCTGGGCGCCGGGAACCGCTCCCAGATGGTATCCCCACCACAATTGGGGCCATCGCCGCCTGGGCTGACCCTCCGCCGATCCAGCACTGCCACCTCCCGATCTGGCGGTCATTCTCGCTCGGGCAGTATGGTTAGTGGCGATCATGCATTAGGAATCACCAAACCATTGGCATCCCCTCTCTCAGAGTTGGGCCCTCCTCTCAACGTCTCTGCTAGGCCCGCACCCTTGACGCTTGCTTCAATAATACAAGCAGCAGAGGAGTTCGAGGAGATCGAGGAGGTTACGTCCCCAGACGAGGCTCGGTCAGGATTGCAAAGTCCGACTAAGTCCTCTCACTCAACAGCAGATCCCATTAGTGAACTGGTTGCGAATGCTCGACGGGAACGGAAGGTCCAAGACCTACAAATCACCAACGCCTCTCTTGAGGCCATCAACCGAACACTCGAGCGTCAGCTCCGGAAACAGACAGCAGAGCTTCGAAGATACCAGCGTCTATCACGATCTGGCCGGTTATCAATCGCTTCTACGACAAAGTCCAGTCGTGTGCCATCGGAGACACTGTCAGAGCACCAGGCGACGGGCCTTGACCTGTCAGATCTCAGTGAAGAGGGATCGGATATGGAAGATGAACTTGATGAAGAGTCGTTTTCGGATTCTGACTCGATGACTTCGTCATTGAGCCCTAGTGTCATTGCGGAGCGTGACGCTAAACATCGCAAAAAGGATGAGAAACGATTGCAATTGGACCTCTCGAAACATCAAGAACTTCTTATAGACTCGCAGAAGATCAACCAGAGTATTAAGAGATGTCTTGATTGGACTGAAGAGCTCATCAACGACGGCAAAAAGGCGCTCGCTTATAAGGTCCGTGTCAGTGACATAGAGCTGGGCGGGAGGGTGCTAGATCCATTGGACGAAGAAGATGAAACTACGCAAACCCTCAATGATCCTCATGACGACGACACGATCAGGCTTGGCACCAACATTTCGGAGGACCCTGAGAGGGTGGCGACCTGGGGCGAGGAACCACAGGATAGGGATAGCGGTGTAGAGCTGCCTGCCGACAAAACATAATCTCCACATACATCATCACGTCTCGCATAGCATATTTCCTTACATTTGGGTACGACTCGGACCAGCATCTAGGAACAACGACGGCAGCAACGGCGTTAATACCAGGGCGGGAACATTGAGTGGGCAACCAGCCTCGCCAGACTTCATTTCACTTGGACTTTACTTCTCTTCTTTGTCAATACTGTAACACCAACGGATACCCCAGGCCTTTCATTTTATCTTGGATTCGGGTCGGCAAGACCATCTCCACACTCACTCACACAACCACCAATTTTTCTACTTGAGTCTCATAATGATACCCCGATTCCGGCCGACAGTGAGCCGGGATTATCTGAGTATGGAGGGGGCTCTACCGGCCAGTCGGGAGCTTGGAGCTGATCCACAGCCACATTTCGGAGAGGTGTATATAATGTATATGCGGATTGGTAGAGAGATGGGCGGGCGGATGGACTAGACCTCATGTGTGCTACATGAGCCAGACCAAAGCATGCTGGCCGGATGAACAGCATCCCTGGCGAACGAGACTCGACGTAGCTCTCAGAAACAAATGACAACAAATGTTCACTCAATAACAGTGACTGTTCCACTGTGTCATGGTCCATGTATATCTCGATATATTGCGGAGTGTACCAGCCAGGTAGGTAGGTGTGTTTGCCCGTGTAGGTACAGGCATTTTCGGCCATGACACTGAGACTATACGGAACCATTGTCGTCAAGCCGCAATTCTATAGCTTCCATTGACGCCAATTGTTTATTCTCCATGAAACTCTCCACGTGGAAACCCGGCTCTGGAGCGTTTGGGTTGAGCGGTGGGTTTTGCTCTCGGGGTGGGCTTCTCTGTTACAGTACCCGCTCTGCGATTAGGGGGAGTAGGGAGAGTAGATCGGACCTGGGTAGGTATGCTTTGAAGTGACGAGGTTTGCCCTGGTTGTTGGTCGTACGGCTGGTACTGGTGGTACTGGCAGCGATGGTCAGGTACTGGGTAGCTTCTTGCAGTGAATATGAAGATACTCATAGCTCTGAGCCAACTGGTCTGAATAATATTTCCATACATCTATTCCAACTGGTCCCATGCAACATGGATGGTCGGTCGGTCGGCTAGGTCCATAGAATCATCTGACTAAAGTAGATAGGTTAGGTAAGGTATCCTTGCAGCCGGTATCAGCGTATCACTCGTCCTATTCCAAACCGGGTGGTACACAGCTAAAGTAGGTACTTGAAGAACTTGTAGTCCTTGCGATTGTAGGAGTAGGCGGGGCAACCTCTATGAGTCAGGTGCTTGTATGCCGGATCAGCTGACTGGTCTTGGAACTTCTTGAAAGGGGGCATAGACTAGAGGGTGTATACAAGCCTTGACGATGATGTGAAAAGTCGATGTAAAGCATGCCAGGTATCATTCATCATCTGCTTCTACCCCTGACCAGTCAGCCCACATATGCGTTGGTCAATTAAGAACAGATCAGTAACACCCGCAACAGATCCATAAGTCACAAAAACTCTATAAACACTGGTACCAACTGGCGGGGGGGATATTCTATAACATTTCTGGGGAGGTGATTTGCATGAAGCTTGATATATCAAAAGCCTGTCTGCCTGTCTTCCTCTAACCCTGAAGTGGGGATATGCTCCAAACTTATCCGTCTATGACCCTGCTCACCATGAGAGACATTCGAGGATGGTGGACGAAACCCAATGTGCCTCGGATACTCAGGTGACTGAACCCAGATTAGATGTTCAGTCGGTCATCCAATATCGTGCTCACCGTTGAAAGGAGGGCCTTTACCAGAACCGTCTCACCTTCACAATCTGTGCCGAGCCCGGTCGTGACTTCTGGGGGAGACGAAAGACTTAGAAAGCACCTTGCGGTTGTCGGGTGAATAGGAGGCCATAGGGCCCTCACACCACAGTCGACTACGCCTTTTCCTTGGAAGCACTGGCTGCATCGGTAGTGGACGGTTCACTGGCATCTTTCTTGTGGTGGTGGTGGTGTTCCTTATCCTTGCCCTTCTTCTTGGTGTCCTTGTCCTTTTTCATGGCTGCTTCAGCAACGAGTTGCTCGAAAGCCATGTAGTCACCTTCCTCCTCTGGTGATCTCTGGGCCTGGTGGTATTGTTAGTCTTGCATTCACGGCTTTCCATACCGACCAAGGACAGGTGTGCGGAAGACTTACTTTCTGCAGAATATCGGCGAGAAGTACAAGGGCTTCGGCACGCTCGATGCGCTTGTTCAAGTGCACCTTCTTGTCGTACAGTACGGCGTCACAGACTTCACGCAAGACGCCCTGGATTTCGTACTTGCTGCCACGCCACGCAGCATTCAGAATCTTGCCCGTGACTTTGCGCTCGTACTCCATTTTCCGCTCGTCGGTCCAGTTCTCGCCGCCGGCCTCCTCCATGCGAGCCATTTCCTCCATGGTCTGCTGGGCGTCGATGGCGGACGAGATGGTGTTCCAGGTCTCCTTGAAGAAGGTTCCCTTGTCCTTGACCCGGCTGAAGAATCCGCTGATCCCGAGGAACTTCTGAGACTTAAGCAGAGCCGTTGCCTTGGACATGTACACGGCGCCAATAGCGTGCAGAATGTCTAGGCCGAAGCTCTCTATCTTCAGGTTCTCAACTTCGAGGGCCGTCTTCTGCTGGAATGCTTTGGTGACGTCTGCTCCCTTGTCCGTCTCGGTCCACACCGATATGCGATCGATAAGCTTGCGGGCCAGAGTATCAACACGTTCTTGACGCACTTTGGCACGTTCAGCTTCGTATGCGGCAAGTTTCTCTCTCTGCTCCTTGCTCAGGCCTCCCTTCTTCTTCTCCTTCTTACGCAACTCTTTTTCTTCTTCCGTCTGACCTGCCACATGTGTATCTTCTGACGGTCGGTCCATAATTGCAGGGCGGATCGGTATGGCATGTTTCGAGCGGGCCGCAGTTCCGGAGGTGCTGGGTGCTGGCGAGGTGCCTCCAGGTGCCACGGGCGGTGTCTCCAGCTTTGACTCCGAACCTAACGTTTCCTTCTCTGACGTAACTTTGGCAGCGGGTTGTCCGGATTCATCCTCTACGGTGACGGTGGGTGCCTGAGACGTTGTGGTAGAAGCATTGTCAGTCTTGGCGCTCTCCCGCATGGCCTCCTCGGTGCCCGGGAACTCGGCATCGGCATGCTCTGCCTGTTCCTGGTCCTCGGATGTGATCTCCATGGCGGTGTTCAGGTCCTTCATGAGACTGATCTCGCCGATCCAGTCGACAAAGGCCTCACCACCAAAGATGCTGCTGAAGAACTCGGCCGGGTCAACGAAACCCTCGCCTGGCTTCGCGCTGTCCTTGCCATATTTGTCGTATGCGCTCCGTAGGTCCTTATCTGACAGCACCTGGTACGCCTCGCCTATAGTCTGGAATTTCTCGTGGGCAGTCGGGTCGTCGGGGTTCTTGTCTGGGCGGCAGTGTCAGCATTTGATCGGGTCTGTTCGCGACGCGCCAGCTGAGGTGGCTAGCTGAGACGTCGGGGCAGTGCGGCGCAAACCTGGATGGTGGATGATAGCAAGCTTGCGGTATGCCTTCTTGATCTCAAGCTCGCTCGCGGTGGGCTGGACGCCCAAGGCATCGTAGTATCCTGTGTCGACCACCATACTTGCGTCGCGCGTTGTGAGGCAGCCTGGTGGTGGTGAAGTGCAGGGTTTGCGACGCTGTAGAGGGGTATTGCAGCCGTTCTCGGGCAAGAAGTGGCTGTTGGAGGCGCCTGTGAATGCAGGTATGGGCGACGCTTCCAAGATGGAAGGAAGATGTCTATGATATATATCGCCGAGAGTATAGTTTCGGTTGATCGAGGTGTTGGGGGTTAGAGGGATTAGGTACCGAAGGCGAAGTGAAGATCTGGGGATGAAATGTTCCAAGGTTATGACGATTCGTGCCCAGCGGTCGGGATGATCATGTCCACCCGTCACTAGCGGTGCAGGTGCCAGGCAACCATGCTGATGCTGCAGCCATGCAGACGGTGTGTATTACGCCACACCTCCCTGGAGCCGCTAACACCGTCATATTAACTCCATCACATAAGCCCGTTACATCTATCTTCCTAGAAGATATTATTATCAGGTTATAGCCCTCCATGTGGTTCTAGACTCTACATCTTTCAGGAAAGATAGAGAAGCTGAGTTCTTTCCTACCACAACATGATGTCTATCACTAGACGCACTTATACTTGAAAGTGGCAATGATAATACCTAACAAGCTGCTATATGAGAAGATAGGGGTAATGTATCGCTTTGAGGACATTACTGATATGTCACATACATCATCTATCAGGCAGCAACGCTTTAATACCTATTCAGACACAAGTGCGTGCGCACGTACCTAAGAGTCCAGTTGCATTGTCTTGTGCATCCACACGAGATGTCACCACTGTCCAAGACATATGTGAATCACCATCGTTGTCCCTGGCTGTCGGCCACTAGTGTTAGAAGGTATGCTGGGGAGTCTCAGCGTCTCTGAGAAATATTGAGAGAAGCTTTGTTGGGCCTGCTTGCAGTGAACAGGTGTCTTCTTGGTTGATGCTCTCCCCAAGGTATGGTCTAAAACTACAGCAAGGCGGTATAAGGGGCTTCGCTGCTGTCGGATACTGTCAAGGTTGAGATTTCTTATACAAGGGCGCTTGTGTGGAAAATTAGTTGGGAAGACAGCAGTGATTGACTTGAAGACTCGGGCGTATAAACAGGGGCGCCTCAAAATGGATTCAGGAATAACCTCGTGTTGTTATTTGCAGCTGAAGCTCATCCATGGGTAAGCGATAATCCGATGGCACAACTGCATGTACTTTCGGTCTCTTCAGATGGCGGCAAGCAGACTTGCTGCCTCTTACTACGATATGATATGTTGTGTTTGTCCCCATTGATCTGTTTTAGCTACCTGTTGTACACCGACTAGACGAGTATGCCACGCTCAATATGTGGTCTGTAAGTCGATCGTGGTCGGTCAGTCGATCTTCATGCAATTACTCCCCGTATGCGGTTCTTACTCCCCGTATGCGGTTCCATCTCGAGCTTGGTCGCATATGTGCTGTAAAGAGAGCAGACATTTTTTGAAGCAAATCGGTTAGCTTTTCCTTGCCTACTTTGGCGACCACCTAGAAGCCTGGTGCCGAACCCATGAAGTGTTAGACTCCCCCGCGCCAGCTTAAGCCATGAGAAGGTTCACTCCACTTTGGTTCGAGAGTTTCCGAGCCTATTTGGTACCTCCAGCCTTCATCCGCTCAAAGCACTTGCGGTAAGCCACGTGGACCTCGGGCACCTCGTAGCCGTACTCCTTCAGCTTCTTCTCCAGCTTGGTGGTGTCGAGCATGCAGTTGCTGCGGCCGGCCTTGATGACCTTGGCCTGCTCCTCGACGGTGAAGTTCTTCCACGTGAAGTCGGGGCGCACGATCTCCTTGAACAGCGACAGCACCTCGTTGTGGCTGATGGCGCCCGGGTTGGTGAAGTTGTAGACGCCCGTGTCCTTGTGCTCGGCCATCAGCACCGACGCCGGCAGCAGGTCCGTCAGGATCGTGTTGCTGTTGGGTATGTCCACCACGCGGTCGTACTTGCTGATCTTGGTGACGAAGTTGCGCGAGTGCAGGTCGTCCGAGACCGGCATGCGCAGGCGGAGGATGAGGCAGTTTGTGTAGAATTTCATGACCTGTATATCGTGGTCAGCAGGTCAGTCCTACTAGGTTAATAGGAAGTCCTGGGTCACCTCCTCGACATGGCCCTTGGTCTCCGAGTAGAAGCTGCCCTGGAAGTTGGCCGGGTCCGTCTCAGTGTACCCCTTGCCACCGATAGGGTGGGTATCATCATAGTGGTAGATGCAGCCGGTGGCGAAGACGGTGATGTGGACGCCAGCCTGGAAGCAGCAGTCGGTCAGGTTCAGAGTTCCAATGACGTTGGAACGCATCGTCTCCTCCTTGTGGTCCTCGCACCAGTCGACGTTGGGACGGCCGGTGCTTCCAGCACAGTTGAGGACATGGGTGGGCTTGATCTTCTCGAGCTCGGCCTTGACGCTTTCTCGGTCCTCCATGCGGACGGTGGTGGTGAAGACCTCCTTGCCTTGGCTCTTCAGGATGGCCTCGAGGTGGCCGGCGACCCAACCCTTGCCACCCCAGATGAGGAAGCGGTTCGCCGCCGTGCCGTTGGTTGCCATGATGTGGGTTGGTCTGGTTTCGGGCCAATTGAATGAACTGGAATGAGAGGGGCACTGCTGTTTAATGAGAGAACTGAACGCTAGAGAAGAGGCAAATGTGCTGGGTAAAAGAGGTGAAGTCAATACGGTAGGAAGGAAGTCGGCACGGGATGGGCCAACTTATAAGTTTCAAGTGGTAGGTACTGACCGATTTATGTCATGTAGGGATGGCAGTTGCCCCTTCGGCGGCTTGGAGGGGCGCACAAATGTCTTGGTCCTTCGGTCCAGTTGTCGTACCTCATCACCTTGGCCGCCTGAAATCTCGAGACATTGACACGTACGACACAGATGGTCACACATCCAGCTACAAGTAATGTTTGTGATTATCATCAAAACAGCTTTGGCAGCGGCTTCTGGCTTACGGCCGCATGTGGATATGTCAACCTGAATGACCCCCTTCAGATGCATCACCCCGCTATCTCAATGCCGCTACAGGTAGGTGCATCTCCGGATCTCCAACCCCGAGCTCCCTTTCTAGCTGTGCATCGAATGGATGTCTCCAATCCTCTTGCACGTGTACCTCATTTGCCTTTTTTTCTTTCTTTCTTCACACTACAAGGTTCATGATCCAGAATATCGTAGCCTGTAATACTGCTGCTCATGAGAACGGGAGGGCCAACCAGCCGCCATTGACGGGACGGGCTTGCCCCTTTGTGTTGGCACATGGAAGCTTCAAAATCCCACTTGGTCACCTGCAGCTTCCCCTCACGCCTCTATCGGCAGAGGTACCTACCTACATGCAGACAAGGTGCATCGATGAATGTATCGATGTAGGCAAACCTCAAGGCTCACAGGACCTGGGTTCTGAATGCTCACTGTTGCTGCTCCTTCCAAAACTGATACTGAACCCTCAGAAGTCTCCTGTGGCCCCTTAGTAGGTAGGTACCCAACGTCCTGCATTTCAAGGCAATTGGCATCTGCGGAATAAGCATCAAAATGTTATTCCCGGGTGCTCCTACCAGTACAGTACACTTTTGGCGAGCACTTGCTTCTGGTGCAAGATGGGATCAGGTAGTGAGTGACATGACTCTTCCTCCAGCTGGACTTCACATCCCAAACCATCCATCTTCACACACAACAACTACAGTAGGCCATCATCATACTTCTTCGCAGGAGCTCTTCGAGGATAAACATACATTCTTTCAATACTCTCGTTGCGAGGAAACGACCTCTACGCTTGTCCCAATACACATCCCACATTCGGCTTCGTCTAGTCCAGGGAACCGAAAAGATGTGGAACGATACAGAACACAATCGACCGGCGAGATCCTAGTTGGAGAGGTGCCAAGAAGGCATTCCTGCACAGGAAGCAACACCCACCGAGACCGGGCAGGCTCATGCAGTTCCTTCTCAGGAGGCACAGCCAGTCGAAGAGGACCGATCTCCCACAGATACTGCTCAAAGGGCGGAGCAGGTCGAAGATGAGCCGACTCAGACCAGCACGGCACAGCAGACAACGCAGACCGATCGTGAGCCGGCTATGGCGAACCCTGAAGAAGACGTAGAAGAAGACGTAGAAGAAGACGCAGAAGACGACGCAGAAGACGACGCAGAAGACGACGCAGAGATTTTAGCAGAGATTTTAGCAGAGTTTCCACGTCGACACGCCGCAGAACACGACGCAGAACAACAGAGGATGCAGGCCAGACATGCGCAGCGTAATCATCAGAGGGGCAATTTCATCCTCGGCGTATTGTTTGCGCTTGCCGTCTGGGCGTGTGCAATAATTTGTTGGAATAGCATCGTCGACCACCCCCAGCTTCCGTTCGCCTACATAATCCCATACACTGCATACACTGCGACTCACATCACTGCGACTCGCACCACTGTACGCGCTGATGTAAACCACACGGAGCGGGTGGAAATTGGAGCAACCCTTGTTATTCACAGAGGTTTGATTGATCTTTAAGGGGGGTCACGTGGAAGATATCACAGCGAGCATGTTTGGAGGGACATCACCATCACCACTCTCTCTGACTTTTGGTCACAGTTTGACTGGGATATGTATTCAGAGCAGCGTTTGTCCTTTCGAGATCATGATTTGAATACCGTTGACACCGAACTTGGTACTTCCATGTCTTTACTGTTTAAAAGTAATGACTGTGTGTGAGCGTGGGCGCGATCAAACTTGATCATGCGAAGTAGTGCGACATGTTGAATACATAGGTACCCTGAAATGCCATGCCACATCCGATGCGAAACAGACCGCCTATTGTTGTTGATCTCTGCGTGTCCTTGATGGTTGTGTGGTACACCAAACCACTGAATGTCTTCATGCACCATCCCTTACAAACCAACGTCCTAAAGAGTCCGAGATATTAAGTAATTATCTGGGATAAGCACTCCGGATGAGCATAAAACTCAACCGACTAAGAAATCCACATACCTTACGTTAGTATAGTTGTTCTACTCGAAATTAAGATGTAAGAAAAAGTTCTAGGTTGGACGGGAACTTGTTCTTGTAGGAGGAGTCCAAGATCGTCAGGTTCGATGAGTAAGTATCCCGAAGTTTAGACCGTGGACGAACATCGGGCAAGAGAGCAGACTAAGTCTGCCAAGTCGGCCAATAGGTACCTAATGCAGGAATGATGGGGAATAAATACTTCGTAACTGCACAATGGGCAGTATAACAATTCGAGTCCAGGTTTATACCAACCAGTACGCGTAGAGACTGCGGAATATCTTGTAGAGTATCTTGTCAGTGAATCTTGCAGATCCTTGGAGATCAGGAATATCGGCGCATCTGCACAACCAAGCGGTTGGATTCCGATCGCACCTCACGGCTGGAGCAAACGGAAGTGGGGAAAAGAAGCCACAGCCGGTACAGGCTACATGTACCCTGCACGGCCCTGTATGACATCAGGCGCAGCAGGCAGCACGAGGCGGGCGGCCGCCAACGCGTCGGGGCTGCGGGGCTGCAATGCCTAGCGCTCCCCAATTTCCATTTTGCCAGGCGAGATTGGATGTGGCACAGTGGAGTAATTAACTTCTCCGCAGAACCTGACGCTCTGTCCCGGTCAAGCAAACTCAACCTTGGAAGAAGTCGGGGTCCAGGGGATACAATTTCTACGAAATGACAGTCACGACGACGGACACCTTGACACCTTGACACGCACATCACACCACACACATTTATTATCAGCATCACACACATCACACGCGACCAGTCTCCTCCTCTCTCTTACCTATCTCCCCCTCTGCCGTCTCCCAGAGTACCTCCAGCAACTACCGTTCTGCTGCTTCTCCTACCGCAACGAGCCCGAGTCGACAACACATTTAACCGCACCCTCGAAGCTATCAAGAATTACCAATCCAGCTGAATGATCTGAGTTCGCGTCCCTATCAATTCGCCCAACCTACACACCCACACCGTAGTCGCCGAGATGGGTGGCCTCAAGGATGTTGCCTATTTCATGTTCCACCCGAATCAGCTCCGGGCGATAATACAATGGTGAGAATACCCCCCAAGTCTATACATATTTCCCTAGACACATCTACTAAACTCTTCCCTCCGTCCTGCAGGAAGGTCTGGCACGAACCCGTCCACGAGCGCGATCCCTCCAAGGAGTCCCCGACCTTACGAGCATGTTTCGTTCACCTCAACAACACAAGCCGCAGCTTCTCCACCGTCATACAGGAGCTGAACCACGACATGCTGATCCCCATCGCACTCTTCTATCTCGTATTAAGGGGCTTGGACACCATCGAGGACGACATGACCATTGCCGTCAAGGAGAAGGAGCCTTTGCTACGCGATTTCTACAAGTCCATGAAAATAGATGGGTGGACCTTTGACAAAAACGGGCCCAATGAGAAGGACCGCGAGCTGCTTGTCCACTTCGACGACGTCGTCACCGAGCTGAAGAAGCTGAAAAAGAACTACTACGACATCATCGAGGACATTACCATCAAGATGGGCAATGGCATGGCCGACTACGTCCTGAACGCTGAGTTCCAGGACGGAGTCAAGACTGTCGTCCAATACGAGGAATACTGCCACTACGTCGCCGGCTTGGTTGGTGAGGGCCTGACCCGCCTTTTCGTCGAGGGCGGCTACGCGAACCCTGCCCTGCTCGAGCGGATGGAGCTCACCGAGAGTATGGGCCAGTTCTTGCAGAAGGTCAATATTATCCGCGACGTACACGAAGACTTCGAAGATGCGCGACGGTTTTGGCCCAGTGAGATCTGGAGCAAGTACGTCGACAAATGGGAGGATCTCTTCGACCCAAAGTATCGTACGCAAGCCTTGTACTGCAGTTCCGAGATGGTTCTCAACGCTTTGAAGCATGCCGACGAGTGCTTGTTCTACATGGCCGGCATAAAGGAACAAAGTGTGTTCAATTTCGTCGCCATCCCGCAGACCATGGCTATAGCATCTCTCGATCTTGTGTTCCAGAACCCCAGGATCTTCTACAGCCATATCAAGATCACAAAAGGTGACGCTTGTCACCTGATGCTGCAGTCGACGCAGAACCTGTCGGTAGTTTGCGATCTGTTCAGGAAATACGCAAGGAGGATAGCGAGAAAGAACGACCCACGGGATCCTCACTACCTAGAAATCAGCGTGGCGTGTGGAAAGGTCAGTCTAAATGCATATAAACGCCTTGTTGACGGGACAAGCTGACCGCCACAGATCGAGCAATTCATCGAGACCCTCTTCCCCACCCAGAACATCAAGAGGATACAAGCTGAACAAGAGAGAGCCGCGAATGCACAGGAAGATCGGACTGAATACTGGGAGTCCCTTATGTTGGTTCTGGCTGTGGTGCTCGCTCTCCTTCTTGTCTCTGGGCTCATGGTATGTCCTGAGCTATTCCATTCCCTTCGGAGTGAGTGCGTACTGACCAACGTGAACAGCTTGGCGTGGCATGGCTGATGGGCGCGAGATTCGATGTGCTCTACGACGGAGCCGCCAGATCGAGTCTGAAGAGCATCCAAGACGCCGCCAAGGCGACTGCCACATCGATATCTCACGAGGAGTTATAGTGGCTCTGTACATTACCGAAGCCATTCCCCCACATCACGAAGTATATATGTCGACAGAGAGCGGGCGTTGCTAGAAAATTCGTTGCGACGCCGCCACGGAACCTAACGAGAACTTGTACAAAGCTGAACAATGTATAGGGAAGGTCGGTTTATAATGCTTCTTGCTATTGGGTTATTAATATCATTTTAATGCTTCTTTCTCTGTTTTTCTCCTTTCTCCCCTCTCTTGCGCTGGGCGCTCACCTGACGTGAGAGACCGCTGGCGGACGTGAGCTGGAATGGAACGAACGCAAACAATGCACGGATGTCAAATTACAGTCCAGTCTTTCTCCTCAATGACTGCGGCTGTGCCGAGAAGTGCTGAAATCAAACCACCCATCGCGAGGAGTACCGAGTCCACTGCGGCTCGTAGGCACTCGACGTCATCTCGAACCCTCTTCTCTCCCAAGGAGGGTTTTGGCGTCGAGGATCGCGAACATATCCTTTGTCTTCTAGAGGCGTATCTGTTCCATCGTGAATGAAGTCTACTAGTGACCATCGCCGTGTCTGGTGGATCTGTACAAGATACTTGATTTGTCCTCGTTGATGCGGTTGAAAGTCGATGGGGTAACTTGCTGTTTCGCTTAGTATCTAGATCGTGCTTGTTGTAACTGAGATCTCGAATTGAATTCCAGAGCTAGGAACGGCTTCCATCGTGATCGAGGAGACGAGAGAGACGGAGAGTCGAAGGCCACTCTCCATACGCTCTTGTTGAAACCTGTCGAGGTCTTTGCTCGAGGTGTCTTGGCGCAGACTTCTTCTGGTCCCCTGCCTGCATGAGGTATGAATTCTCCATGATTTATTGCAATACCTATTCGCCAAGGCTGGGCCTTGTATCATGTCATACAGAGACAGACAGTAGTCGTGGTACGAATTTTGAGACAGGTCTGAGGCTCGTCTCATGTGCATGGAGTTAGAGCTGGAGATGGAGCTTTGTTTGTCGTCAGTTTGGACTCTTGGCTCCTTACGATGCGATGTCGATGATGGGCTTGGCGTGTCGCCCACTTCCCGATACTGACAGGAGGGTCACCATGTATGGCAGAGTGAGGGCAGGGTGAGGGTGAGGGTGAGGGTAGGGTGGGCGAGGAATTTGGTAGGTAGGAGGTATACGTAGAGAGCTATGCTTGGTACAGACAGTCGAATAATTCGAGCTTTTCCTGTTTCCGCTGTTCGTCCGCAGAGCAGATGAGTTAGTTGATGGATGGGCTAGGAGGTTCGTTAGTGGTGTGGTTACGATAGGTAGATCGTGAGAAAGAAGACTCTCTATACATTCTTTAGCATCTCTGCTACAAAAAGCTGTCAGCTTCGAGTCTGATGGTGTGTTCGTCACATGAATCCAAGTTGATTTTATGCATGCTTCAGAGCTGGTTATATTCAGTATTGTTTGGTTTTCATTATGTACTTTTTGGTGGCTCATCGCTACCGGGGAATATACAGGCGCAGTAGCGAAGCCATGCTCCTCTTTGTCTGGCTCGCCTCTGATCTATCTCTTTCTATCTTCAGTCGTAGCCCAGAGCTGTCTGTCTGTCTGTCCGCCTGTCCGGACGCCATGATGATAAAACTTCGGTTCTCTCTCTGAAAACCAATTCGTCGCACGTCCCCCAAGTCAGGATTGGTAGTCTTCGCTCAATGCTATCAAGAAAAGCTGCATGAAAAAATTGGTGTATAAAAACAAGTCGCTATATCGGAATTCCGTCTTCCGAATCTGTATGATGATGGTGATAATGACGCTGTCTGCATAAACGCTTTTCGCTAATTGGTGCTAAGTGCTGATATCAGGGTAAAGATGCCCTACAAAAAACGGACAGCTAAGGCATATAAATATGCGACGAGACTCGATTACATGGTGCGATGTGGCGGGCATCATCTCCTGCCCAACATATATGATACTTCGAATGTTGATATTGACAAGACGCGTAGTCTCAGGAAGGCAATCCGCCAAATTATTTGTTTCCGTTGTTGGCAATGGTGTCGGTGGTGCCTTGGGCGTTGCGCAGGACGGTGGCACCCGTGGCGGCGCCGAGCGTCTTCATGCGGTTCGAGACGGCGGTGGCGTTGGTGAGGCCCTCCAGGCTCATCAGGTATGCAGCAAGACCGGCAATGTGAGGCGAAGCTGCGGTATCTGTTAGCTTTATAATCTTCCATATCTCAGATGCATGTGAACTTACCCATGGAGGTGCCGCTCAGTATATTGGTGGCAGTATTGTTCTCGATGCCGACACTGAGGACGTCGACACCGGGGCCGTAGACGTCGACGACGGCACCAAAGTTGCTGAAGCTGGCCCGTTGGTCGGTCGTGGCATCAATGGCGCCGACGGTGATGGCGTTGGGCGAGCTGGCCGGGCTGCTGGTGTTGGCATTCGCGGCCTCGTTTCCGGCAGCGACGACGGGAACAACACCGGCCTCGACGAGACCCTCGATCGCGTTGTTGATTGCGGTCGACTGGCCACCGCCGAGGGACATGTTCATAACAGTCTTTCCAGCGAGCTTCTTCTCGGCCACGTCGGACTCGACGAAGTTGAGACCGTCGATGACATCGGCGTTGGTGCCGCCACCGTCGGCGCCGAGCACCTTGACCCCGATCAGGTTCACGTTCTTGGCCACGCCAAAAGTAGCGCCGCCAATGGTACCCGACACGTGGGAGCCGTGACCGTTGTCGTCGGTATCCTAATTCGGTGTTAGTCTGTCAATCTGACTTTCCACTGGGCATGGTGCGGGAAGACTTACTTGAGAACCCTCAACGGCGTTGAAACCAACGGTGGCACGTCCTTGGAACTCTTCGTGCGTAGTCAGGATACCAGTGTCGACCACGTAGGCCGTGATGCCGGTGCCGGCAGAATCGTCAAAGGTGTAGCCTGTGCCGCCGGGCTCGGCGTTGCTGAGTCGGATAAGTCCCGGAGTCGCGTTCTCCTGAGTCTGGAGGGCCAAGGCCTTGACGTATTGGTTGGCTTCGACGAAGTTGACTGACCCCATGGCGTTGATCTCGGTCATCATATCATCATCTCCCTCCAGGGCGGTAGCACGCCATCCGTTGGCCATGGAGAACGAGCGCACCCTTGTCGAAAGCAGCTGACCCGAGAGCCCACGCTTGCCCAGATTGCGCTTCGTGACGGCCGACTTGATGGTAGCCTCATGAGCATCGATTTCGTCACTGGTGGAGTTCTTGTGGTAGACCACGATGTACGAGTTGGGGACGACATCTCTCGCGTCCTGGTTGGCCACGAATGCACCGAGCGTTGAAACAGCTGGTGCTGACGCTGACGCTGCGGCGGGATGCCATCTGTTAAGCGGGCTTCCCAGCGCGCTCAATGGCGACAGGGCCAGGAGGCTGGCGAGGATGGTGGTGAAGCGGGGTGCCATTTTGACCCGAATGCGACAGTCTCAAATTAGAGGTACTGAGTGAGTGTATTCGTTCTTCCAAATTGTGCCAGACAAGTCGAGGATGGTGTAGACGCTCAAGCGCAAGGTCGTCCGAGCGCAGGGTCGTGAACTGTGAGAGAGTGAATCGTAAAAGAGTGAAAATAAGTGGGATGTGGTGATGGTAAGTAACAGGAACGGCTCGTTACATATGTACTTGGTCCAGTCGGTCGGAAGTACCTCAGGCACAATGAATGTGTTCGCGAGTCCAGAAGTGAAGGGACAATGGGAGTTTGGTGAAAGGAGAGGTGTGTTTGTTGGTTAGCGCACGGCAACAATGGACAATGCAACACAGCACACAATGCACTCCAACTACAGATTATTCCGCTGTCGTTTGAAAAGAAAGGCTCGTCAAGGTCCACCCGACAGTAAGAATAATAATAATGATAATAATAATAATGGGAGCAACGAAGCCCGCGGACTGAACAGCCAACACGAGACGGGGAGAGATGGGAGGAGAACGTAACGAAGCAAGAGAGAAGGCAGAGATTGATATGGGCCCTGACTTATAAAGAAGATGCCATTGCGGTCCATTTTGGGTCCCACGGCGGTCAACCAGGCCCTCTGACTGGAGACTGCGGTTGCGTTGCGCGGCAAGGGGCAGCGGTCGCCGCCGGGGTCTGGAGGCTGGACGTCGGGTTTTGGAGGCATGAATGCGGCTGGTTGACCGTGGGATGGGGACTCACGGGCAGGGGAGCATCATCGGCGGCCATGTCGCAAATTGCTTGGTGTTGCCGCCAAGTCAAACCCTCCGTCCCCTGTACTGCCGTATGTACAGCCGCGTCGATCCACCGCGACATGGGTCTGCAGATCCCTAGGTAATTACCTAGGTACGATGCACGCCTGACCGCGCCTGTCAAATTGTTTATCCCAAACGAAGCCCTGCGACAGGGCATCGGGAAAGTGGGATACAGGGGGGGAAAGGTCATGTAATCTGTTGCAGCCAGATACCTGCTCTCGCGATGGGACTCATGGGAGAGAGCCTCAATGTGGAATCTCTCGGAGAACGCCAGCGAAGACCGAGTTGGAACCTTTCAGGTTGCCACAGGGGCTTCTACATATCTAGTACTGTGTTTTACTTGGTTATTAGCGGCTCCGATGAATGAAGGTCATCAGTCCTCGATAGCAACCTGGAGGTTAGCTCCCGTGGTTCGTGTTAACAAATAAAGGAGCCGCGATGGATGCGGTGCGGAACAAGCTTCTTCGGGATGCCGACTGATGTTGGTGGGGGACACTGCGAACGTGATCCTTCTCCCTTGTCTGTTCGTGATCGCTCCTCGCATGATCCATAGATCAATGGACGGGCGGTGTTCGATACCTACTAACCGCTCCCCTCATCGCATTGAGTAGGCGGTGGCTCAGGTGGCGGCTAAATGCCGGAATCGTGGAGTCTTGAAGTGGCAGAGTCGTTGGTAGAGGGTGTTGGTAACTTCATCGTTGGTCCTCGCACTCGACTATGCATAGGTACGCCTCCGGTCGCAAGGGGTCACCAGCGCCTGCGTCTGGCAGCTCCAGCCTCAACTGCCGTTTATTTCGAAATCATATGAGGCGCCAAGAGTAATACGAGGCAGTGAAAAGTTTCCAAACGAAGACTGGGGAACCCTGGGACAGGGCGAGCGCGTGGTTCGAGCGTTGTTGGGTTATCGTCCTCTTCCCCCATGGCCCCCCTAGCTAGCAACAAGGGTAAGACATGCCATCGTCTGCACGTAGGACAAAGATCATGATGATCCAGAAGGACCAACACAACGGCATCGATTGTCTGACATGCATTGACATCAAACAAACGGACGGCGAAGAGACCCCGGAAGCGATCTCATGTTGATGAGCTGGGGTTAGAGATGCCAGGATTCGTGCTCAGCTCGTGTCACTGGTCGCTCCAAACGAGGGGGTAGCGCGCATTGTTGATGGAAGAGGCTCTTTCAGCTTCATGTCCCGGGACCCTGCAGAGAGACCTGCATAGCTAGCCACCGTTGATGAAGCATATTCAAGTCCTTGAACAGAGCCAAGTGATACGACTCATCGACAGCTGCAACAGACAGACCTTCAGATGGGACTATGTGCACTGGTAAGGTGATAATAAGATGTGAGATGGAGTTGTAGAATGATGGGGACGAAGCATCGCCGCCCCACCACCTGCACTGAACGTTGGAAACATGGATCATGTTCCCACAGCAGTTCGAGGACGCTAGCAGTTTCAAGTTTGGCCAGCTGTGATTGGTCGGCTGCTGACATTCGATGGTGAAACGGCCAAGTGCCGGGGTTGCACCCCCACCTATATACCTATAGGTTCCTACGTAAACGTGGAGGAATGCGGGATGCGGGATGCGGTGCAAGTCAAATAGGAGGAAGGAGCAATCATGAACTACTCGTTCAAACTGCGGTCATCGAATGAGGCATCCAATTCATAATGCATACTTCAAACCACTGGCTACCCGAGTTAACATCGGGGAGTTAAAGCTGTAATAGGTACCTAACCTACTGCTGCAGCAGGCGCTCGAGGGGTGCCGTCGGCATTAGACAACGAGACGGGTCCGGATCTAGTCGGCCGACACGGGCGCGCCGCAATAGGCCCTCGAAGGCCACAGCTTCGCAGTCTTCGCCAGAGAACTGCGACAAAGTATGAAATGCGGAAGGGGCTCTCTCGATGCCGTGAAGCACCCGGAACCTTCCAAGGTTCAGATCGCAAAATCTCGTTCCTTATGAGGTACGGAAGGGTAACTCTCTTAACGGAGCAGTCAAACCCCCTCAGAATCGCAACAAGCAGCCTTTTGCTTACGCGAAAAAGGACTGCAACAAGAAAAATGTAGATGAAGGATCAACAATTCACCACAACCGGCATCAGGAGAAATAATACGAAAAGTGCGAGGGGCCATAACCTGTTAGCAGCATGCAGATGCCGTGAATAATGAATGTTCTTATTGTCAAGTAACTACTGCTACAGATGACAGCTCCAACAAATGTGCCGAGGAAATGACCGTATCTTTGCCACGAAACCGCTTTTACGTCGATGCACCGCACACCGCTCTACATAGTCAACCCGCAATCCAAAACTGAATACAAAGCTTTAGAACCCAACGTCTATGTACATGATTGATTGATTGTATTTATCGTGGATGCAGTCCCTCCATAGGGCAAACCACGCCTCCCAGAGCCATTGCATCGCAAGGTTGTAGAGGTTTCAGTCTAGATACATTCAGATCCGCGCACGAGCCTATCCTCGCTGTAGCGGTACCAACCTGGAGTGACCAGATGGTTTTAGTCAATACCCAAGCACGATTCCGTCAGAAAAACCTCCTATCCAGTGACAAAGCGACCCAATAAACCTCAGTCCTCTGGTGTACACATCGTTCCAGTAGCCGTTCGATATATGTCGCATTGGTGGGTGAAGTAGGTGTTTGTTATCTGCTGGCGAGGGAAACCACAAGGGGAAAAACCTCGCAGGAGTGGGTATTGTGGAGACAAGCTGCTTGGCTATCAGGCTCTGCGATAAGGGGCCTCTGCACTGTCGTGTGCTGGTTATCGACTCGCACAAGCCGGGTCAGAAGGGGGCCATAGCAGGATTCGAACCCACTTGTTCTCGTCGCCCACCGCACAAACGAGAACACAACCAGGCGCATTTGACCATTGCGCCATACGGCCCCAACGTCTATGTACAGCTCCAGCTCTCTCCCTGGCGGCCTAATCCTAGGGGCAGGATTTTAATCATAGTTTTCGCCGACCTCGATGCATGAAGCACCATCTGGAATGTCTAGTTTGCCATTACCCTCAACCCTATCCCCAGTCATCAAATCTTGAAGCTCATCACCGTCTACCCCATCTGCGTTCTCCGTGTACCATACACCCTTAAAACCATAGAAATCATCAAGGTTCACCTTGCGAGCATCTGAGGGGATTGAGTAGGATAAAAAGTCGGTTGACTTCGACTCGTTCGTAGAAAGTTCATGCCCATGCCGGGTCTAGCCACGTGAGCTTGTAAGAGAGAGCGCTGCACACGCTTAGGGACAGCAGCGGGAGCTTGGTGATGGAGGTGTACATCATCTATTTTATCAACGACGAATGTCAGTGTCTTCTCGAGTCTGTCAAGGGGCTTAGAACTCAGGTTCCTTACCTTGGGAAGGGCTTGAGTAGGGATAAAAGGAAAATGCTATGTGTTCAAGTGTCGATCGGTGTTTGAGCGGTTCGAAGTAGTGTACGGGATGTGTTGTTGAATCGATCAGGTGTTCAGACAGCAGCACTGGGGATATTTATACTCGTAGCTCTGTGGCTACACTGCTGCATCTGAGACCTTTCGTCATTGCCGCCGAGCCTTGATGATGTGTACAGGTAGGCAGGATGGTAACTGGTAGGGCGACGCTATACCGGGGGGTTCTCGGTGTTTTTGGGTCCGTACTGGATAATATATAGATCCCTCTTTGCTAACATATGATGATGTCTGATAATACATGTCATGATGTTGGGACCTTGCGATCCTTGCCACACTCCTACCTAATACGTCGGACCCGTGCTTGCCACACGTCTAGTCCGGCGGACCCGTACTTTACACGCTTTTATGATATAATCGTCACACTGGCTAGCTAGGAACCGCGAGCAACGCTCGCCACTCACAACACAGCGATGTTACTTCCGTTTATAGCAATCGATGGTAATACCAAATACGGTATGTGCGGGGGCTCCGATACTAGGCTACCATCGCTCACCATCGTGCTCTAAATGATACACTTCAGTGCACCTCAGATCATAAGACATTACGAATAGTCATTCCAATTCAGGGAGATCTAGACCGAGTCCCCAAGGCCAATTATTGGATAGTACCGGACGATAAACTACAAGAGCTGGCAGATAATGTCCAAACCAGGATTCATGAACTCCCCCGGCTGGGTGTATCCCCTGGCCAGGTGGATGCCTTTACACAAAGCTTGATCAACATGATCCAAGGCTGTATC